TTTTGAGGAATTGTTCAAAAAAAAAAAAAATTTGTTTTATATACGCAAAATATTGTCTTTCATTTTATTTGCGCGTAACAAATTATGTGTAATAACGTTTACAAATTCTTTATGATCAACAAAAGCTTAACTCGTTATGCAAATTTTTTTTATAAGCAAACTTCTGAAAACAAGAGAAGTGAATCAAATTTGTAAAAAAAATTGTAATTGAAAATATATCATTTTTGGAAAAGTTTTTTTTTTTTACTAAGTAATTAATTAATTATTAATTGGCTAATAAAAATTTTTTGCAACCTCTTTTTTTTATCTTACAATGGTTTTAAACAATATTTACTTAATATTACTTAAATTAGTTAATTTTCCTGTAGAAAGATAAATAAATATTAAATAAAAATAATAATATTTTCCATTTTATTTTTTTTTTAAATAGCAATCTTAATTAATAAAAAGAAAAAAATAAATTTTTATTTATTTTATTCAATTTATAATTTTTTATGAGCGGTAAAAAATTTTAGAACAATAATATATTACAGGTATCGAAGTGAAAAACTTTTTTATTTTTTTGATACTTTTTTTCGACAAGGCTACTTTTTTACTACTAATTTTGGGCAAAAAAGCCACTAAATGATAATTTTTTTCAAAAAATAATTTTAAAAATAATAGAACTCAAGAATTTAAAATTTTAGCGAATTTTTTGATTCCTAAAAGTTTGCGAAGTTGATGATTTATCATTGGCCCCATGAATTACTGATTTATATAATTATTTTTTACACAAATTTTCATTTTTCAAAATAGCATTTAACAAAATTTCTTTTTAAATGACCTTTTACTCAATAAAATTTTTAATTTGGCAAATTTTTTTTAACAGAATTTTTATTTTACAAAAATTTCTCTTTACCCAACTGTTTTTTTTTTTAATGATTCTAATTTAACCGAAATTCAGACAATAATTGAATTTTAGAGTATTTTGAATTGAAAAATGTTTAAAATAATTGAAATGCCAAGATCTTGATTAAAGTTATTAGAGATAATTATTTCAACAAAAAATTTGAATCAAAATTTTTAATAATAATTGAATTTCAAGAGATTTTGAATTAAAATTTTTGTAAATTAAAATTGCTGAAAATTATTAACAAAGATTCAAACAGTAATTGAATTTTAGAGGTAATTTTTAATTAAAAAATGTTTTATTTAATTGAATTTTTGAATAATTGGATTGAAATTATTAATTTAGCAAAGAATTTTAGATACAAATTTTAGAAATAATTGAATTTTGAATTAAGATTTTTAGAAATAATTGAATTTTTGGAGATTTTTTATTAAAATTGTTGTTTTAAAATACTAAAAAAATTTTATAAGCTTCCGATTCTAAGTTTTAGGATTTAAAAATTCGAATTATTTAAAATTCTACTGAATGAGAATTCTAATAAATTAAAAATAGATTAAATTAGAATTCTTTTCAAGAAACAGTTGGTTAAAGAGAAATTTTGTAAAATAAAAATTGTGTCAAATAAAAATTCGGTACTTTGAAAATTTCGTTGAGTAAACATTCGTTTAAAAAAAAATTCTGTGTTAAATGCTATTTTGTAAACGAAAAATTTATGTGAAAAATCATTTCTATGGAATAATCATAGTTGTGTCAAAAACAAAAAGTTAATCGAAATTTAACAATAGATAGTTTTTTTTTTTAAATAATCAGAAGAAAAATGATGTTAATTTTATTCCTCAGAATTTTTCTATCAATTTTTTTAGGCAAGAAAATATTTACACTTTAACGGCAAACTTAGAAAACTAATTTTACTTTTATTTAAAAAAAATGATCCTTTTTCATACTTTTTTTAATCTCTTACTATACGCTTCGAAGCCTGGACAAGTGAATCAAATTTGTAAAAAAAATTGATATCGAAATTATTTCATTTTTAGAATTTTTTTTTTTTTTTACTAATTAATTAATTACTAATTTGCTTATTAAATTTGTTTTGCAACTACTTTTTATTACAATGCTTTTCAAACAATATTAAATAAAAATATTATTTTTCATTTAATTTTTTATTTTTTAAAAAAAGTAAATAATAAAAAAAAAAGTAAATTTTTATTTTACTAAAAATTTGTAAATTATTTAAAAAGTTTGTTATTATGAATTTTTTTTTCTTTTCAAGCATCTTGAGTGTAAAATATAATCTAATAATAGACTAATGAAATAATAGTTAATAACGCGCGGGGAAAGTTCCAATATACTTATATACTTGAATTGAACGTATTTAATTATAACTAGGAAAATCCTTAGTTGATATTCTACATTTATACATTCAAGGTTTCATAGGTTGTTATTATTCATTAGCTTATGGATAAATAATAAAATAGTTCTCCATCAACGTTTGTGCATATATTTTAAATAATGGCAATAGATATTTTTTAAAAATTCATATAACGCATTTTAATATAATGAAGGCGGTCAGCTAGTTATGGACTAGTATGCTTATCAAGATTTCACAATTCGTCATGGAATTGAAAAGTCATTTAATCTTCGTGAAAAAATTTATATCGCTTTAATATAGTTGATGTAACCTTTTAAAACTTTAATGCAATTAATAAATGTTTATTTATATACACTCTCGTCTTTTCTCTTTTTACAAATGCAAAAAAAAAGATATAAAAATTTCGTCAGAAAATATAAATTTGAAGAAAAAAAAAAATGAAATTGAAGTCATTAATTTTAAGAAATTTACTCTATTTATGATATATTAAAATTAAAATTTAATTGAAAAATATGCGGAAAATTTTAATTTTCAATTCAATTTATCAATGAAAAAAATAATTTTTTTTTTTGGTTATTTATTACGTATGTGTGTACAATGTATATGACCAGCGATTAAAAAAAAAAAAAAACTACTAGCAACAAAGACGAAAAATAATTTTAAAAATCGAAAAACTTGGGAAAACTTTTTTCAAACAAAAAATTGTAATATTAAAATTATTGAATAATAAAAAATGTTGTTCTCTAAATCGTTAAACTTCGTTATTTATTTGTTTTTTTTTTTTTTTTGAAATTAAACATTTGACGTAATTTTTGAAGAATTTAGTAAATTTCTGAAAATAAACTTTCTCCTCTTTTATATATATATAATAGGTTCATCAATAATATTATTTTTTTCAATTCAGGGACAAATTTAAATATATCTATCGATATATATTTAAATAAATTTTAATTGCATAATTTTGAATATAATTTACAATTTTTATTCTTTTTACGCACACACAAAAAAAAAATACAAAATCTTGATTTTAATTAACTGAATCATTGATGATGAATCATTGATTAAATTATGACAATTTTATATACTGATCAATATAGGCTTCTTAAACAATTTCATAAATTTTCTCATTTTAGAGTAAAATGTATACTACCAAAACACATTTTCCCATACTAGGTCACGTGGGAGGTTCCAACATAATCTTAATTATAATTATGTATTTTGTTTTTTTTTTTTTATAGAAATCCAAATAAATAAATTGCCATTTTTAATTTTTCTATTTAATTAAATTTGAATTTGGATAAATTTTTATTTAAGTGAATAATTACATTTTGCAAGAATTTTTATTTTGACAGAATTAATTTTAAAATAATTATTTGCGTTTTATTTTTAAAAAATGTTGGTTCGACAGGATTTTTTAATTTAACCGAACTTTCATTTTATTGGAATTTTTGTGTTTGATCACAGTTTTTAATTTAATATAATCCTCGTTTGATAACAAAATTGATATAATCGAATTTTTGACATTTTTTTAATTAAACTGTATTTTTATTTAAACGAATTTTTTTTTCTATTTTGTTTGCATTAAATTATTATCGAAATTTTTTATTTTTAATTTATAACCAATTTTATATTTAGACAATTTTGATTTTAATCGATTAAAAATAAAATTTTGCCAAATTTCTGTTTGGACAATTTTTTAATTTTATTGAATCTTTTTTTTGAACGAATTTTTTTTAGCAAGATTTATGTTTGGACGAAGTTTTAATTAAACTGAATTTTCTTTTAAACTAATTTTTATTTTGACAAATTTCCATTGAAAAATTCATTTTAAAAATGTTTTAAAATAATTTGCATTTTTTGAGATTTCAAAAATTATAATTTTGTTGTAAATATAAAGATTAATTAAAAAACGATTTAAATAATTGAATTTTTGAAAAATTGAATTAAAATTTTTGAAATAATTAATTAAACAATTAATTATTCAATTACTAATTGAATTTGGAAGAATTCGAGTTAAAATTTTTTTGGAAGTAATTAAATTTCAAAAGATTTTAAATTGAAAATTTCATAAATTTTAATTGATATAATTTTTTTTACAAACTTTATAGAATAATAGAATTTTAGAGTATTTTTAATTAAAAAACTGTATTAAAGTAATTAAAAAAATTAATTGGAAAATATTTTAAATAATTGAATTTTCGAAAATGTTGATAAAAATTTTTGTTAAATTAAATTACCCTCAACAATTTCAATTTTAGATCTAGAAAATTTTGAAATAATTGTATTTTAGAAGAGTTTGAGTTAAAAATTTTAGAAATAATACTTGAATTTCAGAAGATTATTAATTGAAACTTTCATTTTGAATTGGTGAAATTTTTTTTAAAAATTTTAGATAATAATTGAATTTTAGTGAATTTTCAATTGAAAACGGTCTATATTTCAATTATTTAACAAATTTTTCTTTAAATGAATTATTTTTAATAATTTTAATAAAATTCTTCACAAATTCAATTATCTTAAATTATTTTTGAATTAAAAATTTAATGAAATTCAACAATTGTTTATAATTAAAAAAAAAAAAAAATCAAATAAAATTATCAAAAAATTTCAATTTAAAATTTAATTATTTTTAAAATCAGGAAATAGTCATGTGAAAAGAAAATATTATATTTTTGTACCAATCCTAAATTTATAATAATAAAAATAATTTATTATAATTAATGTTGTATTTTTAATTTTCAGAGCCTTTTTCGGATTGGTTAGAGGAAAAGATTAATCTTCCGATATTTGAAGGACTACCAGGACCAGAATGCGGTCAAAACAAAGCAGTTGTCTATTCAAATTTGGAGAAGATTCATCATCAGGACACCACACAGAGTCTCCTGCAAGAATTCGAAACAGTGATGGGTGATGTTGAGGCATGTCATTATCAAATCTCTCAACCTGTCATCTCAACATTGACACCTCCACAATCACCACCACCACAACAACAACAACAACAACAACAACAACAAACGACAATTAAATCAGTCAACGAAACACACTTGCTGGTCACTCTGCAACCAATGCAAAATACCTTCGTATACCCTAGCCAACAGAATAACAATATTGATCATAATCAACAACAACAATCGATTCCAATCGTGAAGTCAATGCCTTATATAGATCAAATCCCAGAACAGTGGAATGCTGAAAATCTATCATTGGAACCACTTGGAGGTGATGTGGCAAGAGAATTAGCTGCTGTCGATGAATATGTACGCTCATGTGTTGAAGATGTTTCACCATCAAGTCCATGTACAAGTTCTGGCGCAAGTTGCACATCATCAGAGGAATCAATCGATGATCCCGATTGGGTCATTGATAATGGTAATCATCATAATTCAAGAAAAGCACCATCAAGCATGTTAAAATTGAGACGCAAGCCATATTCAAAAGTTGGCGTTGAAGATAAAAAAGTACGCAAAAAGGAGCAGAATAAAAATGCAGCCACACGTTATCGGCAAAAAAAGAAGCAAGAAATAAAAGAGATTCTCACTGAGGAACAACAACTTGTCAAGCATAATGATAAGCTGCAGGAAAAAGTTAAGGATCTACAACGTGAAATTGGTTATTTAAAAGGATTGATGAGAGACCTCTTTAAAGCAAAGGGTTTTATGAAGTAAAAATATTCATTCTAAAATGGCTCATTTTCGTCTTTTTTAATTGTATTTTATTTTTTACTAAATATCTCCTGCTTACATCGATAGATTTTTTTTTTTAAATAATTGCATAATAATTTTAGAACTACTTTCATTTTATAGTTGACAATAATTTTTTTTTTCCACATGTTCATTTAAGAAAATTAGAAGAGAAAAAAAAACAATTACGAATTTTTTTAAGCGCTAAATAATTAGCAAATAAATCAATATTCGTAATTATGCTATTTTGTTTCGTTTTAAGATTCAAAACAGAATTACTTCTTCTTGATGAAAATTTCAATTTGTCTTTGAAATATTTTAAATGTTTTTTTAATTAAAGAAGGAATTTTTTCTTTAAAAAAGCAATTAACATTTTTTGGAATTAATTTTAAAAAAATCAATTTCATGATTTTTTGTTGAATTTAAGGAGAAGTTATTCGAGAGAGTTTTTACTTATATATATATATATATATATATAAATGTTTGTATCTCCTGCAGCATCTATTAGACATATAATATATATTATATATTGTTTTTTGTATAACATCTTTTTTTTTTGATAACATTTAAGATCGATTTACTGGTGTGTTAATCGCAATAAGTTTGTCTAAAGCGTACATGCCCCTATGAAGCATTGATTATAATGCGGAAATTTGCTGTTCGCGGAAACAATCAATTATGTCAGTTTACACATCCATTTTTATTGAATGATTTCATTCCGAAATGATTTTAACCCAATATTATATCTTATATATATTTTTTCTTAAATAAAATTCTGTATTGAAAAAAAAAAACAGAAATAAATGGGTTAAGAAGTAGTAAACCGTATATTTTTGTGTTTCTTTTATTTCTCATTGTTTGTTTTCTTAATTCTTCGATGACAAAATGTCGCAAAAACAAAATGCAAATATTTATTGAATTAAAAAAAATTAATGGAAAAAAATTTATTTTTATAAAAATGAAATTTGATATTAAAAAAGTAAATAGAAAGTGAACATTAAAATTTAGAAAATCAATCCTTATAATTATGAAATTATTTATTGTAAAAAATAAAAATTGTACCTTTTCTTTTCATTTTTTATATTGAACAAAATTAATTCAAGTTAAAGTATTTATAATATTAAAATAATTAACAGAATTTTTATTTGTTGGCCTAAATATAGTTAATTTCATTTAGATCAATGTCAAAAAAAAAAAAAATGAAATTCTTAATTCGGATTCTTTTAAAAAAATTTAAAAATTTCTAATAATTTTTTATTAAAAATTGTTTAATATTGTTTTTCATTTTTATTAAAAACGTAAATATTTTAAATTAATTTAATAATGCAGACCTCGGATCAACTTCAAGGTGCAAAAAAAGTTGTTTCAGTTGATTTAAATTACAAATAAATTCCAAAAAGTCAAATTTTTTAATTTTAACTAAATTTAATTAGTTAATAAATATTTTACATTTAATAATGAATTAGATATTAAAAATTAATTTTATTAATTCTTTAATAAGAATACGTAATTCTATAAAAATACTATCAAGAAAATTTATTGCGTATATTTTATAAGCGAAGAAAAATTTTCAAAATTTTAATTTTATACTTTTTATTTTAATAGTCAAAAAAATTTCGAACAATAACTTTATAGATTTTTAAATAAAAATTTTTTTTAAATAATTTAATTGCAGATTTTAAATTTGAAAAAAATTTTTTGCAAATTTAAACTGCTGTAGTTTTTTTTTAAATTTTAAACAATTATTGAATTTCATAAAATTATTGAAAATAATTTATTTAGTGAAGAAATTTACTTAAAAATTTGTTAAATAATCGAAATAAAGAAGATCTGAAGAAGATTTGCATTATGAACTAAAAAAAGACGTATTTGTTTAAAAAATTTGTAAAAACTGTTAAAAAAAAGTCGTATAATCCGAGGTCTGATAATAAAAAAAATGATTTTCTTTATATTATTTTTTCTCTTTTTTTAAAAATTGGCGCCAAAATTAAAACTAGAATACATATATTTGTGTCGGTAAAATAAATATCTGCGCAAAATTACCGTCTGGTAGGGAAAATGACGTCACAATAAAATACTCTGTAGAGTGCGCTATTGTTGCGCGGTGAAAAATATCTCACTGAAAGTTATTCTATGTTAGATAGTCATTGGCTATGCCATGCGTAACAACGGTTAAATTTGAAAATATAAATGTTGTTTATCAAATGAACTGCGACAAAGATTATTATTTTAATTAGAGAAGTGAAAAATATTATATAAAACAAAATGAAACGACGTTCTTCATCAAATCCACCGGATCGTTCGGATAGTCACAGAAGAACAACTCAACTTCAAAAATATAGAGGTTCATCAGATGGTTCTCATATTCCTCGACCTCGAATAAGAAGTTTATCAACAGATCGACTTAGTGGTAGAAAATCAAATTTAATAAAACAATCAGGTAAGAATAATTCATTATTTTTAATATATTATAAGTGTCATTGTTTAGTTTTTATATTTAAATCATTTTCACGTTTGTTTTCATTTCATTTGACTGAATTTTGTTTCGATTGTCCGTAGATAGAATTTTTCTCTAAATTTTAATATACAATTTTTTTTTAATAATAAAATTCTAATAAGTTTTATATTATTAATGTTCTTTTCAAATCAACTAATATTAATTAATATATTATTATTTATCGTCATATTTTTTTCTGATTGTTTTTTAGAAGTTTATCTTTTAATAAATATTTAAACGTTTAATTTAATAATACATGAGTATCGAACAATATTTATATTTTTATCAAGGAAATAATAAATTATTTGTGTGAATTATTTAAAATTCTACTGAATGAGAATTCTAATAAATTAAAAATAGGTTAAATTAGAATTCTTTTCAAGAAACAGTTGGGTAAAGAGAAATTTTGAAAAATAAAAATTCTGTCAAATAAAAATTCGGTACTTGAAAAATTCCGTTTTGTAAACATTCGTTTAAAAAAAATTCTGTATTAAATGCTATTTTGTAAAAGAAAAATTTATGTGAAAAATCATTTCTATGGAATAATCATAGTTGTGTCAAAAACAAAAAGTTAATCGAAATTTAACAATAGATAGTTTTTTTTTTTTTAATAATCATGAGAAAAATGATGTTAATTTTATTCCTCAGAATTTTTCTTTCAATTTTTTTAGACAAAAAAATATTTACACTTTAACGTCAAAATTAGAAAACTAATATTTTACTTCATTTTAAAGATGGCAATTTTTTTTATACTTTTTTCAATTTTGGGGATACTTTTTTTTTAAAAAAATGATACTTTTTCATACTTTTCTTAGTCTCTTACTACGCTTCAAAGCCTGTAAAAATCATTTAAAATGATTATATTTCGGAAGAGTTATAGTTGAAATTATTAAATTTCAAAAAATTTTAGATGGATTTAGAAATAATTAAATTCTAAAAGGTTTCAAATTGAAATTTTTTAAAATAATTGAATTCAAGTGATTGAATTGAAATTTTTTTGTTGATTTCTGTTGCTGAATAATTTATTTAAATTTAAAGACAAAAATTGTATTTAAAATTCTTTCAGATAATTTAATTTTTTTAAGAATATTCAGGGTGTCTAACGGTCAGGGAAAGTCAGAGAATTTTAGAAAATTTCATTCAAAGTCAGGGAAATTTCTGTAAATTTCTAAAAAAATTAAAATTTTTTGTGAATTTAAAATTTTTTTAATCTAAAAAAACTTGAATGGTTTTTATTACCATTTGTTACTACCATTAGAAATTAATTTATTGTTAAATATGTCAGTAACCATATTTTTGTCTAAAGAAAGCAGAAATAAGGTTATTAAAAAGTCATGGAGGAGTCAGGGAATTTTTTTGCTTAATCCTTGTTAGACACCCCTGATATTTTAAAAATCATTAAAAATAATTGAAAATTCGGAAGAATGATAATTGAAATTATTAAATTTCAGAAAGTTTTAGATGGGAAATTTTAGAAATAATTAAATTTTAAAAAGTTTTAAATTGAAATTTTTTTTGAAAATAATTGAATTTAAGTAATTTTGAATTATAATTTTTTTGGTGTTATCTGTTGCTGAAGAATTTCATTAAAATTATTAAAAATAATTAATTTAGAGAAAAATTTTAGTTAAAAATTTGTTAAATAATTGAAATAAAGAAGATTTTAGGAAGATCTACATTGTATACTAAAAAAGGCATATTATGTTTAAAAATTTTGTAAAAAAAAAGTCGAAAAAAGTCGTATTTTCGAAAAAAAAGTCAGAAAAAGTCGTTTAATCCGAGGCCTGCGAATGATACCGAAAGGCGGGAAAAAAAATTCAGGCCTCGGATTATACGACTTTTTCGACTATTTCCGACTATTTTTCAAAAATACGACTTTTTTGACTTATTTTAATAAAATGCGACTATTTCGACTTTTTTTTACATTTTTAAAAAAGTTTTTTAAATAAAATATATTTTTTTTTTTAGTATAAAATGCAGATTTTCTTCAGATCTTCTTTATTTCAATTATTTAACAAATTTTTAACTAAAATTCTTCACTAAATTAATTATTTTTAATAATTTTAATGAAATTCATCACAAATTCAATTATTTCAAATTATTTTTCAATTAAAATTTTTATAAAATTTAACAATTATTTATAATTTAAAAAAAATATCAAATAAAATTACCAAAAATTTTTAATTCAAAATCATAAATCAATTCAAAATCAAATAAAATTGAATTATTTTCAAAAATTTCAATTCAAAATCAGCTAAAATTCAATTATTACCTAAAATTTTAATTTAAAATTGAATTATTATCAAAATTTTCAATCAAAAATCAACTAAAATTAAATTATTATCCAACATTTCAATTGAAATTCAATTATTTTCCAAAATTTCAATTCAAAATCTTTTAAAACGCAATTATATTCCAAATTTTCAATTTAAAATCAAATAAAATTCAATTATTACCCAAAATTTCAATTCAAAATCAAAGAAAATTTAATTATTTTCAAAATTTTCAATTCAAAATCAACTAAAATTCAATTATTCTCAAAAATTTTAACTCAAAATCAAAGAAAATTTAATTATTTTCAAAATTTTCAATTCAAAATCAACTATAATTCAATTATTCTCAAAAATTTTAACTCAAAATTATTTATTATTAAAATTTTCAATTCAAAATCAACTAAAATTCAATTATTCTCAAAAATTTTAACTCAAAATCAAAGAAAATTCAATTATTTTCAAAAATTTGAATTTAAAAGCTTCTAAAATTTAATTATTTCTAAAATTTTTTTGAAATTTAACTATTTCAATTATAACTCTAAGGAAATTGAATTATTTTTAACTATTTTTATAATATTCTTTGAAAATTCAACTATCTGAAACCATTTTTCAATTAAAAATGGTTTTCAAATTATTGTATTTTTGTCTGCAATTTCTAATAAATTTTTTTAGTGAAATCATCAAAAATTTTTAATTAAAAATCACTTGAGCCGCCGGAAAGTAAAAGGGCGCATAAAATTTGTACGGCCGTTCGAGTTGGCCCCTGACGCTTGAAAAATCGATTTAAAAAAAAATTTTTTTTTATTACTACATTACTGGAAATTTTATTCCGCATCTTTTTTCTTCTATGAAAAAAATCTTTATCTTTTTCGGTTTTCGAGTAAATCGAAAAAAACTGGATTTTTAAAAAACACAAATTTAATTAAATTTTTCACTTCAACTCGCTCTAAAAAACAAAGTTATAAATATTTTTTGACAAAATTTACAGGAATTATAGTTTAAACTATTCTTAAAACGACAAACTTTGTAAGAATGTAATTTTTTTATTTCGAAAAAAGTTATGAATTTTTTTGTTTCACAGTGACAAATTTACGTTTCCAAATTTTCAAGGGCTTCGTTTATCTGAAAAATTTTCAGTCAGTGAAAACTTATCCCGAAAAAAATGTTCACTAGGGCCTTACAAACATTTTTGTAAAATATTTTTGCAATTGGAATAGCCGTTTACGAAATATTATTGAAAAACTAGTTTTCGTCAAACGCGCGCGAGTAAACATAAACGACCTTGGCAGCCATCGCTGAGTACTAGCCGGCTCTACACAAACGGGAAGTTTTTGACTCGCGCGCGTTTGACGAAAAATAGTTTTTCAATAATATTTCGTAAACGGCTATTCCAATTGCAAAAATATTTTACAAAAATGTTTGTAAGGCCCTAGTGAATATTTTTTTCGGGATAAGTTTTCACTGACTGAAAATTTTTCAGATAAACGAAGCCCTTGAAAATTTGGAAACGTAAATTTGTCACTGTGAAACAAAAAAATTCATAACTTTTTTCGAAATAAAAAAATTACATTCTTGGGTCATTCCATTATATTTCACCTAAAGTCGTTGCGGCCTAATTTTTAAAGAAGTTGATACTTTCAGAAATGATTTTTTATGATATTTAGGAAACGAAATAAAAAGAATTAATTAAAAATTTTTATTATTTATCTCAAAATATGTATTTAAAGTGGACAAGGTGCGGAAAAATGTCACCTTTTTAGCATTTAGAAACTTTTTTTAAAAACGTAGAAAAATTGTTAAAAGTGTAAAAAAAATTATTTTTTCTTGTTTAGAATCGATTAATTATCTATTTTTTAATGATTAAAGTAGTAAATAAATTAAAATAATATATAAAATAAGTTTTCAAAGTTGGTCTGTCAAATAACCTAATTTTGGGATTTTTATTAATTAATTACTAAAAAGTGGAGTTATTAAATAAAATAAAAACTTACCGAATGTAAAGTATTTGTGGTGAACTTTCAAATTTTCTTAGCACTTTGTACTTTTTAAATTTATAAATGTAAAAAATCTTGAGTCGAAAATTTGCACTTTGTTGACTTTTCCGATTTTTAATCGCTTGTAACTCTTTTGGTGCAAAATAAAAACTTTTGAAACCTTGTGGAATATTTAAGTTAAATCTAAATAAAAACTCACTTAAATTTTTGTGATGGATTTTGATCGAGATAAGGAGAAAATTTAATTCCAAAATTGTACGTATATTTCCAGGTTAATGTATGTAATTTTTTTAAACTTGAAGTTGGGCCACTACTTCAAAGACGAAAAATTACATACATTAACCTGGAAATATACGTACAATTTTGGAATTAAATTTTCTTCTAATCTCGATCAAAATCCATCACGAAAATTACAGTGAGTTTTTATTTAGATATAACTTAAATATTCCGCCAGGTTTCAAAAGTTTTTATTTTGCACCAAAAGAGTTACAAGCGATTAAAAATCGGAAAAATCAACAAAGTGCCAATTTTCGACTCAAGATTTTTTACATTTATAAATGGAAAAAGTAAAAAGTGCTAAGAAAATTTGATAGTTCACCGCAAATACTTTACATTCAGTGAGTTTTTATTTTATTTAATAATTCCACTTTTTAATAATTAATTAATAAAAATCCCAAAATTAGGTTATTTGACAGACCAACTTTGAAAACTTATTTTATATATTATTTTAATTTATTTACTACTTTAATCATTAAAAAATAGATAATTAATCGATTCTAAACAAGAAAAAATAATTTTTTTTACACTTTTAACAATTTTTCTATGTTTTTAAAAAAAGTTTCTAAATGCTAAAAAGGTGACATTTTTCCGCACCTTGTCCACTTTAAATACATATTTTGAGATAAATAATAAAAATTTAAACTTAATTCTTTTTATTTCGTTTCCTAAATATTATAAAGAATCATTTCTGAAAGTACCAAATTTTTTAAAAATTAGGCCGCAACGACTTTAGGTGAAATATAATGGAATGACCCTCTTACAAAGTTTGTCGTTTTAAGAATAGTTTAAACTATAATTCCTGTAAATTTTGTCAAAAAATATTTATAACTTTGTTTTTTAGAGCGAGTTGAAGTGAAAAATTTAATTAAATTTGTGTTTTTTAAAAATCCAGTTTTTTTCGATTTACTCGAAAACCGAAAAAGATAGAGATTTTTTTCATAGAAGAAAAAAGATGCGGAATAAAATTTCCAGTAATATAGTAATAAAAAAAATTTTTTTTTTTTAAATCGATTTTTCAAGCGTCAGGGGCCAACTCGAACGGCCGTACAAATTTTATGCGCCCTTTTACTTTCCGGCGGCTCACTTGAAGTTCAATTAATTTCAAAAATCTCAATTGTAAATCTTTGAAAATTAAATTACATTTAAAAAATGTTATCTAAAATTTTTTGATAAATTATTTTTAGTTCTGTAAAATTTAATTATTGTCTGAAAATTAACAAAATCTTTTGAAATTCAATTATTTCTAAAAATTTCAACTTTAACCCTTCCAAAAGTATTATTATTTAAAAAAAAAAAATTATTTAAAAATCTGTAAAATGTTTTTGTTAAAATAAAAAAAATCGACTAAAACGACTTTTTTTGTGCCTTTAAGTTGATCCAAAGCCTGAAAATTATTAAAACAAATGAATTAGATAACAAAATGGCATATACAGGAAGTAAATAATTGATCATCTATAAATTTTGTTCAATTTTTTAAATTTTCGGACAAAAATAATAGTCCCTCTAATTGCAACTTTGTAATTATGACAAATAATTAATAATTGTATTTATTTTGCAGGAAAAGTTTCAATAGGACATTATGGTTTGGCAACACCAAGTAGAGCATCCTATGCACCACGCTCTGCAATGTTATCAATGTCAGTCCAAAGAAATACACGTTCACCATCTGCCGAACGTGCCGGTATGCTCGTTGGAAAAGCACCTCGCAAAGATACAAGACCAATAGCCGATAAAGCATTTCAAACATTAATGATCAAAAAAATTGAAAATTATTTTCATAATATTCAACAAAGTTCTATGCTCAATACAAATGGTAGTTTAAAGCCATTGTCTATAAAAATGTTTGTCGATATGTCAGGTTTACTCGTTGGACTATTGGGTATTAAACATACATTAAATACCATAAATTATGTCGAGGAAATACCAAAAATTGCCAAGAAACTTAATTATATGGGACAAATGACAAAGGCCTGGTTAAAAACGGCAAATGCAATGCACGGTTTACCAAATTCATTAGCATGGTTAAGTTGGCTCGTTGAACTTTGTGAATTAAAAGATCTTGCATTTGAACAATTTTCATTGAAAAATTTGCCATTTTTAAATGTTAACGATCAAGCAGCAAAAAATCGTAATTTATTTCTCTCAATGATGGATTGGTATATTGCATGGAATGAAGATGCACAACTTGAAGAGACACTTGTCGAAGAATATTTACAAGATGAAGAATCACATTATGATGTTAGCGATGAAACATATCAACGTGCAAAAGCTGATTATGAAAATAAATTGCGTGAATTTGAAAAAGAAGAATTACGAATTCAATTAGATATTGAAACAAAAAAATTAAATGATATTTTAACTAATTTAAAACAAGACAATAATAATATTGATGATTATTTTTTGGAACAAAATCAACATATCAAAAATCTTGATGATGAAAATGAAAAAGTTGAAAGAGATTGTAATATATTAGATGATGATATTGAAAAAAATTTACAACTACAAGAAAAATTAAAACTCACTATTGATCAACAAAAAATAACAATTGAAGAACGTGATGAAATTGTTGCCAAATGTAATGATATAAAAAAATTTTTAAAAGAATATTCCAATCATGTCGATGATATTCAAAAGGATGTCTATTCACGTGATATTAAATTGGCATCGTTAAATCATAATTTAACAAAAATTGTTTTAAAATATAATCGCGATTGTCATAATTCATTTGTTGGAATAACAGGTGTTGATATAACAAAAATTGAATTACCAGAAAATATATCGTCAACATTGTCAATAGATATTTTAAAAAATGTCTCAAAAGAATTGACAATATTAAAAACGAAAAAAGAAAAAGAATTACATGATGTGGAAAAATTAATTGTTGAAAATAATGTTGAATTACAAAATTTAGAAAAGAAATTGTCAAAAGTTATGGAATCTGAAGAGGATATGGGGAGAAAATCAGAGGAGATTGAAATTGAAATTAATGAAATTGTTGCACAAGGAAAATTAGAAGAGGCCGATATACGTGAGAAAAATAAAAAATTAGAGGAAAAAATTAAATTAATTCAAGAATCGCGAGTTGATTTAGTTAAATTAAATAATGAATTAGAGGAAGGAATAGATAAATTGAATTCATTAAAAAGACGAAAAGAATATTTAGAGCAAAATGCGTGTATATTTTTTGAAAATTTCTATTCTATTCTCGCTGGGTTGAGGAAAGAACGTGAACAATTTCTTATAAAAGATTGAATCTTTTTATTAACATAATTTTTGTACATAATTATAAAAAAAAATTTACCCTTTCTTTTAAATACTCAGTTTTAAAGTTTATAATTAAAAAAAAAAAATGTAATAAATATGTAAACTTGTATTATTATTATTCTTATTATTATATTCTTATATCTTATATTTATAAATTATTGAAAATTTGGAAAATATTTAAAAGTATGAAAAACGTTTTTGGTACAAATTATTTGTAAAAATTTAATTTTGATATTTGTCAATAATTTTAATTTAGTAATTATTTAAATAATTCAATCATTTAATAATTTTATTGAATTATTTGAAAAAAAAAATAAAAATTTGTTAAGTGTTTTAGTTAAGTTTCTTTTTATAAATAACATAATTAAATGGATTTAATAGAAATAAATCATAATTAAAATAATTGAAATTAAAAGCTTTGACTTTTTTTTTATATTTAAAAAATTTTGATTTAAAAATTTCAAAAATTTAAATATTAAAGAATTTATTCAAAAAATTATGAAATCAGGGTGTCTAACGGTCAGGGAATTTAATTAAAAGTCAGGCGAATTTTTAAAAATTTGCCAAAAATGAACATTTTTACGAATTTTTTAAATTTTTCAGTGCAAGAAAAAGTTTATAATGCTAATAAATAAAATATTTTTTATTATCTTAAAAATACTTTAATATTTGATACTTTTAATTTTTTTAATATTAAATATTTATCAAAGAAAAATAGGAAAAAGTCAGGGAATTTTTTTTTTACTTCTTGCTAGTCACCCTGGAAATAATTAAACAATTTTAAATAATAATTTAAATTATATTTTTGAAAATATATAATTACAACGTTTATAATCAACGAGTTAGAAGAAAAATTTATTTTTCTATACAAATTATTATAATTTTTTGTCTAAACAAATTTTTATAACATTTTGCGATCAACAATTTTTGAAAGAAAATAATTTACAGGCAAAAAAAAAAACTATTTTTCGGATAAAAATGATTTTTTTTTACAATCGTTGATCATTAACGTTGTGAATTTCACCGACGTATTTTTTTTTTTTTAAATTTGAATTGTTCTTTATATAAAATGTTCATCATAATTTTTATTCAATTGAATTTTTATTTATTACAATATTTTTAAAAATAGAATTCACATTTGATAAAAAGAAACATAATTCGAATTTTTTTTGTCTAAGAACTCTTTAGACATACACAACATAACGTAATAGCAAGCTTTGAAGTGACACACTTTTTCTTTTACTTTTTTGATACTTTTTTTTCGACAAGGCTACTTTTTTACTACTAATTTTGGCCAAAAAAGCCACTAAATGATAATTTTTTCAAAAAATAATTTTAAAAATAACAGAACTCAAGAATTTTAAATTTTAGCGAATTTTTTGATTCCTAAAAGTTTGCGAAGTTGATGATTTATCATTAGCCCCATGAATTACTGATTTATATAATTATTTTTTACACGAATTTTCATTTTTCAAAATAGCATTTAACATAATTTCTTTTTAAATGACAAATTTTAAAAATAATTGAATTTTGTAAGAGTTCGAGTTAAGATTTTTAGAAATAATTGAATTTTTGGAGATTTTTAATTAAAATTGTTGTTTTAAAATGCTAAATATTTTATATAAGCCTCCGATTCCAAGTTCTAGGATTTAAAAATTCGAATTACTTAAAATTCAACTGAATGAGAAATCTAATAAATAAAAAATTGGTTAAATTAGAATTCTTTTCAAGAAACAGTTGGGTAAAGAGAAATTTTTTAAATCAAAAATTCGGTACTTTAAAAATTACATTGAGTAAACATTCGTTTAAAATAAATTCGGTATGAAATGCTATTTTGTAAAAGAAAAATTTATGTGAAAAATCATTTCTATGGAATAATCATAGTTGTGTCAAAAACAAAAAGTTAATCGAAATTTAACAATACCTAGATAGTTTTTTTTTTTAATAATCATGAGAAAAATGATGTTAATTTTATTCCTCAGAATTTTTCTTTCACTTTTTTTAGACAAAAAAATATTTACACTTTAACGTCAAACTTAGAAAACTAATATTTTACTTCATTTTAAAGATGGCAATTTTTTTTATACTTTTTTCAATTTTGGGGATCCTTTTTTTTAAAAATAAAAATTATACTTTTTCATACTTTTCTAAGTCTCTTACTACGCTTCGAAGCCGGTAACAGTTCAAAATTTTTTTTTTTTTTTGGAAATATTTAATTTTAATTATCTGCTTTTTAAAAAATAGTGTTATTATAGGTATAATTACTCAGGTTAACAGTATTTCTTAATTTGTCCCATAGATTAAAATTTCTATATCTCAGAATGATGAATCATATTAATGTATAATATGATACAATGGTTAATTTGTTTCTAAGAAAAAATGTCTATAGTATTTACGTCCTTCAATGTAACATTTTACCATGACAAAAGTTCATTGTTTTACAAAAATAATTTATATTCGATATTTGTCAATAATTAACATTATTATATAATAGAAAGAAAGTTTGTGAAATCATAATAATAAATGGGTATACAAGAAAGTGTTATTGCAGTTTAGTATTCGATATTAATTTCTAACGAATGTTTTAGAATCTATTTTGAATGGAATAATATTTATTCATTGTACACTATATCCAATATATCTAACTACATTTTAATTACTTGTCCTTTTAAAAATGATTCCTTACGCGAAAGATACAAGTGTATGTAACTATAGTATAACCCCCCTCCCCCTGCCCTTCCGCTTATTCCTTTCACTTTTAAAGAAATGAATCGACAACTGGTTCAGTTTGTCAGTGTATTTTGCGGTGTAACAAAGTTGATGAAAAGTACATACATATATGTATATATATACATAATTATCGTCCTAAAAAATTTTTTCCGTTTCAAAAAATTTCTATTTTTAAATAATTACGCGATTTCATACAGGAAATTACTTTTCCTTGTTTTTATCTTATCTTTTTCAAAAATTAAAAAACAAGTTAAAATTAAGTTTACAATTATAGGTATTTCATTAAACATTTTTTGATAAATGAAAACATAAAATTTATGCATTATTAATAAATAAATATCAATTACTTAAAAAAGATACAATTTTTAAAGTTATCTAAATTAAATAAGTTTTGCAAGGTAATTTATCATTTTTATAATTTTATTGTATAATAATCAAATTTGAAACATATTTAAATTATTAAATATATTTTCTTTAGAATATAAATTTAATTTTGTTTTAGTATTAAATATATTTATTTACTAATTTGAGAAAAAGAAAAGACTATTATCACATTTGTAGATCAAGGATATATATGCACACATAAATATATCTCTCACGTACTTCAATTTATCTGTAAATTTATCTATATATATATATATATATATATATATTTTTTTATTATATGAAAGGTTGGAAAAAATTCTACATGTGTATTTGAATATTGTCGGTAAATATATATATATGTAATATATAGACAATGGGTGGAAGTAATTGCAAAAGTTTTTCTCCACGTTCGGTGATCAGAAGTAAATCATCTTCAAGTTCAGGTAAATAAATTGTTTATTATATAATATATTATTTCACAAAAAATATGACATAGAAAATTACATCTCCTGGAAAAACTGTTTTATTTTTTGAAAAAAAAGCAATTCACTTGTTTACGAATGTAATTATAAGTTACGGGATAAATTAAATGACAATTTTATTAAGAATTGAATAAGATTTGATTTTAAATATCAATTTCATTTTTATTCATATTTTCGCATCTTTTTTTTTATTTTCAACTTTCAAAATAAATTCATGGTATATATTTTGAATTATAGGTTAATGTGTGTAATAAAAAGAAAAAGTATTTATTATTTAAAAATGATTTATCTTGATTGAATTGTGATATTTTAAATAAATAAATCAATAGTATTCCAATGAAAGATTAAAATTCTTATAACGTTTCATATATAACCTTACTTTTTAATCAATATGAAAAAAATATTTAACATTGATCAAAACTAGGCCTGATTTTTTAAAATAAAAGTATATAGTAAAATATTTAACTTTATTAAACACAAAAAAAAACGTTTTGAAAAATGAATTTGAAACTAACTTGATCCGATCGATATGAAATGTGAGCAGTTGTCGTGATTATTACCATGGATACATGTATCCTATTTTCGTGTACATAATTTCGAGTAACTTGAGAAAATAATTTTGCATAAATCATAGTAATTACACTATTTGATTTTATAAAGAAATTAAGAGATCTTTTCTTTAAAGAAGATTGTTGTATTTTTTTTTTATTTACTTTATTCCCTTTGAGCCCTTTCCTATGCCTTTCATCATAACAATACTTTTGACGTTTAATAAACATAACCTTAAAATTAAAAGTGTCAATCGATGTCAAAAAATTGTCATTCTGAATGTGTAAAAATACTATTATACCAAATTTATTTTTACTGATAAGTTAAACAATCTTTTTAACTTCAATAATAATAAAACAGTAATTGTTTTCTTTCACAATTAATATTTACTATGGTAGTTAATTAAATTATTTCTCAAAAAATAATAAACCGGCAATTATATTTTTGTCACGTAAATTAACATACATACGATTAACAAATTTTTTTTACTACAGAAGAGAGAAAATATGACAGGTATCATTCAAATTAATAATTCTTTTATTATAGATATAATATGTAAATAAATAAAAAAAAAAGAAATTTTTTCAGACAGAGATTTAAACGTTTTCAAAATGTCATATATTCGCAAAATTTTTATTAAAAAAATTTTTTTTTCTTTTATTAGAATCTTAAAATGTCTCGTTTTGGAAATAGTCAAAGATGTGATCATTGCAATAAAATAAAATTACAAAATTTAACATTAAACAAATTCAACATTGCACATTGTTGTTGTTCCTGTAAGTTTTTTATTACAATAATTTCATTGTGAATCAGAGCTGAATAAAATACAATTTCAAATTCTTTTTTCCCTCTACGATTAGATGTTGGAACTCACCAAAAACATAAATCACTTTATTCTGCACAGAGGAACGAAAGAATTATTGCAAAAATGTATTATTTTTGGATGATATACGATTTTAAAAAAAATTTTATTTAAATATTCTCAAGATTTTTATTTACTTATAACTTTTTTGTCGGTGCTCCGAAAAAATTGAGGTTTTGCACATAGATTTTTAATAATATTCTTTACCTTCTATTAAAATCTTACGAAGGTGTTTTGCTTCGTTTTGGAGATATTAATTTTCAAAATTTTTTATTTAAAAATGTTAATTAAAAGACTTGAAGTTAACTGACCAATTTCAAAACGCTACACTTTAATATATTTTTATAAAAAATGGAGCAGTTTGAATTTGGTTAGTTAACTTCAAGTCTTTTAATTAACCTTTTTAAATAAAATTTTTTTTAAATTATTATCTCCAAAACGAAGCAAAACACCTTCGTAAGATTTTAATAGAAGGTAAAGAATATTATTAAAAATCTATGTGCAAAACCTCAATTTTTTCGGAGCACCGACAAAAAAGTTATAAGTAAATAAAAATCTTGAGAATATTTAAATAAAATTTTTTTTAAAATCGTATATCATCCAAAAATAATGAATTTTTGCAATAATTCTTTCGTTCCTCTGTGCAGAATAAAGTGATTTATGTTTTTGGTGAGTTCCAACATCTAATTTTTAATAGTTTTTTAATAATAGCGTTTTTAAAAAAATTGAAAAATTTAAGGTTACAAAATCACATTGTGAACCTCCTACTTTTGATATTTAATATTTTTAAAGGGAATAAAATTTTTACCATAATATTATGGTTAATGAACTCAGGGAATCATCGAGTTTCACATATATTAAAACTAGATTTTTTTAAAATTTGTACTTTAATTATTTTTATAAAAATAAAATTTCAAAAATATATTTGAAAAATAAAAATTTAAATTATTATAGAATTTTAGTTTTTATTTTCAAAGAATTTTTCTTTTGCAATAAATTATAAAAATATTTTTAGTTCCCTTTTTACATTTTTTTCAATTTTAACAATTTTTCACCTTTTTTTAAATGATTTTCCCCCATTTTTTTTGATGATCAAAAATATAGAATTTTTTTGTAAATATTTCAAATTGTGTTTATAAAAAAGAGATTTTAATTTGTTTTTTTTGTTTGTCATCTTTCTGTCCCCTTTTTTAGAAAAAAAATCACCTTTTTGAGGAGAAAAGGTACTGTGATTCCTGAATAATAATGTATGTATTTTTTTTTTTTAGGTAAATCGGAGAACAATGATTACATTGAAGGTGTGGTGTGTAATGAAGAGGATATTAAGGAGAATGAAATGAAAATGTTGTCGCTTGGTGAGGATGGTGGAAAAGTTTTGCTTATTAAACAAAAAGGTGAATTTCATGCAATTGGAACAAAATGTACACATTATGGTGCATTATTGCACACTGGTGCTTTAGGAGAAGGTAGAGTAAGATGTCCATGGCACGGTGCTTGTTTCAATATTAAAACAGGTGATATTGAAGATTATCCTGGACTTGATTCCTTACCTTGCTATCAGGTATTATGATCAATAATTAACAAAAAATATTAAAATACATGCCTCGGATTATACGACTTTTTCTCACTTTTTTCAACTTATTTTAATAAAATGCAACTTTTTCGACTATTTTTTACATTTTTTTTACAAAATTTTTAAACAAAATATATCTTTTTTAGTATACAATGCAGATCTTGTTAAAATATTCTTTATTTCAATTATTTAACAAATATTTAACTAAAATTTTTCTCTAAATTAATTATTTTCAATAACTTTAATGAAATTCTTCACAAATTCAATTATATCAAAGCATTTTTCAATTAGAAAATTTTAAAGTTCAATTTTTGTCTTTAATTTTTAATAAATTCTTTAGCAACAGAAATCATCAAAAATTCCAATTCAAAATCATTTGATTGCAATTAATTTCAAAAACTTTAATTTAAAACCATTGGAAATTTAATTATTTCTCAAATTTTTCCATCTAAAAAATTTTCAATTATTTTTAATGATTTTTATAATATTCTTCCAAAAATTCAATTATCTGAAAGCATTTTTCAATTAAAAAATTTTTAAATACTAATTTTTTTGTCTTTAATTTTTAATAAATTCTTCAGCAACAGAATTCACTAAAAAAAAATTCTAATTCAAAATTACTTGAATTCAATTATTTTCAAAAATTTCAATTTAAAAACAACGTTTATGATAAACGATTTTTAAAGAAATAATTTTTTAAAATGAAAAATTCTATAATTTTTTGCCTAAAAAATATTTCTTATAGTTTTCATTAATCAACAAATTATAAAGAAATATTTTTTAGGCAAAAAATTATAGAATTTTTTACTTTAAAAAATTATTTCTTTAAAAATCGTTTATCATAAACATTGCTGCGTACTTCAGCTTCGTAAACCTATAAAAATTTAATTTTTTCTAAAATTTTCCATCAAAAACTTTTTTGAAATTTAATAATTTTGACTATAACTCTTTCAAAATATAAAATTATTTTATATATGATTTTTATAATATTCTTTGAAAATTCAAATGTGTGAAAGCATTTTTTAATTGAAAAATGTTTAAATTAAATTTTTGCCTGCAATTTCTAATAAATTTTTCAGCAGGAGAAATCACAAAAAATTTTAATTAACAATCACTTGAATTCAATTATTTTCAAAAATTTCAATTTAAAATCTTCTAAAATTAAATTATTTCTAAAAATGTCAACTGTAACTCTTACAAAAATTTAATGATTTTAAATGAATTTCATAATATCCTTCAAAAATTCAATTATTTGATAGCAATTTTTAAATTTTCAATTTTTGTCTGTGATTTTTAATAAATTCTTCATCAATAGAAATCACCAAAAATTTCAATTAAAAATTACTTGTAGTTCAATTAATTTCAAAAATCTGAATGGTAAATTTTTGAAAATTCAATTACTTTTAAAAAAATGTTGTCTAAAATTATTTGATAAATTATTTTCAATTCTGTAAAATTTATTTCTTGTCTGAAATTTAACAAAATCTTTTGAAATTTAATTATTTTAGAAAATTTCAACTATAACTCTTCCAAATTTCAATTTTTTAAAATAATTTTAATATTTCTTTAAAAATTAATAATTATTTTAAAAAAGTTTCCAAATAAAAACTAAAATTGAATTGTTTTCACATTTTTTTTTTTTTTTTTTTTTTTTTTAGAAATTTGTCCTACTTATTTAAAATTTGGAAATTAATAAAATGGACGATTTGAAGGTAAAAATATTTTTCTATTATAATTTTTTTGTCTGACAAAATTTTGTCAACAATTCTCGATCAACAATTTTTATAAAGAAAAATTTTTTTATTTTCCGTGTGAAAAATATAATTTTTAAAATCATTGATTAACGATTTAAAAAAAGTTTTTTTTTAAGCATTGTGAACTTCATCGATGTAAAATACTACAATAAATACAGAAGGAATTGTATTATTCTTATACAATAAAATTGCAATATTTAATTTATTTAAAAAACAAATGTTTAAATATTAAAATTTGTTAATTTTAATAAAAACAAAAAATTTATTTTTAAGGTAAGCGTGAATGATAATGGAAATGTGCGAGTACGAGCTAAACGAAAAGATCTTGAGGCTAATCGACGTACAAAAGAAATATGTCCCTTTAATCTTGATAATTTAAATACTGCTGTTATAATTGGCGGAGGTCCTGCTGGTGCAACATGCGCTGAAACTTTACGCCAAGAAGGTTTCACCGGGCGAATTATTATGATTTGTAAAGAAAATTCTTTGCCCTACGATCGTATTAAAGTGTCAAAAATAATGGATTTAAATGTGGATAATATTCTCTTGAGGTCTCAAATGTTTTACGATGAATATAAAATTGAAACTCGTCTTGGCATTGAAGCAACAGGTGAAAATTTAATTTTTTTTAAAAAAATTATTATTAAAACCAAGACGTCAAACGTCATTAAATTTATTGCCTCTAATTAATAATAATACAGTAATTATTACAATTTTCTTTTTTTTATTTATAATTTAGGCTTAGATACAGAGAGAAAATTGATAAAATTGAATAAAGGAGAAGAAATAAATTATAAACATTTATTTATATCAACTGGTTGTAGACCACGAGTGCCAGATACTCCTGGCATTGATTTGAAAAATATTTTTTATCTTCGAAATTACACGGACTCAAATAATATTCATAAACAATTGTCATCTGAAAAACATGTTATTATTTTGGGTACAAGTTTCATTGGAATGGAAGCAGCTGCTTATTGTATTGGCAAATGTGCGTCAGTTACTGTTATTGGAAGGGAATCCGTACCATTGGAGCCCGTTTTTGGTGCTGAAATTGGTGAAAGAGTTAAGCGGGAATTTGAATCTAAAGGTTTGTCAAAAATAATATTATTAGAGATGAAAATTTTTTAAAAATTGAAATCAATATTTTTTTTTAAAGATTATTAAATATTTTATGTATAACAAATTTTTTTTTTTATTTATGTTTTGGATAGCCATAAGTCAAAGATAAATTCTTTTCGTCAGGAAAATTTGGGAAATTGAACCTATTTGAAATTTTGTCACCTATTTCAACTGTTTTGGCAATTTGTTACCTTTTTCATCTTTCTCATAATTCGATTAATTTGTGAATTTAATATTTAAAAAATAATTAAATTTACAATTTAAAACATTGATTTAAGCTCAGGAATGTTGAAAAATAATTTAATAGTTTAAAGAAATTTTTTTTAACATTCTTGCACTTATAAATTAATTTAGAGAACACAAAATTATAGATTTTCATCTTTTCAATGATTCATTTGACCGAAGCTTGAATTTATCAAAATTATTCATCGATTTAAAAATTAATTAGGCAAAATTTCAATAAATTTGAAGTATTTATTGATTAAAATTTTAATCGATTTAAATTTTAATTCATTCTGATTCTAATTGACCATCAATTCAATGAATCCAAAATTCAATTTAACCAAATTTTAATTGATTTAAGATTCTAATTATACGAATTTTAATTTATCTAAAAAATTTTAATGGATTTTATTTTCAAACTACATAAATTTCAAATTACTCAAATTTCAATTTAAATGCAAATTTTCATTGATTTAAGTTTTATTTTTTTTTTTTAAATTTAATTTACTCAAATTTTAAACTTGACTTTTTTGAAAAAACACAATTATAGATTTTCATGTTTCCCATAAATGATTCAATTGAACGAAGCATGAATTTATCAAAAATTTGTCATTGATTTAAAAATTATTTAGAAAATACTTTCATAAATCTAAATTTAAATTAAAGAATTTATTGATTAATCCAAATTTAAATTTAATTAAATTTTTATTAATTTCAAGTTTTAATGGATTCAAATTTAAATTTTAAGTGATCCAACTTTCAATCGATTCTAATTTTTTATTGTTGAAAACAAATTTATTAATTAAAATTTTAATCAAATATTAATTCAATTAATCGAAATTTCAATCTATTTAAATATTAATTGATTTAAGTTTCAAATTATCCGAATTTTTTATTAATCCAAATTTTAATTGATTTAAATTTCAAATTATTTGAATTTCAATTTGTCTAAATTTTAATTGAATTTAGTTTAAAAATTATCAAAATTTAAATTGATGTAAGTTTCAAATTATTCGATTTGTTAAAGAAAAAAAAAACCTTTGAAGAATAATTTCATAATTTTGAAAAACATTTCATTTTTTAGGAATTAAGTTTATTTTCAAAAATAGTGTCGAAAAATATATAGGCAAGGAGAACGACGATAAAATATTGTCAAAAATTGAAATGCAAGATGGAACTATTTTACCTGCGGACATTGCAATAATAGGAATTGGATCTTTCTTTAATACTGAATGGCTGAAAGAATCTTCGATTAAAATGTTGGACAATGGAACATTAGAAGTTGATAAGGTAAGATATGTTAAGAATTATTTCATCAGAAAAGTAAAAATGAAAAATTTGTTTGTAGGGAGATATATTTTTTTTTCTTTTATTAACATTTGCATTATATTTTTAATAATAATCAATTTTTTTTTTTGTTTTCTAATAATAATTTCAGTATTTGAAGACAAATGTAGAAAATGTCTATGCAGGAGGTGACATTGCATTTGCTCCATTAAATATTTTTAATACTTCTGCGGCAATTGGACATTTTTCTTTGGCACATTATCATGGAAAAATTGCTGCATTCAATATTTGTGGCAAGGAAACTCCATTGAATTCTGTTCCATTTTTCTGGACAACTTTATTTGGCAAAAGTTATCGATATGCAGGTACGTAGTTTTTTTTTTTTAGAAAATAATTTTTATTTATTAATTAAATACTGCGTTTATATTTAATTAAATTTTTTTTTTAATTTCTTATATATTTTTTAATACTTATTTGAATTTTTTTTTTTTGTAGTAAATTATTAATTTAGAAAACCTTGTTTAAAAAACCGTGGAAAAAAATTTTTTTTAATTTTATTCTCAAATTTTAATGAAATTAAAATATGAAAATTTGGAAAATTCTTTATTACAGGATATGGACGTGCTGAGAGTTTTAAAGTACATGGATCATTGGAGGACTTTAAATTTTTCGCCTACTATTTCAAGAATGATCAAGTAATTGCAATGAGTAGCGTTGGTAGAGATCCAATTGTTGCTGATTTTGCAAATTTACTTTACGAGGGGAAAATTTTAACACGTGAAGAGGTGGAAAAAAATCCAACAGGTTGGATGAGAAATATACCAAAAGATATGCTTCCATCGTTGGAACCGGAGAAAACAACTATTCCTTTTCCTGACACGAAGTCGTAAGGCTTCAAAAAAAATTAAATTTCTATATTTATTTTTTATATAAGCATGAGAGAATATTCTATAATTTTTTTAAACACGTCTAAATGATAATTAGTTCCGGTTTTCAGTATTAATTGAGATTTTTAATATAATATATTAATTAAAGGCAGATTGTATTTATTTTTTTTAATACCGAATTTTTGAGTAGAGGAGAAATTTTCTTTTTTTTTAATTCGTTTTGAGATGTTAATTCACTTTTAGGATTGGACCAAATATGAGGAATCAATCTCGACGATATCATACTATAGCTTTTGCACAGAGAACATTTTGCAATACTCGACATATTTCTACAACAGCTACAAACTGCCTTTTTTATAAATACTCGAAACTTTTTAAATATTTTCGCGTTTCCCTGCCATTGTAAAATGTTAATGTTATTACAAATAATATTTTGAAAATTTTGACAAAAAAAAAATATGACATAAAATTGCTTGCGAAAAAAATAATCCCATAATTTATTTACAGCAATTTAGATAATTATTTGAGAAGAACTATAGAGTTCCTTCGAGAAAGTTCAAGTGAAGAAGATTAATATAATTTTGTGTAAAAAAAAAAACGAAATTTTTGAATTTAAAAGTATTACGTACGCTTAAATTGATAAAAATATATATTATGGAGAATTATTATTTTTAATATTGTATATTATTTGTTACAAAGAAAAATAAATGTACATTAAATGAATTACAGGGGAATTTTTTTTCTTTAATAATTTAAGATTTTTTTCCATTTTAATCCCAAGTTTCTTTCACTCTTAAATGACAAAGTGCATCCTCAAATGAATATCTTCTTGAGAATTTAATGTCTTTAAGTTTACCCACAAGTGGAGTAATATATGGCTGCATTGCTCTTAATTCTTTCATATAACCATGTGATTGTTCCTGTGTTAGATAAGGATGTCGTAGAAAGAGCATATTTTTTTCTTCTCTTTCATAATCATTTTTCAAATCATTCAATTCCTTGAAAGTTATTTTCCTTACTTTTCGATTTTTTCTATATAAAATAAAAAGAAAAATTCTCTCATTATTATTTAAAATTATAGTAAAATCAGGCCTAGGATCAACTTTAAGATGCAAAAAAAAAGTCGATTTTTACATTTAAAAAAGAAAACCGAAAATGTAGGATTTTTCAATTTTAATTAAATTTAATTAGTTAATAAATATTTTACTTTAAATAAGCAATATTATTAGATATTAATTTTAATAATACCTTAATAAAAATAATTCTATAAGAATATTTATTAAGGGTCAAACCATTATATTTCAACTAAAGTGGTCGCTGACTAATTTTTAAAAATTATAATACTTTGCAGGAATGATTTTGAAGTTATCAAGATCACGAAATGAAAAGAATTTTATTAAAAATTTAAATATTTATTGTAAAATATGAATTTAAAGTATATGAGGTGCTAAAAACTGTCAATTTTTTAGCCATTAGAAAATATGCAAAAAAACATAGAATTTACCATAAAATAAAAAAAAAATTATTGGAATTTACTAAGAATGAATAAATTTATCATTATCAATTGATATAATTATTTAAAGATGTGAAGTAATATATAAAATATGATTTCCAAGTGCACCTGTCAAATAACCTAATTTTGCGATTTTTATTCATTAATTATAAAAAATAGAAAACATTAAATTAAATAAAAACTTACCAAATATGAAGTTCTTGCCATAAACTTTTAGAATTTCTTTGCACTTTTCTTCTTTTCTATTCATAAGTATGAAAAATTTTAAAAATAAAATAGCTACTTTGTCTATTTTCACTATTTTTGAAAGTCAATAACTTTCTTGGAGAAAAATGAAAAAATATGGGGTTTCGAAAATTATTTAAATACACACTACATATACATTCACTGAAAATTTCGCATTGGTCCCGAAGCTATTTTCGAAGATAAAGTAAATTAAAAATTTCGTACTTTTTAGGCTATATTGACATGGGTTTTAAAGGTATTAAATCAATGTGAAGTTTGTCGTCACCAGTGAACCACCTTCACATTGATTTAAAACCCATGTCAATATAGCCTAAAAAGTACGAAATTTTTAATTTACTTTATCTTCGAAAATAGCTTCGGGACCAATGCGAAATTTTCAGTGAATGTATATGTAGTGTGTATTTAAATAATTTTCGAAACCCCATATTTTTTCATTTTTCTCCAAGAAAGTTATTGACTTTCAAAAATAGTGAAAATAGACAAAGTAGCTATTTTATTTTTAAAATTTTTCATACTTATGAATAGAAAAGAAGAAAAGTGCAAAGAAATTCTAAAAGTTTATGGCAAGAACTTCATATTTGGTAAGTTTTTATTTAATTTAATGTTTTCTATTTTTTATAATTAATGAATAAAAATCGCAAAATTAGGTTATTTGACAGGTGCACTTGGAAATCATATTTTATATATTACTTCACATCTTTAAATAATTATATCAATTGATAATGATAAATTTATTCATTCTTAGTAAATTCCAATAATTTTTTTTTATTTTTATGGTAAATTCTATGTTTTTTTGCATATTTTCTAATGGCTAAAAAATTGACAGTTTTTAGCACCTCATATACTTTAAATTTATATTTTACAATAAATATTTAAATTTTTAATAAAATTCTTTTCATTTCGTGATCTTGATAACTTCAAAATCATTCCTGCAAAGTATTATAATTTTTAAAAATTAGTCAGCGACCACTTTAGTTGAAATATAATGGTTTGACCCTAAGAAAATTTATTTTAAATAGATTTCAGAATCGAACTAAGACAAATTTTCAAAATTTTAATTAAGTAGGACAAATTTCAAAAAAAAAAAAATTCTTAAAGTTACATTTTAACAATTTTTTGAAGTCTGATTTAGGCAATTTTTAAGTATAATATCATTATTTATAAATAATAATTTTAGATAACATTTTTGAAAACTATTTGAATTGAATGAATATTTGATTTACAATTTAGATTTTTGAAAATAATTGAACTTCAAGTGATTTTTAACTGAAATTTTTGGTGATTTCTGATGCTAAAGGATTTATTAAAAATTACAGACAAAAATTGATTATTATAAATTCAATAAATTTCAAAAGTTTTTAATTTAAAAATGCTTTCAGATAATTTAATTTTTATAGATTAAAAAAATCATTAAAAATAATTGAATTTTGAAAGTGTTAAAGTTATTAAATTTCAGAAAAATTATAAAAATAATTAATTTTTGGAAGGTTTTAAATTTAAATTTTTGGTAATTTTATTTGATAATTTTTTTTTTTTAATTTTAAACAATTATTAAATTTAATAATTTAATTGAATTGGTGTAGAATTTCATTAAAATTATTGAAAATAATTAATTTAAAGAAGAATTTTAGTTAAAAAAATGGTTAAATAATTGAAATAAAGATCTGCATTGCATACTAAAAAAAAGACGTATTTTGTTCAAAAATTTTGTAAAAAAATATGTAAAAATAAGTCAAATAAAATCGGAACAAGTTGTTTAATCCGAGGCCTGAAAAATGTGTGAATATCCCGAAAAAATGATTTAAAATATAAATATAATAAATATACAATACAAAAAATTAATTTTCAATTTTTCACATCGGTGAAATTTATAACTTTTATGATCAAAGATTAAAAAATATTTTTCAAGCGGAAAATAATAAAATTTTTTGCTATTGATCAAAATAACGTTTCAAAATTTTTATATAATAGAACATTTTTTCTTCAAAATTGTTGATCATAAACGTTAATATGTGAACTTCACTAACATAATTTTTTGACATAATTAACTTTTGTGTATTTTAAAAATTAAGATAAAATTTTGGATTATTTAAAAAAAATTTTTTTATTAAATAAGCTATAAATATTGTAAAGATAGAAAATAAATTTGGAAACAATTTCAATAATGATGTAATAATTTTGAGGTTATGATAAATGTACTCACCCTCTAAAGAGTTTTCCGTGTGGTCGCACCTTATTTAAAAAGTTGATAAGAGTTAAATGCATTTTATTTAAAAAAAAAAAAAATTACAACTAGGTGTTCTATTCTTAATGTCTAGACAATTGTCAATTGTAATTGTAAATTGACAACAAATAAAAATTGTTTTTTGTTTAGTTCCTAGTTTATTCGATCTTAAATTTAGATGGCGTTTCATGTATTTTCAAATCTTTCATAATGTATTGGAAAATACAAACAATGCCATCTTCTTTTGGAAAAATTATAGAAATTAATCTTTGCAAATTAAAATATTAATAACATTTATTAAAAATGTTTTGTATAAAAATTGCAAACATTATACAATAATTACGAACAATTGAAGAAAAAACATATTGTTTTTATTATTTTATTAAAAATCGAAATATTTGGTTAAAAATCAATAAATTGATATGTAAATTTTTTTATAAAAATCAAAAATAACAATAAATTATATTTATTATCAGTAAAAAAAATTGTTTTAATTACTTTTCAACAGTTATAAATTAATTAATTATATTTCATGTTAGAGGTTTAAAAAAATTAATATATATTTTACATATTCCTTTAGAAAAAAAATTAATAGATATATTACCAAAAAAAAAAAAATATATATATATATATATATTGACAAACAAAAATTGTGAGAATAGTTAAAAATCCATAAAATTTCATAGACTCGAAGGATTTTATTAGTTTTCTAGCGTTGAGACTGCGCAAATGTATGAATTACTTATCCTGTGGGATGCTGACTGATCAATAGCGTTTCATGAGTCATTTTTAAGATCATATAGACGACGGAAACAATAGATTGTTATCATGAAAATACCAGGAAATAATTACGTGCCAGACGCTACAGGTAAAAAAATATTTACTACTTTTTTAAAAAAAAAAATTAATTTCTGTTATTTAAGAAAACAAAATTATTACTTTAAATTAAATATTTCTTATTGATATTATATATGTATTTAAAAACTTATATATGTGGTAACTAAACTAATTTCAGAATATTATTTCAAATTACAAACAAAAAAAAAAAAAAATAAAAATTATTAAAATAATCTGACAAGTCCGTGTTATTAATTTTTTTTTAAAGTAATTTAGTTTAAAAATTTATAAATCGGATAAAAAAATAATTATAATATTATTATATTATAGTATATAGGGAGATTTTTCGTGAGATTTTCATTCAAAATTTGTTTTCGGATTGAAACAAATTTTTTTTTTCAAATTCTTTACGGAAATGAAATACATACGTTTTTTTATTTTTTTATTACAAAAGGGTTTTTTTTTTTTAATTTCGCCACTTTAGAAGTAGACGACTTTTTGAAACGCTTTTTTCTCTATAATAATTGAGGATAAAAAATAAAACAATGTATGAAAATTATTCGTTTTCTCTTGAATATTTAAAATATGGAATAAAAAAATAACGTTAATCAAAGGAAAACGTTTAAAAAATTAAAATTATTATTATTAATACAATTTTTCCATTGCTGTTGCAATACATTTTAAATTGAAATCATATTATTACAAAAAATTTACGTACGATAAATGAACAACTATTTAATAAACTATCGACAATAAATAAAAAAAAAAATATATTTTGGTTTTTGAAAATTTGAGAAAAGTCACTTTTTAGACTTAATTTTAATTTTTTAAACATTTTCCTTTGATTAGCGTTATTTTTTTTTTTTTTATTACATATTTGAAATACTCAAGAAAAAACGAATAATTTTCATATATTATTTTATTTTTAATCTTCAAGTAAAACAGAGAAAAACACGTTTCAAAAGTCGTCTACTTCTGAAATGTTGAAATTTAAAAAAAAAACCTTTTGTAATTTTCATAAAATAAAAAAACACGTATTTTTTTTCCATATAGAATTCGAAAAAAAATTGTTTCAATCAAAAAAAAAAAAAAATTTTTGAATGAAAATCTCACCCCATATATTAAAAATGATTAAGAAAATTAGATTTTGAATTTTATTTGACAAAAAAAAAAAAAAAAATTTTAAATTTAGTTTTAGGAAATGTACCAAGCGAGGATGGAATGGATGATATGACAGAATCAGTTGATGAACTTCGGGAAAAATTGTCAAACATGAGAAAATTAATGGAAGAAAGAAAAGGAACATTAGGTGATCTGAGTGCAAAGAAACGAAAAGAAACCTCAGATATAATTGATGGCAATTTTCTATCATGGATTTTTGGTTGTGCTCTTATTGTTATTTTTAGTGTTAGTTTTTATGCCTTTTACAATTTATATCATGCGGTTTTAAAAAAATTTCCATCCCATCACACCGAATTATAAAATTCATTTACTTTTTCTTTTTTTTTTTTTTGCATAAAAACACCAAAATTCATTATCATTTGGAATATATATGTCAGCGTTACATACACAAAAATGTAAATAGTAAAATGACAACAATAAAAATAGTTTTATTAACTCAAAAACTATATTTTTTTCCTTCAAAATAGAAATTGCAAAAAAAAAAATCCTTATTCAAAGAAATAATTATTTCAATATGAGATTTAATTTAATTTTTTTTTTATTTTTTATTAATAAATTGCAAAACAATAACGGAAAACTCAAAAGTATTTTTTCCGAGTCTTTGTTTACTATTGCAAAAAATTCGTAATTATAAAGACAGTGATAAATAATTCTCTAATATTTGTAGAACAAACAATTTATACGAAGATGAGGAAGACTAAATATGGTATCTATTCCTTTCTTTTTCTTTTACACATGCTTTTTGATAAAGAAAATTACGAAGCAATTATTATTTTCGATGTATTTTTTGACACGTGCAATTTTTCACTCTAAATTTTCGATATATAAACTGAATTTAATCTATAAGGAAAAAAAAATTCGAATTTTTAATCATTTTTAACAATTTCTTATTCCTAATAATTAACAAAAAAAGGAAAAAAAAATTTTATTAGGGAAAAATTGTCATAAACTTTTTTCAAATTGTTTTATTATACCATTTTTTTGCTGCTAATGTGCAAGGTTCTTTTTTTTTTTTTTTTTAAATCTATATTTCGATTAACGAAAAATTATTGAATCTATAAATGATAATTATATTCTTTATGTAAAACTAAATGGAAAAATGTTTACAAGAACTTGATGAATACTTTTTGTTGTTGTTTAATTATACTTTCAAAAAGAGAATCATTGCAGGTGTGAAAAAATTTTTTTTAAAAATGTGCTTAAAATGTAGGCTTAAATGACTTACAAACATTATACAGTGACTTAATCATAATTTAAATACCAGCTCTACCATCCTTTTAATCAAGTGATTTTTTTTTTTTTTTTTTTTCTTTTTGCTCATGGAGGCTGTTTTAATGAAAAATTACAATGAGAACCATATTATTATCATCACATTATTTATTTTCTTTTTATTTTTTTAATTAGTTTTAAAAGTGAAAAATCCTTTAAAACTATTGTCTCAAAGATGAACAGAGTTTAACAAAAGAAAAACAAAAAAAAAATGTATTATTTTAATCAATTTCACTTAAAAATTACAACAATAAAAATAATCTAATATATAGAAACTCTTTTAGAGATGAAAAGTATTTTGTATTTTTTTTTTTTTTTTTTATCAATGTCAAAGAAATTTATTAATTTCAAAGGATGGTAGCCTTTGAATGGAAAAGAGAATTCTTTTTCTTTTTTTTTTTCTGAAATTACTTCCTTTCTGGTCTCCATGGCTTCCACGAATTTTCATTTAATGAATCAACAGGAATATCCATTGGAGTATCGTCCATGTGACTAAGTGTGACAGCATATCTTGATTTTAATTTTTCATAACGTTGAATATCCTAAAAAAATAATTTTATATAAATTTTAAATTTTTATTTATTTAAAAAAAAGATTAATTTACACTTTAATTTTGTTTTCTAGGGTGGACACTAAAATTTACTAAAATTTTTTTTTGGCCTAGATAAAAGAAAAGCGTAAAAGAAAATTAAATTTTTTTAGTTTTTCATTTTTTCAAGAAACATTTTACTTCGAGGTAGGTAGACAAAAAAATTAGGACAATTCATCACAAGTTTCAATTTTTTTCAATTAAACAAAAAAAAAAAAAGAAACTTAAAATAATTACTTACATTTTCTTGAACCGAGGGCATTACTTTAGTGAAAGCAATATTCACATGCCTTTGACAAACTTCAGGAACTGTCGAAGGATTTGTCATTATTTCTGTTAAAGCTTGAATACCAGCTTCACGCATTAAAGCAGCCAAATCAGCTCCAGTATATCTTTCACATCGACTGTCCTGAGCTATTTGGAATAGATTAACGTCTGCTGCTAATTTTGGTTTTGTTCCATTCTAGAAAAAAAAAACATTTTCTCGTAAAAAAAAAATTCATAATAGTATAAAGTTTATACCAGGGTTGATGTATAAGACATACAAGTAGTTAGTAACGACATTTGGTTTTTTCAACAAAAAAATTATAACTAAAATGAATCTTTCTGGAGAATCACCTATAAATTAATTTCTTTTTTTTTTTTTTTTTTTTTTGAACTTCTTACCTTGGTTACGGCTCGTAAAATATCCACTCTGTCAGAAGTTGATGGTAATCCTACGTATAATATTTTGTCTAAACGTCCGGGCCTTAAAATAGCCGGGTCAATAATATCCGGTCGATTACTGGCAGCCATAACAAAAACTCCTTTTCTTCCCTCAATTCCATCCATTTCAGTTAACATTTGATTGACTACTCTCGATGTTGAGGAATTATCACCTTCCGTTCGTTTTGGACATAGTGCATCAATTTCATCAAAGAAAATAACACAAGGTTCTGAGTTTCGTGCTCTTAAGAAACATTGTCGTACTGCCTTTTCACTTTCACCGACATACTGCGTGAGAAAAAAAATTCATGTCAAAATTTACTTTTCTATAAAAATATTAACATCTTAGTCAATTTATTTTGACAATTGTCAATTAATTTTTTATATTTAAACTGTTACTCAAAATAAGGAAAAACAATTTTTTTTTTCTAAACTTATCTAAACATTTTATATCACAAGTGAAATATTGATTTTTTTTTACGTTACCATGTTTAATAATTCGGGTCCTTTGACGGAAATAAAATTAATTTCTGCTTCATTGGCAATTGCTTTTGCTAATAAAGTTTTTCCACAACCTGGTGGACCGCATAATAATACACCGCTGGGTGCTGACAAGCCAAGTAATTCGCATTCTTTTGCTTGTTTAATAGGTGCCTAAAATAAAAGAAAAACGTTTTAATTTAGAAAAAAAAAAAAATTATACTCTGTAAATATATACCAGAAATTATTACATTTAATTTTTAATTAATAAAATAATTGTTGTCTCATTAAAATAATTGCAGCTAATTTATTGATGAGGAAAATAAATTTTTCTTTCGAATAAAATAAAATTTTGTCATCAAAATAATCAAATTACGAATTGCAAATTCAGAATATGTATTAGATTATAATAAAATAATTAAAATGAATTAATTAAACAAAAAAAAATGCAAAAGATTATTTAGATTTGTAACTCACCAATATTGACATTTGTAACTCTTGTCGAATATCCTGTAGAGAACCAACATCTTCCCATGTGATATCGGGAACAGTAGCAAATCCCTCTCTCTTCGAAGAAGGTTGAACAACTTTAATAGCTGCCTCAAAATCCGTGTGCTCAATAAACAATGTTTCTAAATTTTTCGACGAAACTGGTGGCTCATTATGAAGCCAATTTAAAAGTTCTATTTCTGATCTTTGTTCCGGCGTTGTTGGTTTATCCATTTCCATATCACCATTTTCCAAAAATATTTCCGATGTACTTAATTCACCAGTTTCTTCATTTGGAATTTTTTTCTCATTTGTAGGAGTTATTGTTTTTTCATCATTTGTTGTTGTTGTATTCTTCGAAGAATCTACTTCCAGTGTAACTTCCTCAATTTCAGGATTTTCTGTTTCCTTTTCTTTTTCCTTCTCCTTTTCTTTTACATTTTCTTTTTCCATTTCTTTCTCCTTTTCCGGTTCTTCAGTTATAATTTCATCATCATCATCATCATCATCTTTTTCCTTTGTTTTTTCTTTCTCGTCATTTTTATCTGATTTCTTTACATCGTCTTGCTCTAAATTAATTTCTTCGGTTATTATTTCCGTTACCTCGATGTCCATACTTTTATCTTCATCGACATTCACTGTTATTTTATCGTCTTTATTGGTTCTATTATTTTTCAATTCGGCAAACAATCTTTAGAGAGAAAATAGTTTAAGATAAGATTTGAAAAGTGTGTTTTTTTTTTTTGAAATTATAAATGTGTAAAAAAAATTACCTGTTTATTGCAACCATTGAAGCTTCTCTGATTAAAGCGACTAGATCTGCGCCAACAAAACCTGGTGTCAAAGAAGCTAGTCGATTTAAATCAACACTTGGTGAGAGTTTCACTTTGGCTGTATGAACAGCTAAAATTTGTTTTCTTGATTCTTTATCGGGAATGCCGAGTGCAACTTCACGATCAAAACGACCAGCTCTTCTCAACGCAGGATCCAATGCATCCGGTCGATTTGTAGCTCCAATAATTAAAACTCTATTTCCATTTTCTTTTTTACCCAAATCTAGAACGACAAATTTTTCCTTTTTTATCCATATCAATTTTTTTTTTTACAGAAATATTTTTATAAGAGAATTTTCCTTTTTCAAATATAAAATTTTGAAAATTCTTGTTTTTTTTTACAAAAATATTTTATATTAAAATTTTATTATAATTAGTTTCTACTTTTTTTTTTCAAAACGGAAAAATTTACCATCGAGACATGCCAACAATTGTGAAACAATACGACGTTCCATTTCCTTTGAAGCATTAGCTCTATGTGGTGCAAGTGCGTCTATTTCATCTAAAAAGAGAACGCAGGGAGATAATGCGAGAGCTTGATCGAATAATTCACGAATTCTCGCTTCACTTTCACCAGAAACACCAGCAACGAGTTCTGGACCGGCAATTTTCAATAGAGGCACGTTTAATTCCTTAATGGGAAATAAAATTTAAATTAATAAACTTAGGTGATAATTACATTCCATGATTTATTTTAAAAAAACATTTTTTTTTATTTATATTCAAAAAAGGCAGAATTATCGAAGAATTTCTAATACATAAGCAAACTTATATTTTCTTTAATAGAATTTTGAAAATTTTGTAAATTTCAATTACTAAATAATTAATGTTGCAATTACTTTTTAGATTTAAATTTTCAAAATAATTTAATTTTGAATGTGCTACAATTTGTACTAAAAAAAAAGTCATAGACATTTTGTTTTTAATTGAATAAATAAATAAATTTTTAATTTTATTTTGTCAAATAATTCGAAAAAGTAGCCATTTATTAAATTTGTGTGAGGGCCTTTGGTATTAAAAATAAAATTAAAAATAAAATTCAATTTATTTATTTACATCGATGTATTTCGTCAATAAATAAATTGGTTTTTATTTCAAATTTCAAGAACAAATTTTAAAAATTAATTAAAATTTTGATTACAAAGGGGTAAGTCCACGTCAGAAATATCAGAATCTGCAAGTGGTTCTTCGATTTTAATGATACTTGGTAAAATTATAGCTTTATATAAGAACAATGTGTGAGTAAAAGGAATTTTTAAAATATCTAAAATTGTAGGAGTTATATCACTTTTAATTTTTATACTGCATTTTTTTCTTTCCTTTATATCTTGGTCAATTTTCAACCGATTTTGATGAATCAAAAACGATTTTTTTCAGAAAATTAGGCACGGTAAGCCAATTTTGAATAACTATACCATTGGCGATGTTCAGTTGAGAAGGGCAAACAGTATGAGTGATCTTGGGGTCACGTTTTCGTCCAATTTAAGTTTTGATACTCATATTGATGAAACTGTTATTGTCACGTTGAAAGTAATCGGTTATATTCAGCGAAATGCATGTCACTTTAATAATTTGTTTGTTCTAAAGACGCTGTACTATACCCTGGCAAAATCGAAATTGGAATTTGCAATATCAATTTGGGTACTTCACCAGGATTATCAATTGCTTAAGTTGGAACGCGCTCAAAACAAATTTTTACGTTTTGCTGCGAAACAAGTTAACGTACACTATGATTTCTTCAGTCATGATTACACTAATCTTAGAGAGTCGCTTATGGTCCCAATTTTTTCATCTAGAATTATTTATCTGGACTTATTGTTTTTGTTTAAAATTATAAACGGACTTATTGATTGCCCTCTTATACTATCTTGTATTGACTTTATTGTTCCCACAAAAGGTTTGAGAAATCAGAAACTGTTTAAAATACCATTTAATAGACAAAACTATTTGGACAATTCTGTTTTAAATAGAATATTTTTTAGGGGTAATGAGTATTGTGATGAGCTAGATTTTTTCGGTATATCATTAGATAGATTTATCCGTGATTTGCGTAAATTAATTTTTGAGTAAATGTGTGACTGCCAAGGCGATTTGTTTTACAGCTTGTAATTTGATAATGTAAATTTATTATCTAGTGCTTTTGCACAAGAGGGCATTTTTCTTTTTCTTGTGAGCCCGTACATGGTAATTAAATAAATAAATAAATAAAATTACGTATTTTCAGAAAATTTTAAAATAAAAATAAAATTTTGTTATTTAAATAGAAAAAAGTAAAAAACAAAATTTCTTTTAGATTTTTTTTTTCAATTTCGACCTCTTTTTTTTAATTTTTAATTTTTTAATAATATTCCTTTTTATTTTATCTTTAATTTAAAAAAAAATTCATCCTGGAGACTTTTTTAGATCTCGTGATATCGTTCTTTAAAAATATCCACATCTCAAGAAAACTAGGATCCAGATTTGTGTTTCTACTTTCATTTGTTTTATAATATTATTGTTACAAACTAGAAAATTTCGCGTAATAATGTTTTTATTTTTAAATTACTTGACTAAAACAAGTGAAAATTCAAGCAAATCAATATTTTATTAATAGATTTGAAGCAAAGTTTTTATTTTTTGTAATATTTACAATTTAAAATAAATTGTAATGAAACCTTAACAATGCAACCTGAAATTGTAGCTGAAGTTTTTAGCGCTTTCTTTTAGAGGATTCTAAAACAAATAGTTATTCATAACCATAAAAAATTTCAACAAACAAATGAAAGTAATGATAGAAGCAAGTCCTGCAGTTTTCAAATTGATGAAGACTTATAATACTTAAAGAACGATATCACGAGATCTAAAAAAGTCTCCAGGATGAATTTTTTTTTAAATTAAAGATAAAATAAAAAGGAATATTATTAAAAAATTAAAAATTAAAAAAAAAGAGGTCGAAATTGAAAAAAAATCTAAAAGAAATTTTGTTTTTTACTTTTTTCTATTTAAATAACAAAATTTTTTTTTTATTTTAAAATTTTCTGAAAATACGTAATTTTCTGAAAAAAATCGTTTTTGATTCATCAAAATCGGTTGAAAATTGACCGAGATATAAAGGAAAGAAAAAAATGCAGTATAAAAATTAAAAGTGATATAACTCCTACAATTTTAGATATTTTAAAAATTCCTTTTACTTACACATTGCTCTTATATAAAGCTATAATTTTACCAAGTATCATTAAAATCGAAGAACCACTTGCAGATTCTGATATTTCTGACGTGGACTTACCCAAAGAAATTATGATAAAACAATTGTACAAAAAAAAAAAAAATAAATAAATAATATTTACCCCTGCAATTGCATAGGCCAACAATGTCTTTCCACATCCGGGAGGTCCATAAAGTAAAAATCCCCTTGGCGGGGAAATGCCTAGTTGTTGAAATATTTCTGGATGCTTCATGTGAACCAATAATTTGGTGATTGATTCAATAACTTTAGTTGCACCGCCAACATTTGCAAATGTTACTTTATGATCAGCAACCGAAACATCAACTCTTTTTCGTGCAACAGTACTATATAATACACTGCCATCATTTCGTTTCTGTCGTTTTCTCTCTTGTTTATCCGTTGAACGTTCCGCTGTTTTTTCTGGATAAATCTAAACACAAAAAATATAAATAATTCAATAATTTCAATTCAATTCTAAATTTATCATCAGGGTTTCTTTCCATATATAAAAAAAAGATTTTTAAATTCAAATCCACTGCTCAAGTGTAATTTATTAAATTCAGACATGTAATTTCTATCAATGTTATGTAAATTAAAAAAAAATTAATTGGATTGGGAGTTGTATTGTATATACAATGAAACAAAAAAAAACTTCATGGTTTTTTTTGAACTATTTCATAAAAGATTTAAAAATATTATTCAAATAATAAATTACAACAAAACTGTTTTGTTTAAAAAAAAACTTATGTATTGGAAAGAAACATCATTTAAACCTGATATTAAAAAAATATATTTGCCCTACAATGGAAAAACATGTGAAACGTATTTCTATATCACATTACTTACTTTTCCGTTGTAGGGAAGATATTTTATACAAAAAAAAGAGAGAGAGAGAGAGAGACAGAGAGAATGGACTAAAGCAAATGAGCAGAGAGCATACGAATACGAATTAATACGATTTTAATAATATTTTAAAGTCAATAATTTACATTACAAGTCATTGTTTAATCATGGATTATATTTTAATACAATTCCCTTTCGATTTCAAGTTTGTAAATTAAAATATTAAATATTTTTTCAATTAAATTATAATTTTAATTTCAATACAGTAATAAACTAATGTCTGAATTTTTTTGATTTATATTAAAATTAATTAAGCAGATTTTATTCCTGGAATTTAAAAGTAACACAAGATTTCAATTTAAAAAAATGATTAATTTAATACAAATGTACATGTATTGGTAACGATATTTAAAATTTAGAAAAATTATCTCTTTCATTCACGTTAGATCATTTTTTTTACCTTTTTTTTTTTCTTTATTTCTTTATTATATTGAATTATTCCAATAATTCTTCCGATAAGTTTAAATAAATTCGTCAATTTTATCATAAGCTTAAACAAAACTTTTTATAAATTATCCTTTTCTAAATAATTATACAAATAAACATATATCAGGGTTGCTACAAGAGTAAATTTTTTAATTTTCATGACATTACAAAAGTTTCCCTTACAAAAGAATTTTGTAAAATTAAAATAAATTAAAATTTTAGATAAATTAAAATTCGAATAATTTCAAACTTAAATCAATTAAAATTCCCAATTTCTCAAATTTCACTAATAAAAATTTGTTTCTCTTAACTTCTTTGACTAGTGGCTTACCTGATATATGTAATTTTTTTTTTTTATCGTTTTTCAAAAATGTCGCATTATTTGTCCCGTCAATTTGATATTTATGTATATATGTATGAAATAAACAAAAATTATTATGAGTTAAAATTATCTAATACAGAAAATAAATTTCATCTAATCAATATTCAAGGAAACTTTTGGTAACTATTGAAAAATTTTTCCAATATAACTGATATTATAAATTCAGTCAAAATTAAAAAAAAAATTAAAAAATTAAAATACTATCAATGTGAAAATATATTTTAGTATTTTATTTTTTTTTTTAGACACGAATAGCCCATTTTTACTCTAGTCCGATCTCTGCTTGTAGCCTTTTGTTTGTTTTGTTTTTTCAAAAAAGTGTCATAAAACACGTTTTACCTCCGAAGAATAGAAGTTTGTTTGATCACTCGGCTGTTCATTGGAATTTGTACCCTGATATAAAGATCTTTTGCGGGGCCTTTTGTTTATTTCAAATACTTCAGTGTCCTTATTCATAGACAATTCATTGATTTTGTCGTCATCACTGCTAATATCAATTAGCTCTTTGTCACTAGTATTTCCATTTTTTGAATTCATACTTCTTTTATACATTCTCAAAAGTTCATCTTGATCGTTTTGAGAATCATACTAAAATATCAAGATAATATTCACATTTTCTTATAGTTAGAGAAATTATTTTCAACAATATTATTATTATATTATATCGTAATAATAATCTCAATAAATAACAAAAGTTCGTTGAAATTTTAATTTATTTATTTTTTAACTTGTACTTTATTTTTCGGACATAGAGCAATTTTTTTTTTTTTCAAAGCAATAATTAAAATTCCGGCACGTGAATATTTTTTTTGCTCTTCAAATTTCTATTTAATTTGAAAATCTCTCAAAATTTAAAGGAAATTAGAATTTCTTTAAAATTCAATATAATCTATGTTTTTTTTTTTTTTTTAGATAATATTTGCGCGTCAGGTTGAAAATTGACAAATTCACTATATCGACGCCTCCCGTTGATAATAATGCTTATTCGAACGCTAATGTAATATAATTCTTATTCAAGATTTTGTGTAATATAATCTTCTTCAGAATTAAATGCAAAAACAGTTAAATAATAATAAAACTTTATAATAATTAGTTAATTAATTAAAAATTGCTTACTGTAAACTAACTCGTTCAAAGTCAATCTATTTAAGATTTTTAAATTGTAATTCTAAATTAAACGGTATTTCTAAAAACGGTATTAATTATTTTATTATTCTACTATTTTACTATTCTATTTTAATTTTTAATTTTGTAATTAAGAGGGCAATTGAGGAGGTCAATCAAATAACTCGATTCACGTTCGAAACATCGCCCTTATGGTATTTCGACGCATCAAAAATAGTGAAAAATTAAAATACAAAATTTTAATTTTTTAAAAACACTATCTTGTAGGGAATAAAAAAACACAACTTTTTTCCTTAATACTTTTTTTTGTAGAACCAATATTAATTAAATTAAAAATTAAAAACACCAAAATTTTTTTTTTTTCAAATTTAATTAAATTTTTAAACATTAATCGTTGTTTTGAAGTCAAATGTTAATGAATTAACTTGCAATTTTTTTATACAAGTTCATTTGGGTCTGCTGAAACCGAAAAAATCATAAAAACTTTAAAAATTATTTATTGTTTAATTATTTTTTATTGTAAACAATGGCCTGTCAGTAATATGATTTTTTCGGTTTCAGCAGACCCAAATGAACTTGTATAAAAAATTGCAAGTTAATTCATTAACATTTGACTTCAAAACAACGATTAATGTTTAAAAATTTAATTAAATTTAAAAAAAAAATTTTTTTGTGTTTTTAATTTTTAATTTAATTAATATTGGTTCTACAAAAAAAAGTATTAGGGTCAACCGGGGTAAATCCGAACGCTTTTAGTAAGTTTTAACAATAACATAAGTTTTTTCTTTAAAAAAAAAATACTTCCGGTATTCTGGTGCATGAAGTTGTTACTTTACTTCCATAGAACAATTTTATGGGGTAGCAAAAATTTTTGATAAATTACAATCGCAGGAAACTTAGCGTTCGTATTTACCTCGATACTTTGCAACTTTCCTAAAATACCGGGGTAAATACGAACGCCACTGTATTTCAGAAAAATCTGAGGGAAAATAAATTTAAAGTATTGCAATTGTTAAACTTATATAAAAACTCAAAAAAAAATACGATAATAAACCTATTATGTAATAATGCATCATATATAAATACAAAAATCAAACAGGTTAAAAATTAAAATGCATTACACAATTAAAACCTTCAATAACTTTATCAAATCATAACGGATTTTTGCAAAACTTGCTACAGAAAGTATTTTGGAGTGATTGAATGTAAATACAAAAATAAAAGTCAAATTTTTTAAATTCAAAATGGCGGACTTTTCTAAAACTTATTTTTAAAAATGATCAAATTTACTAACCCCCCGAGTAACAATTTTCGAGCGAATCCAATGAATTTTTTAATTCTCGTCCGCCATTTTGAATTTTGAAAAACTGACTTCAAATTGGTAATTAGCGACCCCAAAAACCGTAGAATACCAAATTTTATTAAGATCCTGAAAAACTTTTTTCAACAAACCATTAGGCAAAAAAATTGAAACACTCCTTCGAGAGAACAGAGATTAAGTTTCTGCTTATTAATTACTAACGAGGATACGTATAGAAAGAAAAACTTTTTTCTATGTACTTTTATAATGTTAAAATAATAGTGTAATGAAATAAAAACAATTTTGTGTGGCTCTGATGTAAAAAAAATTATTGAAAATACCGTTCGGATTTACCCCGGTTTTCCAATTTTCCTGGGTAAATACGAACGGTCTGATATTATTAATAAAATTTTACAAAAGGCAAAAATGAAAAATAGTTTCTGTTCTAGTATTCATAACAAACAATTATAAATAATAAAATAAATTTTTAGCTTCTTTTTTTTCAAATACGAGACAAAATACTGAAAGAGTGTCATCTTTGATTTTCAATCTTTTTTGCAATACTCGTTATCTTTGTTTATGCTGTTGCTAATTAACAAACGAAAAATGGGATAATACTTAGAATCTCTTGAAGAGGATCTGAGGTAAAAATTCTCATATCGAACTTATTTTTAAAAATTTTAATTAAGCTGAAATAATTAGCGTTCGGATTTACCCCGGCTGACCCTAAGGAAAAAAGTTGTGTTTTTTTATTCCCTACAAGATAGTTTTTTCAAAATTAAATTAAAATTTTGAATTTTTCACTATTTTTGATGCGTTGAAATACCATAAGGGCGATGTTTCAAACGCGAATCGAGTTATTTGATTGACCTCCTCATATGTTAAAAAAAATTCAATACCATCGAAAATTGGTACACGACCATCGACAAATGGTGATTTTGCTCAATTTATATTTAAAAACAATTTTTATCTTACACTATAATTTATTTTAGAAAAATAAATAGGAATATTAAACATTATTAAATTCTTCGTCCAACTGCACAAAATTCAAAATTTTAAGTACATTTACTCCTGAGAAAAAAAAAATCAAAGTCACATGTTGTCTAAAATCATCGACAATTGGTACACCTACCCTATGTGATGTATTTTTGTAAGATTAGATTTTCAAAATAGATTTTGTCGAGACGATTATTTAATTCTGAATAGTAATTATATTACACGGAAAATTGAATAAGACTTATATTACAAGGAACCTTGAATAAGCATTATTATTCTCTGGAGTTTCGAATAAAAATCATATTATCCGCAATTTCAAATAAGAATTATAGTAAATTAGCGTTCAAATAAATATTATATCAATGGAAGATGTCGATATATAGTTTAAACATTTTTTTACATTACCAGTTCAACATCATCGTCTTCTTTCCATTGTGTCCTTGAAGCTAAACTCTCATTAACAGCATCGTACGCCTTACGTACCATTTCTCTGAATGGACCTCGTTTTCTGTTACGATATTCCCTGTATTTCTTTTGGATGCTATCAGACATTTTATTAATGTCTACATAAACTTTGTCTTCATTTTCATACAGATACTGAAATATATTGAACAATTTTTTTTTTTTGTTTTTTTTTACAAAAATTAAAGATTTAAATTAAAGACTAAATATGTTCTAAATTAAGTCTTAAATTGAACATTAAAAAAGATTTAAATTATTTTTACAGAATATTTGTTATTTTTTTTTTTTACCATTTGTACCCTATCCATAATCATGGGATCTCCATAAATAGAATTTGAATTAAATGATCTTCGATTGTTCACTGATTTAAATCGGCTATCATCACTGGATCCTTGAAGTGGAATGATGTCGATCGACGGGTTCAATTTGGTTACTTTATTCATGTTTACGTTTACTTAATTATTTTAAGTATAGAACCATAATTTCACAGTCCTAAAAAATAGTTTATACATAAAAAAACTTCCGAATTTACTAAATAAATTTTAATCATAAAAAAAAAGTTGAAAATTATTTCCAAAAAAAAAAAAAAACAGTTTAGAAAAAAAGAATACCGATTTAAATAAATTTTAAATTTTAGAAAAATAAAATAATACTCTAAACGCCATTGGCTGTGACAATAATTTCTACGCGATATTGTTTTATCATCGTGACAAAAATATTAATATTATTTTACTATTGACTATTGACAAATTGATAATTGAAAAGCCGTGTAAATGTCAACACGATTTATAATTAAATATATCGATAGAAACATAAAATATTCTTTTTATACTTTTACTACAATTCGTATTATCATTTTTTGTATTTTACATTTAAAAAAAAGATAAATTCCAATATAAACTTTAGTTTATTTTCTTTTTTTTTTACTTAAAAAATATTTTCACAAAATTTTTATACGTATTCCAATCTATAATATCTATAACCTTTTACGAATTGGCGTCACACTGCCGACACAGGAGAAATTAATGATTTATAAATAATTATATAATTCAAGGGATTTAAAAAAAAAGTTGTAATGCAAAAAATTATTACAATAGAGCAAATTTGGTTACATGTTAGAAAAGTGTAATATAAAATTTTTTTTTTTTAATAAAATGAGAGGTATGATGAACCTAACCTCAATGTCTGCAATATATTGCAAAGAAATAGTGGAATAAAAAATAACTTTTATGTTATAATATTCACATTAAATTCAAGGTTTTTATATTGTATTTAAGACAAAACTTACTTAACAAAATACAACACTCGTCAGGCAAGCAATAAATGAAAAAGTTTTAGCGTCACTTTTGATAATCGAAATCTAAAAATACGTCTTTTCTTTTTCTACATTAATTGCCATTCATATACTCGGAACAATTGCAAAGCATGAACAAGCATGTCTTACAGAGGAAACTCTAAAATGTAACATCATTCATGCGCAATCACGCGTAACTCGAACTTTTCGATGTTTTTTTCTTTCAAACTCAAATTTCATTTGCATTTTTAAAATATAAAATATTTTAATTAATTTCATTTAATTTTTTAAAATTCCTGTATTTTGTAGGGGTACCTAATTTACAAATATATAAATTTGAATTTGTTTAAATTAGAATTTATACGAATTGTATATATTGTCAAAAATTTACTAGTCTTGAATTCGAATTTTTAAAGGAACGATTGTGAATTTAGCCTAATTTTCAGTTGTCTTAATTTAAATTTAGCCGAATTGAAAAACGTCCTGATATGAATTTATCCTAATTTTTATTTCTTATACAAGTTTCCCTGATCTGTCGGTTGTCATGGTAACGTGTAAGGATAAAAGAGAAAGACTAATTCACTGTCTTTTTTTGCTATTGTACGTTACCATGACAACCGACAGGTCAAGGAAACTTATACACTCGTGGACAAATATGCCAACATTTTTTTTGTCCTTTTTTAACACACGTGTTGTCATGGCAACAAGTCCGTTAGAAGAGGACAAAAAAGTGTAGGCATATCTGGCCACGAGTGGACAAGAAATAAAAATTAGGACAAATTTAAATTATGATAACTGAAACTTAAGCTAAATTCACAATCGTTCCTTTGAAAATTCGTTTAAATTCGAATTCAAGACTATTAAATTTCGTACAATATTAAAATTCATATATAATTTCAAATTTAGACAAGCTTCTATAAGCGTTTGGTTTTAAAAAAGCGATGAATTTTCACAGTCGAATCACTGAATTTGATTGGCTCTGTAAAATATTCCATTTTCATAGTTTCTTTTAAAATTGTGAAAATGGAATGTTTGACAGAGCCAATCAAATTTAGTGATTCGACCGTGAAAATTCATCGCTTGCCGAAATAAAAGCAATGTTACAATTGTGAAAAAAGTATATGCACCCCCCCCCCTTTTTTTCATCATAAAAGCATGATTTACCTACCCAACCGTTTGCAACGGTCATCGGCCTCATATTTTTTTTGAGAGGTTGGTTATATTTTCAATTGGGGGTTGAGAAACCTGAAAAATTGAAGATGGCCGATGTTTTGTTTGTAAGGAAAAAAGATGGATAGGTTGTGCTACCGCGACTATATATGTTTAGATAGTTTTTCGTTGTAAAAAAAAAAAAAAAAAAAAAAAAAAAAAATTAAAAAAAAGTGCAACAAAAAAAGTCCTGTTTATTATTGCAGGACAAAATGAACGCAACAAGCCTATATGTTTCGACATGTCGGCTTGTTTTGCAAGCAGACGCCGAAGATCTAAATTCATGGACCGATTTATATAGGCTAGTTCCTTATTTAAGACAAAGCCTAAGTTGTACTGTTTGTTCAAATCTTTTAATTGAACCGCATACGCCAACAGAAACAAATTGTCAACATCATGTATGTCGTGGTTGTAGAGGTGGTCGTAAAAAACTTAAACCTTCTTGTGGATGGTGTAAAGACTATGAGAAATATGTGGAAAATGTGCAACTTCGAATTCTCCTTCAATGTTATAAAAAACTTTGCGAGTACCTGACAAGCACAAACATATATCGAAGTTTAATTTTATCAGTGTCTTCCAATAATACTAATATTGGGTCAGTGACAATGGGTGCAAGTAGTTTAATGGAACTCATTCAAGAAGGCGCGGGTTTTAAAGATGAATTTAAATGTACAGCCGGTTTATCGAAATCTGCTTATAGTATTTTACCCTGTGTTTATACTAGTACAACATCAACTCAAACACAAGGAAGTGTTCTTCAATCTCAAGATGTGGCCTCGCAAAATATTTCAGGTATGTTTCTTTTCATTTTTATTTATTTATATTCTTTTTCTTGTTTTTGTCGTGCCGATTTGTTTAACCATTTGAATATTTTTTATTTCATTCATATAAGTTCCTTGATTTTTAATTAACTGAATATTGGATCAATGTTTTTCATTTGTATAATAAATTTTCATTATTAGACAAAAAAAAAAAAATCTTAATTAGTTTCGCTGAAAAACTTGTTTAAAAATAAATAATATTAATTTTTGCAAAAAACATTTGGTTCTCAATGGGTTAAAAATAATAATCAAGGTTGCCACGGGTTAGGGAAAAATATCAAATTTTACTAAAATTATAATTTTTGAAATTTTTTCTATTCAAACTTTTCCTTCTAAAAATTGTCATAATTTTTTTTTAATTGAAAACCTCTTTAAATATTTTTATTAGGATCAGAGAGAAAATTTAAATTCTGATTGAAAATCAGGGAAAAACAAAATAAAATTTTTGTGGCAACACTTATAATTGGCAAAAAAAAAAAAAATAATAATAATGTATGAACACAAAATCATTTGAACGTGTTTCTAATTAATTTTTCACAGAACCTTCAACAATTAGATCGGTATCGAATGGAGCTTCGATATATTCTGTAATGTATGCCGGATCTGGAAATAAAATAACAATAAAACGAAAGGCTGCTGCCACTGAAGGATCGGATATTTCACATCATGAATTAGATACATCGCAACAAAGTTCTGTTGCAGGATCAGTTAAATGTATTTCCTCTCAAATGCCATATGGTTCATCTTCACAGAGAAAGTCCTCAAAAAGTAGCAAGGTACTTTTTTACACGATTAATTAAAAAAAAAAAAATAAAAAAATAATAATTTGAAAGTGAATTTTATGAATTTAAAAGTAAATTTTATGAATTTAAAAGTAAATTTTATGAATTTAAAAATATTTGAATTTGCAGAATTCGGGAAGTTTTAAAAAACCACGTTCCGGTTCAACGCGAAGTAAAAGAAAAGGCTGTCGTTGCGGTAATGCAACAGCAATTCCTGGAAAATTAACTTGTTGCGGTCAGCGATGTCCGTGTTATGTGGAAAGTAAACCCTGCTCAGAATGCAGGTGTCGAGGTTGTAGAAATCCCCATACTGCTGACGGTCTCAAAGTAAGTTTTGCATATAAAAAAAAAAGGAAAGAATATAAATATACGCCTTAAAAAAATCGTGAATTCGCTTTGAATTTTTAATGCAATCTCAGACCTCGGATTTTACGACTTTTTTCGACTTATTTTAATAAAATTCGACTCCTTCGACTTTTTTTTATATTTTTAAAAAAAAAATTTTAACAAAATACGTTTTTTTTTTTAGTATATAATGTAGATCTTCCTCAGATCATCTTTATTTCAATTATTTAAAAAAAATTTTAACTTAAAATTCTTCACTAAATTAATTATTTTTAATAATTTTAATGAAATTCTTTACAAATTTAATTACCATTTTAAACTATTTTTCAAATTAAAATTTTTATGTAATTTAATAATTGTTTATAATTTAAAAAAAAAAATTAACAAAGAAAATTACCAAAAAATTTTTAATTCAATATCACTTGAAATTTAATTATTTGCAAAAATTTCAATTATTTTTTTTTAATGATTTTTATAATATTCTTCGAAAATTCAATTATCTGAAAGCATTTTTTTAAATTAAAAACTTTTGGAATTCAATTTTTTTTTTTTATGTGATTTCTAATAAATTCTTCATCAACAGAAATCAGCAAAAATTTCTCTGTATTATAATTATTGTGTGAAATTTAACACAATCTTTTGAAATTCAATTATTTCTAAAAATTTCAACTTTAAAATTCTTCCCAAAATTATTAGTATTTTAAAAAAATTTTTATTTAAAAATTTTTAAAACTTGATTAAGTACGCCTGAAATTTTTTTGATCATCAAAACTAAAAAAAAAACTATAATACAATTTTTAATTCGAATAAATTCTTTTAATCAGACTTGAGAAAATTATTAAAATGGAACTTTAAGAATTTTTTTTTAGAAATTTGTCCTATTTAAATAAAATTTTGAAAATTTTTCTTACAATTAGTTCGATTCTGAAATATTCGAAATAAATTTTAATTGATTTAATTTTTAAATTATCCGGATATTTTAATTTAATTAAGTTTCAAAATATTCGAACTTCAATTCGTCAAAATTTTAATCGATTTATGTTTTTTAAATTATCCGAATTATAATTTATCTAAATTTTAATTGAATTGCTTCATTTAAGCTTAAAATTGTCTGAATTTCAATTTGTTCAAATTTTAATTGATTTATATTTGAAATTGTCCAAATTTTAATTAATTTGAGTTTAAAATTGTTTGGATTTCAATTTGTTAGAATTTTCTCTTTTTTAATTTAATTTTCAAATTATTCGAATTTCAATTTGTTCAAATTTTAATTGTGGTAAGTTTAAAATTACCCGAATATTAATTTGTCCAAATTTTTATTTTTAATAATTTAAGTTTCAAATTATCCGAATTTTAACTGATTTAAGTTTGAATTTACCGAAATTTTAAACTATTAATGCTTTAATCTCTGATGAAAAATTCAATTAATCCAAATTTGAATAGATACAAATTATTTATTTTGCACATTAATTGGTTCTATCAGCTATTTTATCCCTTATTTTTGGTGAATAATTCCCCTTTTCACCTATTTTTAATTAAAAAAAAAGGTACTGTGATCTTTACTTTAGTAAAAATAGTCAAATACAATAGAAAAATATTTTTTCTAACTTCAAATATATTTCCTTTTTATTAAAATTCATTAAATTTAATAAAATTGTTTTTTGTCTATTAAAATTGTCTAATGCAAAAAGAATTGAAAAAATTTACTCTTTTTTCAATCCTTGATTATTTATATTGATTTATTTATATTATTTATTATTTATATTTATTTATATGAAAGATTTTAATGAAAAAAATAAAATATTCTATTTATTTTAGATTCGTCCACACATACCGGAACTACACAATTTACAATTGCAATTATCAACTCCATTAAATTGTGATAATTTAAATTCTGATCCATTGGAATCAGTTGAACAATGTCTTTCGCCGCCTTCAACAACTATTCAAGTTTTAAATGTTTATTCAACGCCACGATTAGATATTGATAATGTTTCACAAAATTTACCAGCCGCATTATTAGCCGGTGAAGATGCAATGGTTAGTACAGGAAGTGAAGCTGAAGATAGCGATATACAAATAGATGTGTGACAAAATCTAACAAATTATAGGCAATTACATTTTAAAGAACTATTACAACAATAATAATTATGTACTTTTCACGTGTAAATATATAGTTATTAATAACGTCGATAAATTGAGCAAGGAATTTCAATTTTGCTCGTCCCCAAATATATGGTGAGTGAAAAAAAAAATCAAATTTTATTTTAATAATTATAAATGAAAAATTACATCAAAATTCGTTTTTATTAACCCATTATTATTAATTATTTATTGCAATTTTTTTTTCTTCGAAATCTATTATTTTTTTATATCTAATTTAATATTATTTTTTTAAACTGTTTATTTTATTAAAATTGTTAATTATTTTTGTTCGATTGCTAAAATTAGTAGTTTATCAAATGAATTTATTTTTTTTTTTTAAATTTATTCATAGTTGAATATTTTTTAGTTTAATGATTTTAAATACTTTTTTTTGCATATAAATAAAAAAATAAATAATTATTTAGCGAATAAAATCGAAAAATGTATTTATTTACTTAAAGAAAACAGTAATTTTTTTGCTATTAAAATTTACTTTTCATTATTTGAAAGAAAAAAACTATAAAGTTTTTATTTTATTTAAAATATGACGCGCTCTGAAGAAAGGGACCTTAGAAGCAAACGAATTGTAGGTTATGTTAATTTTATCTTGATTAAAATTTTCTTTCTATTTATATAAAATAAAAATAATTTTTTATTGAATATTTTGGATGTAACAGAGATTTAAATATTTTTAAATATTAATTTTTTATTTTCTCAAAAACAGGAATAAGTAGCTGATTGAAATAAATAAATTTTTTGGGCTTTGAAGATATTAATGACTTCACGGATCATCTTGAGAGAATTTATTAGCAAGGCATGTAAAAAAAAAAAATTAATCGACGTGAAGTGATGCACCAAGAAAGAAGATATACGTAAATAAAAAAAATGTAAATTTTTTCAAATAATATAGGTATCAGATTTTGATCTCATCGGCGCTTTTGTTTTTCTTACAAAAGTTGAGATCGACTGTTTTATTATAAATATATATATATATATAAATAATATGCTTAAAATATTTTAGCGACACAAAATTTATATAATTGTCTAATGTTTAGACAAAAATGACATTTGTAAATATGACTAGTAATTTTATCACTGTATAAACGTTAATTATAGACTATATTTTTTAGAATAGTACAAAAAAAATCGCTGTAATTGGTGTGTAGCGATTCTGAGTGAATTTGTTTTTACATAAAAAGATGTTTTTTTTTTATGATTTTAGTTTTTATTTTTCATAAAGAACAATTTTTTTTTTAATTATTTTACTTTAATATTTTTTCTAGAGTTGAAAAAAATAGGGATCTAAATAAATTTTTTTTTAAATGTATTTTACTTTCTTTGAAGAAGAAAAAACCAAAAATGGAAAAAATTATAATTAAGTGTACATAGAAATTTTTTTTTTTTTTTTAATTCGTAATTTAACAACGAGGCATATTAATAGATATTAAAAAAAAAATTTAATTCTTCTAAATAGTAGAAGATTTTTTACTTTAATATTGCTTTTTTAAATTTGTCATAAAAAGAAATTATTTTAGAATGAAGCACTAATACTCAAATTTTGTGCAATAAATTATTATTTAAAAGAAAAAGTTGAAAAAAATTTGAATTTTTTTGGTTTTTATAATAAAAATTTTGTTATGTAACTAATATGTCTTGTTGATGGAAACATTGAAGTCTACTTAAAATAAAAATTTGTTACATCACGATAAATTTGTAATTGTAAATTACATTATTATTGTGAGAACAGAATCGGCAGAATAAAAATATTTTACATACCAAACTGTTTTTTATTTTTAATATAAAATGGCATTCAAGTAAATTAAAAAAAAAAAGAATTCTAATTTTCAAAAAATTAGATGGCATAGGAATATATAATTAAAAAACGAAAATTTATTTTTATTACTTAAGTCATTTTTAGACTTTTTTTTTTATTATCATCATCATCATCATTTCATCATCATCATCACCATTATCGATTTTATCATTGAAAGTTGATCGAAAAGAAGAAAAAAAATTCTCAACTTTTAATACCTTTCAACAATGAAATCGATAATAAAAAAATTAAATTGTTTGTTCACAATTGCGCATTCACATTAAAGTTTTTCGACTTTTTTTTCCACTATTATCGATTCTATCATTGAATGTTGATAAAATCAAGATTTTCAACAATAAAATCGATAGTAAAATTTAAATTATTTCAGTCACAATTGTGCAAACGTTAAAGTAAATTTTTTCAGACTTTTTTTTTTAATTTCATCATCATCATCACCACTATTATCGATTTTACCATTGAAAAGAAAAGCAACATTTTTTTTTTTGTTTTTCAACAATAAAATCGATAATAGAATTTAAATTAAAGGTTTGTTCACAATATTGTGCAAATTTATATTGTTTTTTTTAAAGTCCTTTTAGACCTTTTTTTTATTTTCATCATCATTATCGATTTTATCATTGAAAGTTAATAGAAAAGAAAAAGAATTTCAACAATAAAATCGAAAATAGAAATTAAAAATTTGTTCACAATATTGTGCAAACTTACATTATTATTATTTTTTTTTTTTTTTTTTTTTTTTTTTTTTTATTAATTTGAGTCTTTTTTTAAGACTTTTTTTTATTTTCATCATCATCATTTTATCATCATCATCATCGCCATTATCGATTTCAGCATTGAAAGTTGATCGAAAAGAAGAAGAAAAATTCTCAACTTTTAATACCTTTCAACAATGAAATCGATAATAAAAAAATTAAATAGTTTGCTTACAATTGTGTAAACTTTACAAACCACTTTTATTAATTAAGTCTTTTTTTTTAAAAGACTTTTCTTGTCGTAGTAATTATCAATTTTACCATTGAAAGTTCATGTCAAATATGTAAATTATTCTAAAATTTGGATGTCTTTCAACAGTTAAATAGATAAAGGAAATTATTATTTTCATCATAATTGTGAAAACCATACAAAATTTCATTTACAATACAAAAAACCCTCAAGGCGGCAAATATGTTCTTTTCAATTTTTTTTTTTTTTTGTCAATGTTATCAATTGACTAGTTGATATAAATTTTAGCAGTCTTTTTAAAAGTATAAAAAAAAATGTGATTACAATTTCATTGTATGAAGTGAATATTAATATTTTCTTTTATAATTGCACATTTGTAGTTTTTTTTTTTGTGTTAATTATTATTTGAATATTTTTTTTTTCTAAATGAGGGTTTTACGTAAATATTACTATAAATATTAGTCTAAAATTGTAAAATCTTAGTGAAATTTTATAAAAACACGCAAATGTGTATATTTTTTTTGTTAGAAAAAAAAATTAGTGCTTTTTATACTTTCTTTTGTTTTCATGTCAATTTGTGTGCGACGTCCGAAATTCAAGTGCGTTTACAAAAATCACAAATGTTCATTTCATTTGTCAGTTTTGTAATTTTTCTTACCTACCGTTCTTTTTTTATTTTTTTTTTTTGCCTAAGTTTCTTCGAAACTTATTTTTTACTTTTTTTTTTTTTTTTTTTTTTTTTTTTTTTTTTTTTTTTTTTGTTGCTTCGGACCTTATTTGAATATTAATACCATTGTTTTGTAGAAAAACGTATATATGATTAAAAAAATAGAGATGGAAGATTAAAAATGACGTTTTTTGAATTTTAAATTAATGCCAATCAAAATGGTTTATATGATTTTGGATAACGTGTTGGTAAACTTGCACTAACGTGATTTGCATAATGGGTCCATCCCAATTTATGAGCCACTGCTATGCTTCTTTCGTCAATTTCTTTTACCGCTTTCTCTTCTAAATAACGTGTCAATAATTTCATATATCGTCCGTATTGCTTGTTGAGATGCGCGTGCCATAAATTAAGAGAAATGGCCTAAAAAGAATATGAAAATTTTATAATTTTTTTTTTTTTTAAACACAATTTTAAACAAATTGCATTATAAAAATATTTAAAAATTATTTTTCCAATTACAAACCTCGGATCAGATATTATCATTATTTTCATTAATTCTTTAATACAAGAATAATTTTTTCATAGTCGAAAAATGCGAAAAAAAATATTCAGAAAAATTATTAGAAAAAAACTGTATAGAAATTTTTATGTAATAAATTTAAAAAATAAAACTTTTTTTTTTTTTTTTTGCTTAAAATTATTGTTTTGAAAAAAATAATAACTCACTTTAATGTCATTTGGTTCGGAAAACTTTTGAACCTCCTTCCAAACATCCCAAAAATTTTCAAGTAACTCCTTATTCGGTCCTTCGCCCTCAACTTTTGTTCTACCAACATATAATCGTGATAAAGCACAGCCTTTTTTCACTAAAGCTTCAATTAAACAATTCCTTTGTTTTTCCATTGTTGTTTTGGTTTTTGCAGCATCGGGTCCTTGATCAGTCTTTGAACCGAAATATGCTAAAATTTTATTTTGATCAACTGAACATATAACTTTATCGGCAACGGCAAGCATTTGATTTGCATAATTGAGCGATGTGTCTGGTAAATCGTCGTGTGGTACGTGACGTCTTGCTTCTGTTAAATCCAATGATGACAACATAGAAGTATAAACTGGCAAATGATCAGGAAAATCTGACTTTAATTCCACATATAATTTGTGTGTATGTTCTCCAGGTTCTGTTTAGAAAAAAAGGAAAATTCAAAATTATATTCTATAATAAAAAATAAGAAAAAAAAAACAATAATACTTTTATGGAAAAGGAATTTTTCATATATTTCTAAAAAAAATAGAATTAAGTTATTTTTTAAATAATTTATTAGTTTTAAGGGAGGGGGGGGAGGGATCGTGCAAGAGAAACAATTTTCATCTCGCATCACACGCAGGGTTTTTTCATTCAGGTATAATCAAAACCATGGATTGGGGACAAATTACGAAAAAAAAAGAACGTAACAAACCAACAATGGGACGTCCGCTAGGATCCTCATATGGATAAGCCAATTTACTCTTAGATGGTACTTTAAAGATGAAGAAATTCCCAGAAATAAATAAAAATTTTATTCTACCTTTTTGAAGACTAATATTCAGCTTTATTGTGAGATTCATGAATATTTTCCATATTAGATTTGTGGTTTTCGAATTACTGATTATCAAATTTTTATTTTTAGTAGAATTTTATAAAATGAACTTCATATTGAATAATTTTTAATTAATTGTTAATAATAATAATAAAATATTTATCAACTAATTAAATTTATTGAAAAAAAATTGACTTTTTAGACAATTCTTGTAATGTAAATCGACTAAAATGACTTTTTTTTTTTTCTTTCAAAAGTCGATCCGAGATCTACAATAATATACAAATGTATGACAATATAATTTTTAAAAGCAAAAAGTTTGAATTGAAAATTTCAAAAATTATAATTTTTGTAGCATTTTTAGAAATTTGATATTTTTCCAATATTTTTCATAAAATTCCCTCACTTTTCCCTGATTTCCCTGACCTGTGGCAACTCTGATTATAAATTTCTACTAAATTGAAATTCGATAATTAGTACCTAATTCGATCGCACAAAAATTCCTACAATATTCATGTGACCCTTTATTGCTAATAAAATGAAAATTTCAATTTTTTTTTTTTTTTTGTTGAATAATATAAAAAGAAGAAACTTACCCAATTTTGAAAGCCAATTACACTTAAGATCTCTCAATGCTTCATTATATTCGTCCCATTTGGATTGATCTTTCTCTGCTTTTCCATTGGAATTTGATTTTTTCGGTGGCTCACACAAAACATACTTGAATGTGTGACAATCAACTTTCTTTCCAATTTCATCCTTGCAAAATGATATTGTTCCCAAAAGATATGAACCCAGTGTTGCACCTTTGAAAAGCCTGAAAAAATTAAAAAAAAAAAATTTTTTTAACAACAAATTAGAGAAAAAAAAAAGAATATTTATGATTTTAAATGAAAAATTCCATGGATTTTTGTTATTTTCTCCAGTTTTTAAGAATTATATTTTGTGTGACCTACCTGATAGTAATTAAAAAATCTTATACTATATAAAACTTACTTGCTTTCATTGCTTAAAGGAGCAATGTAAAATGGCATTGTGTGTCCAGGTGGAATTGATGCCGACACCATTTTTTTACCACCAACGAGCGCTTGAGATTGACTAGCATAAACATCGAGATTTACTTGTGTACCAAGTTTTTGTGTCAATAACATTGGCATATCTGTTAATTTGTCAAGTAATTCTCGTTTTTCATGTCGAATGTGCATTTTTAGCGTATAATCACCTTTCTCTATTTTTTGTACCGTATACTAGAAAAATAAATATTTTCATAAATAATATTGAATTAATTATGTTTTTCACTAATCAAAATTATGATACAATTAAAATGAAATTAAATATAATCTATTTAGATAAAAAATAACAATTCAATGAAATATAAAAATCTAATATTTCGATTTTTATATATATTTAGAAAATAAATAAAATAATAAAATTATTATTAGTAATTATTAAATTATTATAGGGTCAATCCATTTTATATTTTACCAAAGGTCGTTGCGGCCTAATTTTAGAAAAAAAAATTTAATTTAAAAGAAAATAAAAATGCAAATTTTTTAAAGGTTTCTTCAAGGCGTAATTAAATTTACGTCGTTTTTTTATGTTTTCAAGTTCGATTAACACTTTGATTATTAAAAAAAAAAATTATATTATTTTACAGAAATATTAATTGTAAACTTACTTTGCAAGGATACGCATCACCACAACAAATAAGCTGTTTATTACAATCGTAAATCATCCACAATTGACTTTCGTATTCATTTTCATAAAGTAACTCACTAAATAATGCAGCATTAGGAGTAATTTCAGTTGCTTTCGCTATGTGGAATGTGTAAGTTAATTGTAATTCATAAATTTGTCGAGCTGGTGGTATAACATCTCGTTTTTTTAATGGGAGAATTTTCGAATCTGTAGGCCTAAAAATTCATTCCTGGTTATATTAAACGAAAAACAAAAAACAAACAGAAATCTGCAAAGAAAACAAACTAATTGAATTTTAATTACCTCAATACTTGTACAGATGATTTTAGAGAACAACTTGGTACAACATCTTCATTTCTCAACGAACTTCTTAATTCAATTCTATGATAACCGTCACCAGGTTGCATTGTAAGGCCACCGCCTATCATACGAAGTCCATGGAATTCTATCGAATAATTAATTAGAATGTCACCCAAATTAGCCCAATATTTTGCCACAGCTACTTCCAAAATAATTCCACCCTGAAAATTATTTTTTTTCTATTAGTAATTATTATTAATAATTTTCAACATTATTTAAATATAAGAAAAAAATTTACATACCTCTACAGAGAATCCTTGAACATTTTCCGCCTGTGATGAAACATTAATCATTTTATTGACTTCGAGATTTTTACAAGACAAACGAGGTTTCAACTGAACAGTATGAGTCACAAATCGACCATTTTTATCTTTTTCCGTGCCTTTTAATTTCAGAACTATAAAAAAAAAGAACCAATTGCAAATTATATAAAATAGAAATTGTCACGAAATTTTGTAAATAATTTTGTAAAATAGCAAAAAAAAAAAATTTCTCTTCTTTGAATATTAAAATTTTTGTTGATTTAATTTACCTGCCCATGTTGAATCGTCAGGTACAATAATAAAATGCCTAACAATTGTATTAGGTTTAAATAAAACATCCGTGAAATTTAAATCCGGAAGTGTGGCACTTTTTGAAATAACAGTTGGTTGAATAAGTGTAACAGGAATGCGAAAAACGGGTCCTTTATCAACGTTACTGACATCGTAAGCTCGAATACTATAAAGGAATATAATTTTTTTTTTTTTTAAAATACCAATGAAAATAATAAATATGTATTTGAATATTAATAATAAATATTGAAACGTGCCACCCAACATTAAATAATTTTGTTTTTTCTGATAGTATTTTATATGAAAAATCAGTGTAGCAAAGGATTTTGTAAAAAAAATTTTTATTATTGTTATTAACATTAAAATTATTTAAATAAATTATTTGTCAAATCCGTGCCATTTTTTTCATCCTGAAATTTGATTGAGAAATGGTTTGTTTTAGTATTTTTTTACAATCAATTTTTTATGAAAAAAATATTAAAAACTGATTCAAAACAAAAAGAATGGCTTTTGAATGATTAAAATCGGTTAAAAATTTTTTTCTGTAATTAATTTTCAGACCTCGAATCGACTTTAAAGCGTAAAAAGAGTCGAAAAGGTCAAATTTTCTTATTTTAATTAAATTTAATTAGTTAATAAATATTTTACTATAAATAACTAATGTTACTAGATATTAAATCCATTATATTAATTCCCTAATAAGAATATTATCGCAAGAAAATTAATTTTCAATATTTCAAAATCGAATTAAGGCAAATTTTCGAAATTTTGAAATTCTAAAAAAAATTCTTAAATTTCAATTTTAAAAATTTTTTGAAGTTCAATTTAGTCAAATTATTTGAATTAAAAATTTTGTCACAGTTTTGGTTTTGATGGTCAAAAAAATTTCAGACAATAATTAAGTTTACAGATTTTTAAATTCTTTTTTTTTTCTTTCAATAATTGAATTGCAAAAGATTTTAAATTTCAAATATATTTTTTTCATATAATTTTTTAATTGATAAATAGTTTAAGATAATTGAATTTGTGAAGAATTTCAATGAAAATAGTTAATTTATAGAGAAGAATTTTAGTTATAAATTTGTTAAATAATTGAAATAAAGAAGATCTGTATTGTATACTAAAAAAAAAGCAATATGTTTAAAAAATTTTTTAAAGATATACGTCGATCAATGAGCAAAAAAAAAATTATACTCTCAAAATCATTGCAATGTAATTTTTCTCTTTTTCGCTCGTCGACCGACACAAAGGAGAACGATCTTTGCAACTTTGACATAAAACTAGTTGCGTCTCTATTACTCTTACGGGCCCTATATAGGCTGCCGGCAAGATTGGGTTTTTCCCAGGCTGGCGCCTAGCACTACTGCCAGACGAAGTCTCTTTTGTCCAACGCATACGGGCTATTCACTTCTCTCTCACTCTCCAATGCCTTTTTTCGCATCTACGGAACCAGCGTTTGTTTTCCCGGCAAAACAAAGACTGTCAATCCCTTCCACAAGGGGTAAAATGGCGCCCTTCCGCCTATATAAGGGACGGTCCCATGTACATCGCTTTCAATTGATTTTCTGGTCTTTAAGTGGAAATAAACAAATAAACCTTTAAGTGGTGCCTTATTCATCATCTCACCGCATTACGGTAAGCAGCATTTCCCAACTTTACTCACTTACACCACCACTTAAAGGCCAGAGCAGAATAGAAACGTAACCAGAATCGTAACAGCAATCGCAACCGAAAGAATGAGTTAGAGAAGGATAGACATATTGTTTGTCCTTCTTTAACTCATTCTTTCGGTTGCGTTTGCGATTTCGGTTACGTCTCTATTCTGCTCAGGCCTTTACTCCAAGCATCCCGTGTAGAAATTTTGCCATGGCTCGGATCGAGGCCTGATCTGTCCCTGATCGGGGCCAGATTTTCACTACCAGGGCCCTGGTAAGGACATCTTTACACGTGATACTTGCTACACATACACCTACACGTAACTCTGTCCGGATCCGTATTTGTAGGCCCGTTTGAACGGGTGCCAATAGGATTCGGATAGAAAGTATACACTCGAATCCCCCACAGCATCGAAACTTTCCTAAAGATTTATTTAAAATGTTCGGAATATTTAATTGCAATGTTTAGTGAAAATCGTGTAAAGATTTAAATGTCCCGATTAAATAAATGTTTAGTGTGAAACTTTCCTGAACATTTATTCAAGTGGGACATTTAAATATTTACACAATTTTTCACTAAACATTGCAATTAAATATTCCGATGTATGTAACGGTCAGTTACATACATTAGCGCCTGGAAGCGTTACGTATTTTGTGAACAGACCTAAATAAATTTTTAGGAAAGTTTCGGTGCTGTTGGAGATAGTACAGATTCGTATTTGTAGGCCCTTCTTTTCGGGTGCCAATACGATTCCGTGCAAATAGACAAATTGAGCCTCCCAATTCTAGAACTCGCCCGACGCTCGGAAAAATGTTCTATTGGTAGTCGGGTAGCAGCGACTGTCAATAGCTATCTCGCTCCTACCCGACCGAGCGTTAGGCGAGTAATAGAATTAAGAGTCTCAATTCACCGTCGATCACATGGATATCGTAATAATAGGCCCGTTTATCCGGGTCAACACAACTTACGTAGAATCGTATTCGTAGGCTCATTTATAGGCGAGTACCGATACGATTCTCTAGGGAAAATGTATCCAATACACGCACAATTCTCGTAACCAAATAACACCGTCTCTCTACACTATGGCTAATTCTTAAACTTTTTCCAATAGATGGACAAATCTGTCAAAAGGAAACACAAGAGCGCCCGCCAGAAACTGAGGAGCCAGAACCGAGGGTGGAGAATTCGAGAACACAAGAAATTAATGAAACTTCAGCGTCGGTTGGAAAGACAGGTCAACCAGCCTTCCATCGCAATTACCGAGAGAAGTCTAGCAGTTCATCCGGAGAACACACCCTCACAACCTTGGACCTTCCAAGCGGATACAGTCACAACAAACGAACCTATCATTCCCATCTTCAAGGAGACTTGCTCCACATCTCCAAAGCCTAACTATCCTGAATTCACGAGACCGACCACACAGGAACCTCCTCCTCTCATCTCCCGGTTTGAGGCAGTGCCGTCCTCGGTCTTCACATTCCAAAGTCTGAAGATAGACTTCACCCTGAGCGACAGTGACGACGACATTTTGGACTTAACACCGGGATCCCCAATAGCTATGAGCCCTCCTCTTCCAAGGTCACGGGAGAGGAGTCCGGCAACAGCACAATCCGGCCCAACGAGGGTTTCTCCGACCGAAATCTTAGAGGACAAGAAAAACGAGGGACCTCGCTCTCTGCTTGACATTCCGTTCAGGCAGAATACCACCCTCCGAGAGCTGAACCATGTTCCTTCAGTTACCCGAAAATTCGGGCGATGGACAGCGACCAATCAATGACAGGGGCATGTGCCCCAAAGATCTCAGCTTCGATGAATTTCTTTCATTTTATTGTAAATAATAAATAATTACCTGATAAAATATCTTGTAAAATGGGGTATTTGGGTGAATAAATGGTATATTTTTGGAATTCTTTCGTTGTCACTTTTCTACCTTCATTGAAAAAAATTTTCTTTGCTTTAATGACTATTAACCGCATAGCAACTTTAAATGTAGTCAGCGTAACCGAGAATCCTAGTCAATTTAGTTATGTAGCAAGGTTAATATTGTCAAAGGCGATTTAGTAGAATTGACATCTTGTTTCCTAGTTATATTAACTAAGATTTTTGGTTAATATCACATGTATCTATAGTCAATTTTGCTAAAGTTTATTTAGTCAAAGTGTTCATTCTAGCCAATGTAACTAAGATAGCTGGTTATTCTGATAAAGTCATTTCGACTAATTGTCAAAATTAATTTTGACCAAGATTGAATAGTGGGTTCCTCTCGTAACCAGGCAAATTAGTCAATTCCTGTTATACGGGTGTTAGGGATTTTTTTCAGTGTTCGAAACACCTTTTTTGTCTCATTTTTCATCCATCCACCCTTTCTTAATTAATTACATAATTAAGATCCGTATACAATAGGCGTTTTCGGCAGATGCTCCAGGAATACTCCGGAGAATTTTTTGGTCCAATCATCTATTAATTTCATTGAATTCAGTCAATCAACAAAATGCTCCAGAGCACTCCGGAGTATCTGCCGAAAACGCCCATTGACGCTATCATCCTTCCCCCGTGTAAATACGGACAACACAACAAAAAAAGTTGTATATTATCCGAATAAGTCGAAAAAATATAATCCGAAGCCTAAATTTTCTTTAAAAAAAAAGGGCCTAAAGACTTTGATTGTTGAGCGATTCCAGGTGAGATTTTGACTTTTTCGAAGTAGGTTAACCGATTATTACAATGAAACTTTGGAATATTGTTAAATAAAATTCGACTAATCTTTAACGTCAATTACAGCTTACAATATTTTTGCAATAATAACAAAAAATTTAAAAGTGCTGTATCTTCCGTTCTATTAATCGGATTGAGTTCTACATTTTTTTTTTAAAATATCAAGAAAAATGAAAGGAATAAATGAGGAGCAAATTTTCAAAACTTGATAAATCTATTTTTCAAAAAAATGGAGATAACCATAAATTTAATATTTTAAGGGCCTCACAAATCGATCTGTCACTGTTAAATTTAAGGAAAAAAATTTATTAATTACAAATTTTTTATTTAAAAACTTATTGACATAACCCAGATGATTTACAATTTGTATGTTTTATATTAGAAAAAATTACCAAAACCTGTAAATCACTCAATTATGACAAAGTTCAATTAGAAACATAACGTCTTGAATATAAAAACATTGTTATAGAAATAAATTATTATAAATTTTTTATTTTAAAATTTACTCTAGTGGTTATGTGTGGAAAGTCATTTGTTTGAATTTCTCGAAATAAGAAAATATGGATTTATCAGGTTTTGAAAACTTGCTCCTCAAATCTCCTTTATATATATAATTTTTATAATTTTGTAACTAAAAAAATGATTAAATAATAATTGAATATATTTCGTACTCCAATGTAAAATTCAATTACTTATAAACACTAAAATGATCTTACCTATGTTTTCTTTAATGTTTCAAAGGAATCCAATAACACGGTAAGTTTAACTTATTCAATTTTAATAATTATACTCGAAAATTATTAAAATTGAATAAGTTAAACTTATCGTGTTACTTGGATTCCTTTGGAACATTAAAGATAACACATGTAACATCAGTTTAGTGTTTAAGTAATTCAATTTTAGATTGGAGGCCGAAATTTATTCAATTATTATTTAATCATTTTTTTAGTTTGCAAAATTATAAAAACTATATATAAAGGAGATTTATTCCTCTTATTTTCCTTGATATTTTAAAAAAATATAGACCTCAATCCGATTATTAGAACGGAAGATATAGCAGTTTAAAATTTTTTGTTATTATTGCAAATCTCGTAAACTAACAAATATTTTAAGCTGCAATTTACGTTTAAGATTAGTCTTACTATATATAACAAAAATTCCAAAGTTTCATTAAAATCGGTTAACCTACTCTAAAAAAAATGAAAATCTCACCTGGAATTGTACAGTATAATCCAAGGCCTAAATTTTCTTTAAAAAAAGGTCTGAAAATTTTAATTGTTAATAACAGTAACAAAATTTTTTTTTTGTAAAATCCTTTGGTACAGTGATTTTTCACATAAAACACTATCAGAAAAACTATATTTTAACGAAAAAAAAAAATTATTTGATTTTAAGTGTCACGTTTCATTCTTACTCTATTTTGTAATTATTTTAATTTTTAACTTTATTATTACCTATATAATATTAAAATAATAAAAATTATTAAATGGCAAGTAAATTCAATAAAAGGAAAATAAAAAAAAATGTTTTTATGTTTTTTTTTTTACCTTTCTTTTATCGAATTTACTTGGCATTGAAATACACACTTAAGGTGGTTCTCCGGCAAATTCCTTTTTATGTTCTTTATAAAAAAAATTTTACTCTGATCATAAAAATTATAAAAATTTGAATTACCTTGTTGAATGAACACCTTCTGGTAAATTTGAACCTTCAACTCGAATAGCAAATGCCCTTGGCATATGCATAAGATCAAAATGTGATGGAAAATGTACCCACGATGCATCCGAAACTAATGATAATTTAATGTTAAAATTAATTTTTCGCGTTGGATCAATATTTTCGCTATCCATGAATATTGGTTCAACAACAACGGCATAATCTTTTGGTCGATCAACAATACCAGATCTTAAGAATATTCCTTTTGCATTATTAACACCACAGCCAATTGAAAATCTCACATCTCTCTCAGCTGATTGTGCGTGAGATACTAAATTTTCAAATGCACGTTCCACTTGAAGTAAACCTGAACCTTGAGCAAATGGATCGAGATTATCAACATATAATGCTGTATTTTCCAGTGCTCGTTTTATACTGTATGGAGAATATGGACAATTCTTAGCTAAAAGTCCTGATATGAGAACAGCTGAAAGAAATAATTTAAAAATTCAATTTATAAATTTCAAATTCAAAAAAAAAATTTAAACATTTTATTAACGAGACCAGAAATTTATTGTAATTATTAATGTGTTTAAAAATTAACTACTAAGGTGTGTATTATTTTCATTACTCCTAATTCCAGAGATAACAATAGAATAAGGTTCAATTAAAAATTTTTTTAAATACTTAAACTGAAAAATAAGACTTAATTTTGAAAATTAAAATTTATTAATTTGTGTTAACGATACTTTTCAGAACTTTTTTTTTCTTTTAAATTAGTTAATATTTTAGGAATTTGTTGTTTCATATTAGGTAAATTGGTTTTTTTTTTAAACTGAAAATTAGGGTATTTATTTTTGTTATTAATTTAAAAAAAAAAAAAACTAATATTTCTTGCAATTTTTGTAAACTATTGCAAAAGAATGAAAAATTAATTTTACTTACCAACAGCACCGGTTACATGAGGACTTGCCATACTAGTGCCATTAAGAAGTTGACTTTTTCGGAGTGTATAATTTGGTACGCTAGTAATTGCTCCTCCTGGCGCACAAACCGTGATTCCGAAACCACCGTCCATCGTTGGTCCCCGGGATGACCACGTGAATGGCATGCCTGGCATTTTTTCACGTAGAGAATATTCAGCAAGCATCATATCAGGCGAAACGTAAGCGCCGACACTAATAATACTGCTTGTGCATATATCAGGAGGTGTGGCTGAAGAAAAACAAAAAAAACAAAAAATAACATGATAAAACAAATATTTTACAAAATAATAATTAATTTTTAAAATTCATATTTTTTGTAATCAATAAATTATAAAATTTGTTTTCACAAATTTTCTTCATTTATTATACTTACTAACTGTGCATAGAGCTGGTCCTAAATTTCCAGCAGATGAAACAAATGTTACTCCATATTTATCAATAACTTCATTCATAAGTTCTCCAATTCTACCAGAATTACACCAATTTGTATGTTCACCATAACTCATATTAATAACGTGTACTTTTTCTTTATAACTCATTACTTTTATCATTGCTCTAACAATACCAGTTCCAGTTTCCATTGTACCAATTCTTCCATCTCCAATGGTGAGTGAAATTATTTGAGCACCTGGAGCAACACCATTTAAATCAGTATGTTCCGGAAAATTGGCAGCAGCTATTGATGCCACGTGTGTACCATGTCCGGCTGTAAAAATCAAAATAAAACAATTAATTAATACAATTAAATAAGCCGTGGAAATTAAGGGAATTTTTTTTTAAATCGGTTTTGCGAAAAAAAAAAAAACTCAAAAATCTCCCTTAATTTTGTAATTTTTACAATAATAATAATTGATAATTATTAAAATTGTTATTTTAATTAATTAATAATAATTTTTTTTACGATATAATTGTTTTTTCTTGGTATATAGGAACTTACAGCATACACTAACTATTTCTAAAGTGTTTCCATCGTCGTGAACGTTGATTGAAACATTGAGTTGGTCTTCCTGTGTTAGTGGTTTGTATTCATGTGTAATCGAATACTCGCCAAGATAAACTCCTTTTTCTAAATTACCTTCCTCGGAAGTATCAATGCATGCTCTGTTAAAAAAAAAAAAAAAAAAAAGAGAAAATGATTCAGAATTGCAATCATTTTTTAAAAATAAAATATTTTATGAAAAATAGAAGAATTTTTATCTAAAAATATTTTAGATAATTGAATTTTAGAAAAACTTGATAAAAATTATTTCAATTAAAACAATTTATTAATATTATTGAAAATTATTATGGTTAAGGATTTTAGATAATTTTAAAAATAATCAAATTTCACGAGATTTTTGTTTGAAAATTTTGTAACTTTAAAATTCTCAACCTATTTTCTTTCGTTTAATGGATTTTTTAAAAATAAAATTGTAATATTTAAAAGTATAATATTTGAAAAACAAATAAAGATAGGGATTTTTCGTTTCACATAGATTGATCAAATTATTATGAAATATTTACCTCCACATTTCTCCATCGTGAAATAATACACAATCATAAGTTGGTCCTACATCAACATATTTTTTTTCTGCATTTGTTAATACTTCAACTCTAGCTTCAAGTTCCTCTTTTTCCAATTTTTCATCCCATGTTGATAACTGACGATGTTTTGCATCAAATACCTAACAAGAAAATGATAAATTTAAAATATTCCCAAAAATTTCCTAAACAGGATTGCCACAAGAATTAATTTTTTAATTATAATAGAAATCTATTAATTTCAATTAAATAACTAATTTCTTTTTATTTCAATGTTGATTAATTGAAATTTTTCATCAAAGATTGAAATATTGACAATTTAAAATTTGGGTATATCGAAAATTTACTTCATTAACATTTGGATAAATTAAATTCGAATAATTTAAAATTTAAATCAATTATAATTATAATTAAAAAAAAAAAAATTAAAAATAAAATTTAAGGTACACTAAAATTCGGATAATTATTTCATAATTTTGAATAAATTTTTTGATAATTGAATTATTTTGAAAATTTTTAGTTTAGATTAGATTAGATTTATTTTCTCCATTGTCTACTTATTACAAAGTAAATTTTTAATTTAAATCTTTTAAAAATAGAAAAAGTCAAAACTTTTAATTAAGACTCTTTGAATATTTATTTATTTCCATTAAATTCATATAATTATGTTATTTATTAAAAAAAGTTAACATAAATTCTTAAATAAAAAATGTATTAATTGTCAAAAATTTCAATAAACTTATTCAATAATTTAATTATTTTTTCAATTACAAAATTTATTTATTTGTAAAAAAGTTGTATTATAAATTTCTCAAAAAATTTCATTATATTATTAAAAATTTTGATTGCAGCTCTTTGAAATACCAATTATTTCCAAATATCGAAATTAAAATTTTACAAAAAATTTTATACAATTTTTCATACTTTTGAAGATTTTTCAAATTTTCAATTGAAAATGTCTTAAAATTTTAAATATTAACACAAAATTTAATTGCTAAACATCGAAAATTTAATGAATTAAAAAAATTTTAACAAAAATTCATCGAAATTTCACTTACCTATTTGCAAAAATTTTTAATTATAAATTCTCTAAAACTCAATTATTGTTAAAAATTTATAACAAAAAATCATCAGAAAATTAAATTTACAAAAAATTACAATTAAAAATCTTTTGAAATTCAATTAATTCTAAAAATCTTAATAGAAACTATTTAAAAAATTTACTTATAAATTTTTATCTAAAATTCTTCGATAAATCAATAATTTTTTAATAATTTCCATAGTTTCTCAAAAATTTAATTATTTAAACAAATTTTTAATAAAAAATGTTGTAAAATTTAATAATTAATGTTTCAAATTTGTATAAAAAAAATTCAGGAGTATGAATTTACAAAAAATTTCAATTTCAAATCGCCTGAAATTTAATTTCAAAATTTTTTTTATCAAGCCATTTTTGAGTTATGAATTTTTCAAAATTTCAGAATTTTAATGACTTAATTTTTTAATGTTCATAACTTCCTGAAAAATGCATCAATTTTAACAGTCTTTTGCAAAATGCGTGTTTTTAAACGTACTTTTCAATAAAAAAAATTGAAAATTTTTTTCAAATAATATGACTATCAAATTTTTAAGTTTTAAAGATAAAAAGTCATTTTTCTCAATTGACGTTCTGATGGATGATTATCAAAAAAACTATTTCCCTTAACGAAAATTTAAGGCCTAGTCCAATCGTGGGCCAACAATTTTTAAAATATTTTATGAGCCAAAAGTTTTGAACGTTTAAATGAACAAAATTTTTTTTGTAACATCTTTAAGTACGAATTTTATTACAAAATATTGTTTTACATATCTAAAAAGAAGTTATTAATTTAATATTTGTTTCATTTACTGTTTTATTTTACATTGACATTATAATTTCTAATAATTTATAGATTGAAAAAAATTTTTTGTATATTTGAACGTTCAAAACTTTTGGTTCATAATATTTTCGGAATTTTTAAATATTTTTGAATTTTTTAAAAAATATTTTTGTTTTTTTTATACTACGTACTTTTATGTATTTTGATGCGCTGATTACGAAAAAATGACAATACACGAAAATTTGATTTTTATGGTGAAAACCATAAAAAAGTCTTATTTTTTTTTTTTTTTTCATTTATTGGGTAAAATATGCAAAATTAAAAAAAAAAAAAAATTTTAGACAAAATTTATAGATCTTATTAAAATACATTTTTTATATCTTATTCTAAAATATAAAAAATTCTTCTTGCTAAAAAAAATTTGAAAAAAATCATGAAAGCTAGTCTCAATTAGTACTAAAAGAAAAAAAAGTTTCAAAAAAAAAAAAAAAAAAAAAAAACGGAAATGCAATTGCAGATGGACTTTGAATTTTTCGCGGAATACATCATATATAATTGATATTTTCTGTAAATATGTTCAATTTTTCAAATTTTCCTAACAAAATATTTTCCCTAAAATGTGACTACCCTTGCTAAACTCAAATTTCATAAGCAAATATTTTGTTTTCTTTTTCTTATTTTTGGGAGAAAACAAAAAAAATTTGCAATCTTTCATGGTGAGTAGGCAATTTTTTTGTTGTTGTCAACAATCAAGAACATTTAAATGATAAAAAATGTTGTGATTGCATTTGAGAAACTTGTGTTAAAATGCATGGAATTTTTAGGACAATTTAACTTGTGTATGTGTTAGAAAAAAGATCTCGTTGACACATTACATAATAAGAGTCAATGTCTTTTGTTCAATTAAACTGCCAACTATAAAGATAGAATTTGTCACAGCTATCGGTTGCTGTTGTGAAATAGTTGTCCCAATTTATTTTCTATGTAGTATTAAGTACAAAAGCCCAACAACTATCTTTGGACCACATGATCTAAAATTCTAATTGTTGTTCTGTGTTTACGTTAAGTTAATTTTTTTTTTTTAAATCAAATATTCTTTTAAAAATATTTAATTAATATATTAATATTAATTATTTATATTTAATATAAATTTTGTAAACCCGTGTACAATTTAAATAAAATATAATTATAATAATATATAATTAATTATTAAAAAAAAAATTTTAAAATACAATTTTAATTTCAATTCTCTCGAAATTCAGTTTTAGAAATTTTCCACCGAATTCTCATTATATAAATTTTATATTACTTGAAAATAAAAGAAGTTAAAAATTTTGTAAATTAATAAAATAGGTACAGTATTTTTTATAATCTCGAAACACTCACTTGTAGTTGTCTTGTAGCTTCCGCCAAAGCTGTTTTGTGCCCGTCATCCCACAAACGTTTCTTTCGAGTGGCTTCAATTCTTTCCCGTAATTTAGAAGGATAAAGTGAATATGCATTTTTTACTCCAATATAATAATTCCCAGTTGGATTTCTCCAGGAAGATGGAATCTGTTAATTTCAAAAATTTTTAATTGAAATTTAAAATATTTGCACCTTTAAATAATAAAAAAAAAATTATTTAAATATTAAATGAATAAATAATATTTTCTACGAAAGTGAATAAAGATTCAACAACAACAAAAAAAAAAGCAAAAATGACTCAGCGTTTATTAAATTCCAAATAAAAAAAAAAAAATTTTTTTTCTTTAAATGTATCTTTCACATCCTGTTGAAAATCATAATCTTATTTACTTTTAATTCTCGGCCAGTAAGACCTGCAATGGATCCGTCTGTTGCTTGTACGATTGTGCTTGTGTCAACATCTCCAGCTCCACTACAGTCAAATCTCTCGATTACTTTTGGTTTTCCATCGGACGTTATCTGTTAATAATTAATTATAATTAATTGGAAATTGGAAATTTTGTTTACAAAATTTCATTTCGAAAAAAAAATTGTTCCCTTGATATAAACTTAAAAATTTACTTCAAATAAACATTTTTAAAAGATATATAAATACAATCATGTCATTTTGACAATCAAGACAAAGGAATAAAAAGTATATATATATAGTAAACGCAATAGAGTTGATATTAAACATTTTTTTTTTTAATAATTCAAAAAAAAGGCAAACCGGCAAATGAAATAATTGAAAAATTGAAAAACACAAACGAAATAAAGAAAATTTACGATAGTGTAAATAAATCCTTATTTAAAGAGATCAAGGATAATAGAGAATGAAATCATATATTCAAAGCTAAAAAACAAAAATGTCCTTACCTGTAAACCAGGTGCTCCAGGATCAACTCCAGAGTCGAAAATAGCGATAATAACACCTCGGCCATCGTATTGAGGATATTTAGTAATAAACTGAGTAACGCCCGTTTCTTTTTTTGGCAGAAGGCCCCAAACAGGAAAATTACAATCAACTACGTCTGCCATATTTCAAATGCTATTCAATAGCACTTTAGCGGCCACCGGGAATTGAAAAAAAAGCCTCTCGTTTCTTTATATATTATAAAAAAAATTGAGTTGCGCATGCGTAAATTAAATTATGAGGCACGTTTCATATGTAGCGCCAAGCAGAGTTGAGAAACTTTTACAATAAATATATGATATTTCATTGGTTGGTAATATTACCGGAAATATAACAAACCAATGAGATCTCTTGAGAGGTAAAATTAGAATTTTTGTTTTAAAAAATTAGTTGGCAACATTGATTGTCAAATGTTAAAAAAGAAATGACAAAACATTCAAAAATGTTTTACATATTTTTTGTATTTAAATAAACATTTTATTTTCCCACCTATGTATTTCCATTGGAATTTAAAGTGATAAGTGATAATAAATATTTTTATATTTTCTTCAAAAGAATTGTAAGAAATGCATATTATAATAAAAGAAAATTACTTTACAATTTCGAAAAAAGAGAAAAATTATAGTAATTAATTTAACCTTAAAATTGATGAAAAATTACATTTTTTATGAGTTTTATATTTTCTTTTTATAAAAATAGAATTCATAATTATTCTATATAAGAACATATAATTTTTTTTATAATTTTTTATTATCTTATTTTGAATTATCTAACATTATTATATTAAGCTTTCAATTGTTCTAAATTCGATTATGGTGGAGAGAATTGGTAAAAATCTTGGAAAAGGGTAAAATTTATAAAAAAAAAAAACATTTATAAATAATTTACCGTTTCAGGCCTCGGATCGATTTTAAGGCACAAAAAAAGTCGTTTTAATAAAAAAAAGTCGATTTTTTTTATTTTAACCAAATTTAATTGGTTAATAAATATTTTACTTTAAAGAACTAATGTTATTAGATTATTAAATTTTTTTTATTAATTCTGTAATGAATATAATTCTATAAAAATATTTTGAATAAAATTTATTTCTAATATTTTAAAATCGAAATAATTGTAAGACAAATTTTCAAAATTTTATATAAGTAGGACTTTCTAAAAAAAAAAATTCTTAAAGTTCAATTTTTATAATTTTTTCAAGTCTGATTTAAGTAATTTATTCGAATTAACAATTTTGTCATCATTTTTAGTTTTGATGGTCAAAAAAAAAAAATTCATGCAATATTTTTTTTGAATTCTGTTACTAAAAAATTTATGAGAAATTGTAGACAAAAATACAATAATTTGAAAACTTTATAAGTAACAATGGTTTCAGATAGTTGAATTTTCAAAGAACATTATAAAAATCATTAAATATAATTGAATTTCAGAAGATTTATAATTGAAATTATAAAATATTTCAAAAAATTTTAGATGGAAAATTTTAGAAATAATTAAATTTTAGAAGCTTTTAAATTGAAATTTTTGAAAATAATTGAATTTCAAAAGATTGTTTTAAATTTCAGACAATAATTATTATAATAAGAGAAATTTTTAGTGATTTCCGTTAATGAAGAATTTATTATAAATCACATACAAAAATTGAGTTCCAAAAGTTTTTAATAAATTGAAAGATGCTTTCAGATAATTGAATTTTTAAAAGAATATTATAAAAATCATTAAAAATTATTCAAATTTTTGCAAATAGATAAATTTCAAGTGATTTTGAATTAAAATTTTTTTTTGGTAATTTTATTTGCTAATTTTTTTAAAATTATAAACAATTCATTAAATTTCATAAAAATTTTAATTGAAAAATAGTTTATGATAATTGAATTTGTGAAGAATTTCATTAAAATTATTAAAAATAATTAATTTAGTGAAGAATTTTAGTTAAAAATTTGTTAAATAATTAAAATAAAGAAGATCTGTATTGTGTACTAAAAAAGACGTATTTTGCTTTAAAAAAATTGTAAAAAAAAAAAAAATGTAAAAAAAAGTCGCATCTAATTGAAATAAGTCAAAAAAAAGTCGTATTTTTGAAAAAAAGTCGTACAATTCGAGGCTTTCCGTTTACCAAAAAGATTTAAAATGGAATTTACTTTTGAAAATTTTAATAATTTATATAAAAAAAATCAAATCACTTTTCATACCCTAAAAGAAATTAATATGATTTTCTTTTTACAAAAAAAAAAAAAAATTTCCTTTGCGCACCGCTTTAATAGTAATTAATTTAAATTAATGTTTACCAATAATTAGAAAATCAATAAAAAGAAAATTCACACGAAAATATAAATTGCAATATTCGGAGTATAGAAAATGTTTATGTGAAATTCGTATTAATATCAATATTATAAAGTTGAAAATTCAACAAAATGAGAATTAATAACAAAATAAAATTTGAGGATAAAAAAATTATAAATAAGACAAAATTGAAATATTCGGTGTATGAAAAATGTTTTATTGAAAAATGTTTTCCACGCTACAACGTCAGAGTACCACTGTCTATTTTTTTTTTTTTATTTTTTTTTTGTTTTTTTTTTATCTTTGTAACAGTACAAAAATTGCATTTTTACAAGTTGTCCAAGCTTACATGACTAAATATCCCAGTTAGCAACCTGATTATAAAAGCATAGTTGCACACACACAATGAAAGCGGTTGCACTAAGAATCAATTATTAATTAGTAAAAATAAATTGTGAACACTGGTTTTGATCACTTCGCTACCTGGGTTTACAATATAAGATTGTGACGTTTTCTTTTGCTCGTGCATTCGCGTGATTCTTAAAAACAATTTTTTTTTTTCTTTTAATCGAACAATCTTTTTTTTCCCCCTTTTTTTGTTTATATCATCACAATATCTTCTCATTTTTTCCGACATTCTTCTTTTACTATATATCGAATTGCAAAAATATATCATTCCTAAAATTTTACCATTTACTTATATAGAATTGAAATTTATATTTAACAATTTTTCTTTTCCTTTTTTCTTTTACATATGAAAAAAAAAAAATTAAATTACATGGCACAATGAATGAATTTTTATTATCAATAATAAACTATAAATATGGAATGATAAAAAAAAATTTTTCAACAACTAAATTATCAAAATAAATTTTCTATAATATGTATTTAATAAAAATAAATTATTCATTTAGAGATGTATGTAAAAGGTGCGTGTCGGAATAAATAAAAAGGCAACCTTTGAAGACAATTATTTAAAATAGAAAAAAAAAAAAAAAAAAAAAAAGAACATTTAGATTTAGAACATTACAAATATATATGTAAACATTTTGAGTTTAGTTCAAACGCAAAAACTTACAATACAAGTACTGCAGAGCTTTTCTTGACACAGTGTTTACAGCTATAAGTACAATTTCACCAATATTTAATTAATTGATTACTATATATTATATGAAAATTGCACACCCTGCAATACATGCGTCATTTGAAGAACATATTTCATCGATGCCTATTTTCTCATTAATAGTTTATATATATTATACAATTAAACAATACTTTCAATTTATTTCCAAAAGTATATTTATATATATATATGTTTTTAAAAAACAAAAAAAAAATCTATAAAATATCTAAAAATGTATATTTTGAGTTTTAAAAAACTGTTTTGAGAATTTATCTTCGAACTTCAAAAAATCACTATAAAAATATATATCCAATTTTTCATGTTTGGAATCTTCAGTGTTATACATAATTTTCTTTTTCGTTTTTCGAAGTTATATATATATATTTTTTTTTATTAAGTAAACAATTTGTAAAGAAATAAGCATTTTGCAAAAAAAAAAAAAAAAAAAAAATAGAAACATTTTATACATCGATTTAATTTTGATCTGAACTTGGTTCCGTAATTATTATTTAAATCACATAAATAGTAACAAATAAAATGTTACAAAATAATAATATAATAATAATAATAATATAATAAGTATAGAAAAGCGATTGCTGAAGCATTAAAGTCTTATGCTGCGTGCAAGATTAAAAATACAAGTGTCGCTTCAGCAATATAAACATGAACACCGATGGGATATATTCTTAATTTATAACATGATAAAAAAAAAAAAGATTTCTTGCTCTCGTGATTTTTCAGTAGTGTTCTAAAATTTCCCCTTTCTTCACAAAAAAATACATATTTGCAATCATTTTTTATATTCAATTTCAAATAAAAAATTACATTTTTAGATCTTTGATCTAAAATGAGAGAAAAACAATTTCCAAATATTTTTTATTTTAAAAAAATTAAAGTATATTTATTAAATGCGAAACTTTTAGAACTCTACTGTTCAGGTCCTGCCTTTCAAAATACAATATTGGAGCTAATACCACAATTATTAATTACAATCACGATTAAAATTTCTAATTTCATCTAAAGAGCAGTCTTTCATATTTCTCGAATGTTTATTTTTTCATTTCTTTTTTTTTTTTTTTTTTTTGTCTTGCACCAGGATTAATTTCCTGTTTGGCGTTTCTTGTGCGCGAACCCATGTCGTACACTTAAGTATATAATTGAAAAAAAAAAGAAAAAAAAAAAGAGAGAAAATTTGTAAAGTACGATTAGACTATTTAGTTATATTAGCAGATAGACATTAAAACTGTATCATTTGACTAGCTTTCGATAATAATCTGTCTTGGGTTTCGCGACATTTTAAAATTCAAAAAAAAAAATTATTATTTTCGATCTAATTCAGATCGTGTTTTTTTTTATTCAATTGCTGTTTTTTTTTTTTTTTATTTTTTATAATGATAATATTGGCGATTAGCATAACTCGGTGCGAGCAAGCTCATAATATCAGCAGCCCCTGGGATACTTGGGTTCGGCAATCACCATGTAACCTTACATAATTGATTATAATCTAGATAATATATATATTTTTATATATATAGTGCTATTATCGTCGGGTATTCTAAAAAATTACAAGTACTTGCATTACTCGATACCACTCGTTAATTTTTTTTTTTTTTTTTTTTCTCTTACTTTTGACAAGTTCTTTTTCCCTTCGGCAGTCTTCCAATTGCTTCTTTCACGCGCACGCGGAGCGTTGACAAAAAAAGTTCCTATTTTTTTTTTTTTTTTTTTTTTTTCTTAGACTTAGGTACTTTTTTTCCATGTCTCGCTCGATTCATTCTCTATTCCCTTCTCTTTTTTTTCTCTTCTTCTTTTTTTCAACTATCGAAACGCGTGAAATAGTCAGTCTTTCATTGTTTATTTATTTATTTTTTTTTTTACGATTAATTACTGTAGATTTCCGTTACGCGCAAAAATATTGTGAATGTCGCAGCGAAGCCGTTTAAAATCACCCGACGTGCGTAAACGTAATTCTAGAAATTCAAGCCACGAATCTCGATGTCTTGAAACTACGCGTTTTTACGCTACTTAATTTTTTCAAATTAAATTAATCTCGGTTTTTTTTTTTTTTAATTAAAATTTTCTTTTTTGGTTTTTACGAACCTTTGTTTTTTTTCTTGTTCGTTTAAGGCCTTTTAAACTGTATAAATATAGTTGAAATTCATTGTCCGATTAAAAAAAAAAAAAAAAAAAAAAAAATTAAAGAATGAATAATTATTTAATAATTCAACGCGATTTTACGCAGAGATAAAAAAAAAAGAAAATTATTGAACACTGTGTGTACCTTTTTCTTTCATTTAAAGTTATTCCTACACGTATATATATATAAGCCTATAAGAAAATAGAATTAGATATTTAAGCATCTATCGAGATCGATTATCATTGATAGAGCAAATATAAGGAGGTGAAAATCAGTTCGCTTGTTAAAATTAGAAGAATTCCATTTCCCGAAATGGATAACACAAAAACAATATTGCAAGTGTCACACAGCTTCCCCTTTTTTCTCTCTCTCTCTCTTTCTCTCTTCATAATTTACACAATTTTTCCTTTTTAAAAACCTAGCATAATATAATTATTTATATGTATAATATATTTATATATATATATTTTTTTTAAGGGAATAGCAAAACTTATTCGATCGCAGTACACGACGAAAATCTTAAAATCAATAAAGTGCAATAAAAAGCTTTTTTTTTTTAATCAGTCGCAAGTTTTCTTTCTCACGTAAAAGAGATCACTTTTTTTTTTAATGTCCAATAAAAAAAGAACGCAGCCAAACATCTCAATTCTAAACAAATATCAACATTTTTTATTTTCATAAAAATTTCTAATTGAATTGAGCAAATTATGCATGTTTCACTTAATATCCTAAAATTTTATTAAAAAAAAAAAAATAAATAAATATACGACGCGAATATCGTTATACGTCATTTTTGTTTTTTTTTTTTCTTTGATTATTTACCTATTTACCGGCAATTAATCAAAAATCAGGTATACAACGACATTCGTGGCTTGCAATCAAATTTAAAATTAGAATAATAAATTCATTTCAAATTGAGAAATGAAGAATTAAGAGTGAAATATGTATATAATATATATATGTATAGTAAACAATATAAATTGTAAAAAAAACTTCGTCCAATATTATGAATCTTAAGTATTAAGAAAATAGAAAATAAAAAAAAAAAAAATTATAAAGATTTATTATTTATATTATTCGTAATAGTCATTGACTACCGTCCAGTTCAACTGTCGATAGATTTAAATTGTATAATGTAATCTGAACATTGTTAACGTTAAAAACAAATTTCATTTCCCAATTTGTGATTTTTTTCAATATTTCTTTTTTTTTTCTTTTTTCCTTTCTTTTTTTTTTTTTTGTAAATAAATTATTCATTATTCGCGGCGCACTGCGGTCGAAGAGAAATTTTTTCTCTACTACATACATAAATTGTAAAACCCAGTAAATAGGAAATTATAATCCATCTACCTATTATCATTTGGCTTGCCAAATTCTGTCGGTTCATAAATATATTTTACTGAGCGTAAATAAAATACGTTATATGTATACGCAAATGACTGATCATATATGATCATAAATGATTAAAAAAAAAAAAAAACAATAAAAAAAAATACAATCACCTTTTTCTTTCGTGTCATCGCATTAAACATTACATGTATTAAAGAAAAACGTTTTATAAACGCCTTCTCTAGTCAAATTTTTTTTTTTTTTTTTTTTTTTACCAATATTTCGAAATAAAAAGTGAGTTAGTCAAAGGACTTAAAGAAATTTCTTACTGAACTCAAAGTTCAGCAACGTGTATATAATTTAATATGCGATATTGACTTTTCAAAAAAAAATAAAACAAATAAGAATAATTTTTGAGATTTAGGCCTCACCAAAACCTCCAATAGCTTGCTCGGTCATTCGTAAGCATAAAGATTCTAGCTGAGAGTTTATTTCAGGTTCAGTCGTCTCTGATGTAATACTCGATTGGCCAAGAAAATGATCCCTTGGTGCAGAGTATGTACGTTGTAAAGTTCTTTGTAATTGCTGTAAAAAAGATTACATTTATTTTTCTTTGTTTTTTTTTTTTTTTTTTTTATTAAAAAACACCAATAAAATATAAAAATAAATAAATCAAAAAAAAGCTACCAATATTTTTTTGAAATTTAATAATATGACCGATCAGATTTGCTACAAAAAAAAATTTACGATGCTGAATTACACAACGTTTATGGTCAACGATTAGAAATAAATTTTTATTTAACACGCAAAATTAAAAAATTGTTTACCTAAAAAAACAAATTTTTTTTTATAATTTGTTGATTAATAAAAACTAGAAGAAATATATTTTAGGCAAAAAAATGATAGAATTTTTCATTTTAAAAATTTATTTCTTTAAAAATCGTTTATCATAAACGTTGCGTACTTCAGCTTCGTAATAAATATGATGCTGAAGTTCGCAACGTTTTTATAAACGAAAACGAATAAATAAATGAGACATAATTTCGGCTCAGCAATTCAAATTGTTGTAGTTTTTTTTTTTTTTTTTTTTTTTAATTTTTGACATTTGAAAATTTGTATTTGAAACTTTTTTAAATAACTAAAATCAAATAAATAAATTTTTTTTTTAAATAATTGAATTCTGAAAGAGATACAGTTGAAATTTTTAATTTTTTTTTAAATTCAAACAATACTTAAATTTTACAGAATTTTTTATTAAAATTTTTTTAAATAATTTAATTTTCGAAAAATATGAAGAAAATTATTGGTTGACAATATAATTTAACAGACCGAATTCATTTCAAATCAGACAGGCTTGACTTGGTCGGAGCTGAAAATAATTTTCACCTTCAAAATGTTGTTCTTCAATGAATTTTAGATGACACGTATTTTTTTATTTTGCTGAAAAAAATTTTTTCCTTAAGTTATAAGGAGTTCAAATATATAAGTCGAGAACTTGGTTTTGTTTAAAATGAAGAGAAAAAATCTTAAAAGTGATGTAACTTTTTGAGTAATTAAGATAATTCACTTTTTCCTTTTGTGTCTGAAAGGACTTTTATTCTTCTTTCGAAATCCATTGGAAAATTTAAAAAAAATATTTAAGAATAACAAAATGGCGGCCATTTTACTAAAAAACTTTCATTTGAAATTACTCAAAAACCCCACCTTTTTTTTTGCTCAAAATTTTTTTGGGAATTGTGTTCATAGGGAGGAATATTGCCCACAAGAATTTAACTTGTGCTCGATTCTGGCACAAGAGAAAAATTTTTTTAAATATTTTTTAAAAGAAAAACATCATTTTTCTCCAAAAATACAGTAGATATAAAAAAATGTCTGTTGTCATTTTTGTCCATCTTGTGTTTGTTCAACAATATTTGCAAAACATGGATTAAAAGCTCACATTTATTGCTTTTTAAATATCATTTAAAATAGTTTCATTAATCCTGTGAAATAGTTCTTTTTTGTCTTTTTCCATAGCAACAATCAAATAATAATTAATAATCTTTACTGTCACAGAGGTTAAAATTGTTAATTTTTTGTGTTCAGTAAAAATAATAACGAGTATTAATATTAATAAATTAAAGAATCAGTTTTTTTTAAAAATTAAAAAAAAAAAACATTTTTTAAAATTATTTTTTAAAAAGCAAAATAAGGTATGTTTATATAATTTTTGTATTGTAATGTCACTATTATTATTTTTAAGGCTGTTTCTATTTCGCCCGCTCGGGCGAACTAATTCATTTCTGTTATTTCGCCCGTCGCGGGCGAAATAGATACGTCTGTGTGAACTGGCTATTTCGCCCGTCGAAATGAATGTGTTTTAGAAGACGGGCAAAATAAGAAAAATAAATTATTTCGCCCGTTCAAGATAATATCGAGTATCTGGAAGACGGGCGAGTATATTATTTCGTCCGTGAAATGTTTAAACAAAAATGGGCGAAATAATCAAAATACAATATTTAGCCCGCTAGGTATAAACAGCTGTTGTATATTTCAATTTACAAACTAAAATTATTTTAACTTTTATTTTGCAATTTATGTTAAATATCATATATTTGATAAACAAATTTGATGGTCTCATTAATTTTTTGTGTTTCGATAAAAAAAAGGGTTTTTCTGATTTCTTTCTCAGCAGAATCATGGTTTTATATATCAATGTGAGATTATACTCCGTATAGTATATTCTTTAAATATTGAAAACGACGGTGCGTTGTTTGAAAATCTATTTGGTATCGAAAGTAGTTCATATGACATTCTTTATTTTGATTGTCTTCAATTTTATTTACTCGTTGAATTTAGAGATGCAAATATACAAAAATTTCAGAAATAGTCGATTTTTGAATTCTTATTTAAATTACAAAATTAAAATCCACAATTTTTATTACCAAAGTTTAATAAACAAAATTTAAGAAATTTTTTTTTTCATTTTTCATGAAAAAAATTTTTTAAATGATTTTTTCAATTTTTAAGAAAAAATTTTTTGCAATTTTTTCGTCAACAATTTTTAAAAGAAAAATTTATAAAAAATATTAATTAAAAAATATTATTAATTATTTGAAAAAATATTAATATTTTTAAATCGATGACGATCAATTTTAATTGTTTTCGACTTCAACATCTTAATTTTAATTAGTTAAATTTAATAATTATAATTTATAATTTTAATATTAGATTATTTTTTTTATAATTTTGATTATATTTATTTACCATTACTATAAAATATTAAATTTTTTTAATTATTTAATAAGTGTAATTAATACCTCTATAAATATATTAATTTTTTTTTTTTAATACAATTTCTTAGATAAAATAATTATTATTCTTTAAAGTCACGTCTCAAAAACGTGTAAAATAAATATTTGAAAAATCTTCAAGTTAATAATTACAAACAAATTTTATGTTACAAATATTCTCAAAACTTTAATTAATAAAATTTTTTGAAAAAAAATAGAAAATAATTAAGTATTAATTTTAAGAATTTAAAGAATTTTTAAGAACTTTTTTTTTATTTAAATTTCTTCTATTTTATTAAATCAAATACTCCAAAAGATATAAATAAATAATATTAGACCTATACTCAGACGTCTTTTTTCTATCCATCTTATTTGTTATATTTAAAAAAAGTAAAATTATTTTTTCTCATTATTTAAAAAACAGCTGTCTATACTTAACGGATGAAATAATATACTCGCCCGTCTTCCAGATACTCGATTTTATCTTGAACGGGCGAAATAATCTATTTTTCTTATTTTGCCCGTCTTCTAAAACACATTCATTTCGACGGGCGAAATAGCCAGTTCACACAGACGTATCTATTTCGCCCGCGACGGGCGAAATAACAGAAATGAATTAGTTCGCCCGCGACGGGCGAAATAGCCACTCCGTATTTTTAAATATGAAAAGGTCTTTTAGGTCTTTTAACGAGGAACAACTTTTATCTGAGACATTTTTTTATATCTAGTGTATTTTTTGAGAAAAATGATGTTTTTCTTTTAAAAAATATTTAAAAAAATTTTTCTCTTGTGCCAGAATCGGGCACAAGTTAAATTCTTGTGAGCAATATTCCTCTCTATGAACACAATTCCCAAAAAAATTTTGAGCAAAAAAAAAGGTGGGGTTTTTGAGTAATTTCAAATGAAAGTTTTTTAGTAAAATGGCCGCCATTTTGTTATTTTTAAATATTTTTTTTTAATTTTCCAATGGATTTCGAAATAAGAATAAAAGTCCTTTCAGACACAAAAGAAAAAATTGAATTATCTTAATTACTCAAAAAGTTACATCACTTTTAAGATTTTTTCTCTTCATTTTAAACAAAACGAAGTTCTCGACTTATATATTTGAACTCCTTATAACTAAAAGAAAAAATTTTTTTCAGCAAAATAAAAAAATACGTGTCATCTAAAATTCATTGAAGAACAACATTTTGAAGGTGAAAATTATTTTCAGCTCCAACCAAGTCAAGTCTGTCTGATTTGAAATTAATTCGGTCAACAATTAATTTAAAAAATTGTAATAAAACATTTTTTTTAAAATTAATTGAATTTTGGGAGAGTTATAATTGAAAATTTTAGAAATTATATAAAAATTCAGAACGTTTTAAATTGAAAATTTTAAAAGTAATTAAATTTTACAAGGTTTTAAATTAAAAATTTTAGAAGTAATTGAATTTCAAAAGATTTCAAATTGAAATTTTCGAAAATTATAATTTTAGTAGCATTTTTAGAAGTTTTATATTTTTCCAGTACTTTTCATAAAAATCCCTGACTTTTTCATAGCAAATAAAATTCTCTGACTTTTCTAGATTTCTAGAATAAGCATAGCAACCCTGAGAACACTTTTATGAAATGTTTATTCTTTAATGTAAAATTAAAAAAAAAGTAAAATTATTAATTACCTCCAAACTATTTTCCTGTAAGCTGGGTCGCTTTTCAGCTGAGTGCATTGGTCTTAAGCTGTTTTGTGTATTGTTTGGACTTTGGTTACTCTGCAAATATGGTGTTGATATACTATTTCTGTGCGGGCTGTTGAGGAATGAGTTATTATGTAGATTAACACTTGACACATGACTCGAATTCAAACTTGGTTTTCTATTTTGATGATTCTGTTGTTGAATGCAGCAATATCGTCTATTATTGTATGGATAATTGTGTTGCCATCTGGAAATCGAATATTCACAATTAACACTATTTCTAATTCATTTTGTTTGTTTTTTCTTTCTTTCTTCATTGATAATTTAATATCGACTAACAAATTCATCATTGTTTTTCATTTACAGGCCTCGGATCGACTTTAAGGCGCAAACAAAGTCGTTTCAGTCAATTTACATTCCAAAACAAGTCAAGAAAGTCGATTTTTTTTAATTTTAATTAAATTTATTTAGTTAATAAGTATTTTACTTTAAATAATTAATGTTATTAGATATTAAATCCATTTTATTAATTTCATAATAAAAATAATTCTATATAGGAATATTATCAAGAAAATTTATTTCGAATATTTCAGAATCGAAGACGTAAATTTTCAAAAATTTTAATTAAGTAGGACAAATTTCTAAAAATAAAAAAAAATCTGACAATTCAATTTTAGTTTTTATTTGAAACTTTTTTAAATAATTAAATTTTTCAAGATTTATAATTCAGATTTTTGAAATTAATTGAACTTCAAGTGATTTTTTATTGAAATGTTTGATGATGAAGAATTTATTAGAAATTACAGACGAAAATTGAATTTTACAAGAATATTATAAAAATCATTAAAAATAATTAAATTTTGAAAGAATTATAATTGAAATTATTAAATTTCAAAAAGTTTTAGATGGAAAATTTTAAAAATAATAAATTTTTAAAGGTTTTAAATTGAAATTGTAGGTAATTTTATTTGATTATTTTTTAAATTGTAAACAATTGTTGAATTTCATAAAATTTTTTATTGAAAAATAATAATTTAAGATAATTGAATTTATGAAGAATTTCATTGAAATTATTAAAAATAATTAATTTAGAGGAAAATTTTAGTTGAAAATTTTTTAAATAATTGAAATAAAGAAGATCTGAAGAAGATCTGTATTATATTCCAAAAAAGACGTATTCTGTTTAAAAATTTTGCAAAAAAAAAAAAATTGTAAAAAAAGTCTAAAAAGTCGTATAATCCGAGGCCTGCATTTATTGTTAATTAAACATATAATTTATTATCAGTTATTTTTAATTTATTATTAGAAATTAAATTTAAATATTAAATTAAATAATTAAAATATTTAAAATTAAATTGTAGATTTCATATACAATTATACTGTTCTTTAATTCAAGTTAATTTATTTATAAACACATTTTAAAAAGAAAATTATATTTAAAAAAATATGAAATCGATGAATGATAAAATAAACAAAAAAAAATTTCTATTTTCCTTCAAAATATAAAGATAATTCTTACTTTGGAGTTGGTCTAGGATTGCCAAGACGACTGCGCCACTGTTGAACTTTTTCTTTTTGATTTGGCGTAAAGCAATCGTGTAATAAAACTTTCTCCAAAACATTGATGCACGTGCAAAGAATTCCATCGTCCACACTATCTAAAGCAAGTCTACTGCACACTGTTGAACAAAAAAAAACAAAAAAAATAGTAATTATTGAAAATTTCCAAATTTTTTAGTAAATAAGAATTTGTAAAGTAAAAGAAAAAAATAAAAATCATACATTTCCCAAGAACTTTTGTAAATTGAGAAGGTATATCTTGTGGATCATTCTCTTGACTCGGTTTCAATGGAGTGGTTAAAATATTTTTAAGCTCATCAAGTGTATTAACTAAAAGTGACGAGCCCTGAGCAAATGAAGCTGGTTGATTTCCATCGCGCGTCGGTTGCAATAGATTCTTTTCCAAATTGAGAAGTGTCGTATATCTTTGTTGCAATTTAGTGATGGAAAGTGCCAGCTTATGTCGTGCACCCTTTGTCACACCTTGTTCCGCTAAACGTTCCTCCGTTAATTGTAACATTTCACCGTAGCTCAATGTTGCAAATAAATAACTGTACTTATGCAAACGAAGTGTTTTTAACCATCCGGGTACATCTGAAAAAAAATTCAATAATATAAAATATAATAATAAATTATATTTTAGAAAGGTAATTGTATAAATTTCAATGAATTTTGATGATGGAAATTTTTTTATTCACATCACATTCAATTCTTTGGATTGGAATTTTTTCTCTTAAGTTTTGAATTTCAACCATTTATCGTAAACTGAGACTTTTATAGGAGTTTAAACTACAAATATTATTTTATAAAATTTGAATAATTCAAGGTTTTGTTTTAAAATTCTAAGTGATTTCAATATTTAACTGAAAATTGAAAATTAAACGAACCTCTCATTCCACTGGACAGAGGCCGTGTTGAAGCTTCATCTAAACGTCCTTCGCTTCCACTACTTGTACACGAACTTTGTGGACTCAGAGGTCCTAGTCCTATCAAAGCAGCTGCAAAAATAAAAAGAAAACCAATATTTATCAATAGAATTTGAGAAATGATTAAAAAAATGACAAAAAGAAAAATATAACTTACAAGTCGTATGATCTCCAGAAACACTGAAACTTCTGGTCTTGTGTCTGGTAGTGTTATTAGTATTGTTACTTCGATCAATGATCTCCGGATGATGTGGAGGAGCAAAAGGAGGTGTCAAACTATTTGATCGACGTTGACGAGACACTGGTGGCAAAAGTTGTGAATTAAAAGTTGTCCCAGGCTGTGAATTGAACAAATTCGTTTGCTCCGTTTGTTGCTTCACATTTCGTTGCCATCCGGCATCCCATCTTTTTAAAAGTAAAAGAAAAAGGACAAAATTTAAAACAATGTTGCGTAATGAAAATTTAGAAAACCAAAATTTATTAAAAAATTTAACAATTTTTGTAATTACTTAAAATTCAGGAAGAATTGAAATTTGAAATTCCTTCACAATTTATAGTATTTTTCATCGACAATTTTTGTTGTACACTTTTTTCATCACTCTGAACAATTAATCGTATGGGTTTGAAAAAATTTTAACTTGTTCAAAAAATAGTTAAAAAAAAAAATATATTTTTAAATGTAAAACAGAAAAAATAATTTTTCTTCAAATCTTTTAAAATGGAATATGATTCTAGGTTTTTTTTTTACACTTTTCTTATATGAATTTGAACAATCAATCGTATGGATTTAAAATATATTTTTATTTAATATATATAATATATTTTTTTTTTGGTAATTATTTATCAGTTTAATATTGTATGTTTTAAGCTGTTGATATACTATTTCTGTGCGGGCTGTTGAGGAATGAGTTATTATGTAGATTAACACTTGACACATGGCTCGAATTGAAACTCGGCTTTGAAAAAATTTTAAAACTTCATTTATTTTGTTTATTTTTAAAGATTTTTAAGATTCGAATTTTTTATTTTTTAAATTATTAAGTAACTTTCAATTAGTCGGTTGTTATTTATTATTAGAAAACTGAAATAATTTCTATTTTTATAGAGAAAAAATGGTTTAAATTCATTTTGTAATTTAAAGATAGTTTAATAAATACGAAAAACATTCGGACAAATAGTATTTAGTAAAAATTTTACTCCAACGTTTCGAAATTTAAATAATTTCCTTTTCATTGAATCAAAAAATAAACAATAAAAACTTAAGTGTCAATTTATAAACAAATGAGCAAAAAAAAAATTGTTTTAGTCGATTTACATTAAAAAAAAAAGTTGAAAAAGTCAATTTTCTTTTTTTTAAATTAAAAATTCGTTAATAAGTTTAAATAATTTAAATAATTAATGTTTTTAGATATTACATTCATTTTATTAATTCCTTAATAAAAATAATTCTATAGGAATATTATCAAGATAATTTATTTCGAATATTTCAGAATCGAAGACGTAAATTCTGAATTGATTCAATTAAAAATAACATAAGCATAACATTTACTATGGGTAAGTACTTCACCGATAAATTATTATTAATTTTTATCAAAAACTATAGGGGGGGGAGAGAATTAAAATAATTTTGGTGAAATATAAACAGTGGATTTTTTAAAAAATAATCTATTGTATAAAAGGGTGAAAATTTTTTTGACCTATCTAATTTATAAAGTTTTTTTCCTGCTCTTTCGAAAGGTAAAAAAAATTTTTTTTTAAAAATTCAAAATTTACCCCTTTTTTTGCAAATTAAAAATATTTTTATAATATTATATAATTTATAATATAATAATTTTGAAAGTCAAAATTTTTACTTTTTTTTAATAAAATACAGTTTTTATTTCTTTTTTTTACCTCTTAAAATGAATGCTTTTAATAAACAAATTAAACAAAATGTCGTTTTTTTTTTGTTTTCGATATATGAATGTTAATAAAAAATTAAATATTTTACAAACAAATAAAGTTATCGTAATTCTAAACTTACCAATGGAAAGTTAACGTAATTCCGCATCCAACGAGCCCTATATAAAGTATTTTGGATAAGCAGATTGTTAATAAAGAATTAGTTAGCATTGCAATTGTTTATTAACAATCTACTTATCTAAAATACTTCATATAGGGCTCGTTGGATGCGGAATTACTTTAACTTTCCATTGGTAAGTTTAGAATTACGGTAACTTTATTTGTTTGTAAAATATTTAATTTTTTATTAACATTCATATATCGAAAACAAAAAAAACGACATTTTGTTTAATTTCTTTATTAAAAACATAGATTTTAAGCTTCATTTAAAGGGGTTAAAAAAGAAATAAAAACTGTACTTTATTAAAAAAAAAAAGTCAAAAATATTTTTCATTTTCAAAAAAGGGGTAAATTTTGAATTTTTTAAAAAAAATTTTGCACCATTCGAAAGAGAAGGAAAAAACTTTTCGAAATCAAATTTTGAATAAATTATTTATTATTTTTCGAGATATTAAAAAATTGTTATCGGGCTCCGTTTAAGCTGAAAAAATTCATGAACATTCCTTAATATGAGCCAAAGACATGTGCCAAATTTGTCGAATACCATATTTTTTGTTTTTGAGATAATAATTAATTAATTAATAAAAATTAATAAAAAATAAAATATTTTACGAACAAATAAAATTAGAATAATTTTAAAAACACCATTTAATAATTAATAATTAATTATTATTTAAATAATTATTAACATTTGAAAGAGTGACGATAAACAGTTAATTTTTTTTTGTTTGGAAGATCATCTAATTCTGTGTCAAAAAAAGAATATTAAGTATTATTTAGAATCGAAAATTAATTTTAAAATATTATTTAGAGAAAGACCGAAAAATACCATGCCGAGATGGTAGGACACCTATGCCAAATTGTGCCGTGGGGTGCTCAAAAAGCGATTTTCAATAATCATCTGTTAATAATTTATATTGTTAAATAAATTATTTGACAAATAATTAAATGATTTTCCAAACGAAAAAAAATTAACTATTTATCGTCACTCTTTCAAATGTTATTAATTATTTAAATAATAATTATTATCAATTATTATTAATTTAAAATCCGTTCATCCGAAATAGTTCATATAGGGCTCGTTGGATGCAAATTTTTGATAAGCATTAAAATGGTGTTTTTAAAATTATTCTAATTTTATTTTGTTCGTAAAATATTTCATTTTTTATTAATTTTTATTAATTAATATCTCAAAAACAAAAAATAGGGTATTCGCCAAATTTGGCGCATGTCTTTGGCTCATATTAAGGAATGTTCATGAATTTTTTCAGCTTAAACGGAGCCCGATAACAAGTTTAAAAACAAATTTAATTTTTTAAATAAATTAATGAAAAAAATTTTATTTTTGGGTAAGTCCACGTCAGAAATATCAGAATCTGCAAGTGGTTCTTCGATTTTAATGATACTTGGTAAAATTATAGCTTTATATAAGAGCAATGTGTAAGTAAAAGGAATTTTTAAAATATCTAAAATTGTAGGAGTTATATCACTTTTAATTTTTATACTGCATTTTTTTCTTTCCTTTATATCTCGGTCAATTTTCAACCGATTTTGATGAATCAAAAACGATTTTTTTCAGAAAATTACGTATTTTCAGAAAATTTTAAAATAAAAATAAAATTTTGTTATTTAAATAGAAAAAAGTAAAAAACAAAATTTCTTTTAGATTTTTTTTCAATTTCGACCTCTTTTTTTTTAATTTTTAATTTTTTAATAATATTCCTTTTTATTTTATCTTTAATTTAAAAAAAAATTCATCCTGGAGACTTTTTTAGATCTCGTGATATCGTCCTTTAAGTATTATAAGTCTTCATCAATTTGAAAACCGCAGGACTTGCTTCTATTATTACTTTTATTTGTTTATTGAAATTTTTTATGGTTATGAATAACTATTTGTTTTAGAATCCTCTAAAAGAAAGCGCTAAAAACTTCAGCTACAATTTCAGGTTGCATTGTTAAGGTTTCATTACAATTTATTTTAAATTGTAAATATTACAAAAAATAAAAACTTTGCTTCAAATCTATTAATAAAATATTGATTTGCTTGAATTTTCACTTGTTTTAGTCAAGTAATTTAAAAATAAAAACATTATTACGCGAAATTTTCTAGTTTGTAACAATAATATTATAAAACAAATGAAAGTAGAAACACAAATCTGGATCCTAGTTTTCTTGAGATGTGGATATTTAAAGAACGATATCACGAGATCTAAAAAAGTCTCCAGGATGAATTTTTTTTTAAATTAAAGATAAAATAAAAAGGAATATTATTAAAAAATTAAAAATTAAAAAAAAAGAGGTCGAAATTGAAAAAAAATCTAAAAGAAATTTTGTTTTTTACTTTTTTCTATTTAAATAACAAAAATTTTTTTTTATTTTAAAATTTTCTGAAAATACGTAATTTTCTGAAAAAAATCGTTTTTGATTCATCAAAATCGGTTGAAAATTGACCGAGATATAAAGGAAAGAAAAAAATGCAGTATCAAAATTAAAAGTGATATAACTCCTACAATTTTAGATATTTTCAAAATTCTATAATTTTACCAAGTATCATTAAAATCGAAGAACCACTTGCAGATTCTGATATTTCTGACGTGGACTTACCCTTTTTTAAAATTAATTTTTGTTTTCTTAAACTTTAAATATTTTCTAAGCAAAAAAACGTTGAAGAAACTTTTTTGCTACAACTAAAAGTGAAAAAGTTATGAATAATTGAAAAAAAAGTTGCACTAATTTTTTAATGCAATTATCTCGAAAAATAATAAATATTTTTTTTCAAAATTTTTTTTTTTACTCAATTAGACCCATAATCTCTACTATCTAAAAACGTAGTTATAGAAGGAATCGAAGGATATCATGTTGAATTGCTCATATATATGGGAAAATCCACGAAACTTTTAACTTTCAAGAAAAAAAAAATTTCTTTTTTTAATTTGCATTTGTATGCACGTTCAAGTACATTTTAGCACTACAAATTCATTTGCGTGATTCATTTTTAGCTCACGCCGTCAATGTTTAACTCTTTAAACTCTTTAACGTTAATAAATTACATATAAAATTGAAAAATTCAACTTTTTTTATTATTGATATCGAAGTGGTTTCCAAAGTATTTTCGTCCTCTGAACACGATTCTGGCACCCAAATTTACTTAGCACGTCAGAATTTTGAGAAAAGAGGGGGTAAAGACTCCAAAAAAGTGTTTTCAACATATTCTTAACTTAATAAAATTTATTTCACTCAAAATCCTTAAGCGGCGTTTTTGTATTCAAATATATGTATGAAAATGTTTCGATCCCCTCTTAGAGGCATCATTGAAAAAGGTCTTAAAATTTTTGTTTTTTCATCACCTTTTAAGAAATACATTGAACTTTTATGTTTATTCAACGCCGTAATAGATATTTTCATAAGAAGACGTTCAATTGAATTTTTTTTAAAAAGTGCTATCACTCAATCAAACCTTCGTATTTTTAGTTTTAGTGGTGGCACACTAATGGGATAGTGAAAATTTTTTGACAAAATATGTCGGTTAGATATTTCCATAGTAGCTGAAGTGATATTTTACACGCCGCAAAAATAAAAACGTTAAGAATATATATATAAACTTTTTCAAGAAATTCAAATGAAATTTAAGCATTTTTTCACTTTTTAACTTATAAAACGAATTGTTAAATAAATATTTTGTTCTAGTACTGTACATAAATATATATATATATATAATATTAATTATATATTATTATATAATGTTATATAATAATAAATAATTTCATTTGCTGAAAAATAAGAGAGTAGCAAATAATTGTGTGTGTCAAAGACCTGTAAATATTGTACCTATATACATTTAAAAATATTATACCTGGATGAACTATTGGTGTATTCCTCCAAATTATGAATAGGTGGTGTCCCGCTGATTCTCTCCTCAAGATGTCTAAGCCATTGTGACAAAGATCGCCTATCATTACTGGTAATTGCCGGATGAATAAGTGTATAACTCAAAAGTTGTTGTGTTTGTTCAGTAAATTGTCCAGTTGTAACGCAGTGACTAACCAATTCAGGAATAGCAACCAGATAACACTGTTTACATTCAACATTTCCGGGTCTCAGTAAAGGAAGATGTGAGAGCAATTGATTAATAGCAACTTCCGTAGATTCCGAGAGCAATGAATTGACAAAAGCTGTAAGTATTTATATTTATCACTTTTTTTTAATTCTTTTCTTCGTGTTTTATTAGGGGAAACAAAAAGAAAAAAACAAAAATTCTAAATTACCTGGATTATTTGCATTTAATTCTTGTGAATCAAGTTCCGTAACAGAATGAAGTGAATGTTGCACAGCGTGTGCAAGAAATCGTGCTTGAACCGCTGGAATTCGACGTAAAAGAGCGTAGAGAACGACTGTTTGTTCACATTCATTCCATTGTGAAAATACACGTGTCAATTCACCAACTTGTTCGCAAAAAAGAGCTCCTGGTGACCACTTCATTTTTTTTTTCTTTTTTAATCGCGACTACTATTGCAGTTAAATTTGACTCGACACCTGAGTTAGTGCGATTGCACAACAACTAGGTTCACCTAATCTCACTGATCCAAAAAAACCAATTCTACTCTGAAATAGAAATAAACAAATTGTATTTTTTCTTTTCGATATTTTTTAACTTTAAAAATTCATTTTCATATAAAAATATTTCTTAATATTTGAAAAAAATATAATAATATTTAATAATTACTATTGTGATATTAAAAATAATAAATATTAACATTTAATTGAAAATGAAAATTAGCAACAGATAATTATTTGAAATTGCTTTTATGTGTAAATTAGTAAATGGAAATGACAACGTATTGATTTGCCCATTAATAACACTGTATCACATTGTGTTGTCGATTTTCATTCAAAACGTAAACAATCAAATAATCAACTAAACAGACACTATATAAGGAAATAATTTTCATAAAAGAAAGAAATTAAATTAATTCCGTTTATTTATATATATATAAACATATTTCTAAAACACAAAACATGGAAAATTCTTTGCAAAATTATCTTCGTATTTCGATGAGGTCAAGTTTGTTTACCCCATACTGCGTGTGTATTTATAGCTCCCTCTCCTGCCATAATCCAATCCCTCGGTGCAATGGCATCGGCAAATTATACACGCTTACACGACGTTGAACATATCTCTCTCTCTCTCTTTCTCTTTATTTTCTCATGACTTTCCAATGACGCAAATTTTCAAACGCGACAATTTTTATTTTTACATTTAAATGAAAAATTTACAATGTTTAAATTCAATGAATATACGTTATTTTATATCAAAAGAAAAATTTAAATCTTGTATATAGTAGACACGGGGGATGGGAGTCAAGAAGTGTAAGAGGGGCAACACTGACAGATAAGCAAGGGGAAATTGTAGTCGTGATTCGATTATTATATAGCATATATATATAAATTTGAGGAAAAAATTGATTCTAATTAATTAAAGAGAATTTCAAATTATTGAATTCAATATAATTTGAGGTGAAATGAAGTTTATGGATGCCTGCGAGGCATTTTGGAGTATCGTAAACAAAAAGGAAAACAAACCACCACGAACGCCTTAACGAGTGCCACGGATAGGCATCAGCCATTGAAAAGAGCAAACAACATTCGATTGCTTTGTTTGTCCGGCAAGATATCATTAAAATTGAAAAATATGTATTTGTATTTACCGTTTCAGCGAGTGTAGACACTCCTCGATAAACTGAGGACGCTTCTTAAAAAGACGATGCACAATTAGATCATTTTTTAATCCCTGATTTTTGTAATAATATACTACCACCATGCGGTATGGTGGCTCGTCTACGTGACACACACACACTGACTGACACTTTTGCTTTACTTTACACACACTTGCCGTTTAATACCAGTGATGGGTAGGTAATTTAATAGTCTACTACGAAGTATCAAATTCTCATTTTGATATTACGTAGACTTCATGTATATGTATATTAACTTGAAGTTTTTTTAGACTGTGTCCACAATGGGCTCTTTTTATGTCCTTATGTTAAACAAAACATAAGAAAATAAATTGTATTTTTATGTAATATATAACAGAAGGTCGCAAAAAAAGTTTATTATGGACATAGCCTTAATGATGTGTTGTGAACCAGGGATGGGTAAATGTAACCAACTCAAGGTTTTCAACGTATAATACGTAGAAAACCCAATAATTTCGAAATTTTCACGAATAATACGTAAGTAAATTACATAAGGTAAATTACATGTTTTCCTATCGGTAATTTACCACGTAACTTACCTGAATAGTTTTTTACCCCAAGTAAATTACCTCATATTACGTGATGCTTCTTGTATTCTTACGGTTATGAAATACGTCAAATTTTATGTTTCTATACAGAGATGGGAACGTAGAAAACCTCGAGTATAATACAAGGTATTTTACTTGTAATATACACGTATTATGAGTTTTCTACGTGTGTATTATATATAAGGCTAATTTTTAGAAACATAACCCTAAATCTGCTTGTTTCGAATTTCCAATTTTCAAAAGTTCTGATATTGGCACAAATTAATTATCGATGCTATGATAAAATTTAAATTACATTAGTATTTCTCTTCTAAATTGAGAACGGAAGCACATTTAAAATGTTAAAAAAATTTACGAAATTATTGCAAATAAAATAATATTATTTAACTCAACTGAAAGTTCTCAATTGACCAATATTTAAATATTTTATTTAGTAATTAATATATATTTCAATAAACCAGAAAGTAAATAACAAAACGAGGTTATGTTGCCATTGATGTGGCTACAATGTAGAAAACCTGGTTTTCTACAGTATTATACGTATAATACGTCATTTATGTATTATACGTAGAAAACATGGAGTAGTATAAAGGTGCTTTTATACCTCCAGTATTTTGATCAAGCAATCGGCTGGATTGAATTTTCACGGAGAATCACTGAATTTGATTGGCTCTAAAAATATTTAATTTTCACGGTGGAAATGAAATATTAGTCAGAGCCAATCAAATTCAGTGATTCTCCGTGAAAATTCAATCCAGCCGATTGCTTGATCAAAATACTGGAGGTATAAAAGCACCTTAAGGAGACCGAACGACCATGTTAATGGAGCGGTCACACCTCGGCTGCAGGAGCAGTTGCCCATGGCAACCGTGTAAGAGTAAGAGAGATAGAAGATTTTCCATCTCTCTTACTCTTACATGGTTGCCATTGGCAACTGCTCCTGCAGGCGAGGTGTGACCGCTCCATGAATCTGCGTTAAAAGTGGACCAAATTTTGGTAATCGCTTAGTGTCATGAAAATACGTAATGGAATACTAGCGCCACTGATTGTGTTAAACTCAGCTGGACAGTCAGCCATTGTAAAATTTTTAAAAATAAGGAGCAATGTATTTTTGGGTTATGTTCAACGTACTTCTAACTTTTTTCACTGTTTACATACTTCCCACGAGAGCGCTTGTGTTCCATTACGTATTTTCAAGACACTAAGAGGTTACCAAAATTTGGTCCACTTTCAATTTACGTTGTTCAGTCTCCTTACTACTCCATGGTAGAAAAACTCCAGAAAAGCATTTTTACCCATCTCTGTTTCTATAGGTCCGCCATCTTTGTTCAGTAATTTACCAGTTTTTTTACCGTTGCTTACGGTAAATTACCTACTTATATAAATTTACCGTCGAAAACCTTAACTTATGCCCGACCTCGCAGCCCTGTACCTTACCCTGTTCTAGTAAAAATTTAGTGACTTTATTGTTAAAATTAAAAGTTACTATAAAGTCACTAAATTTTTACTAGAGCAGGGTAAGGTACAGGGTTTCGAGATCGGGCGTAAGTTAAGGTTTTCGACGGTAAATTTATATAAGTAGGTAATTTACCGTAATCAACGGTAAAAAAAACTGGTAAATTACTTAACAAAGATGTCGGATCTATAGAAAAATTAAATTTGACGTATTTCATAACCGTAAGAATACAAGAAGCATCACGTAATATGAGGTAATTTACCTGGGGTAAAAAACTATTCAGATAAGTTACGTGGTAAATTACCGATAGGAAAACATGTAATTTACCGACGCAACCCTGCTCACACAACTTCAAAGATCATGTTTCCCATCCTTGACGAACTGTCAAAACACAATAAAGGAAAAAAGGTTAAGATTTCAACAATACTTTTATCTAATTATATTAATTATATTAAATAAATAAAGCATTCCTTAAGAATTTGTCATAAACAGTTACAGATTTTTTTCTAATGTAAAATAAAAAAAAAAATACAAGATTTAAATATTAATTCAAATAAATGTTATTTTTATATATTGTTTAATTTAAAATAATTTAATAGAAAAAAAAATTCATTAAAAATAGAAAACAATTTATATTCATGCTTCAAAAAAAAACAATAAACGAGAAAGAGGTAAATGAAATCAAAATATTGTTTAATTCAGAAAATATATATTTAAAAAATACTTCAAACATTGTAAAGAACAAGAAAATATAAATAATACACAATTGTAAATGTTTATTTATATTTACAAGTGTATATTAATTTTTTTTTCACAGAAAAAATAACATCATTACAGTGAAATTAAACAATGGAAATATAAAATATGAACAATTAAAATGCAAACAAACGCATGATATAGAAAATAAAAACAAAATGAATTAAAAATATTTTCAAAATGATATTCTCATTGAATGAACTCGTTCATTGGTTAGGATTAACAATTTTTGAAATATGGGTTAATTTGGCATCACTTTCAGTGTTTTTTATTTTATTGGCATTTAAATTAGACAATGACTATTTTTTAAATCACAAAGATTGGTGGATTGTTTTTTCACCATTATTTGTTGCCGATGGATTAAATACATATTTTTGTTGTATTATATTTATAAGAATGCATATGGAAGGAATGGTGAAGGATGCTATATTAAGAGCACTTTGGAGTTTAATTCTTTTACTTTTAATTTTTATATTCAAATATTTTCTATGCCAAAAATTATCGGGTCAAGCTTCATTGGAATATTCGGAAGTTTTAAGTCCCGTTTTCTTTTTATTACAACTTATTGCCATTAGAGCTTGTCAATTACATTAAAATTAAATTCATTCATTAATTTTCTTTTGCAAATTAATATTTAATTGCGTTTTTTCTTTGGCAAAAATAATTGTTAATAAAAAAAAAAAAAAAAATGACGTGTATTTGCGTGAATGACTAAGAGTGTAAAAATAGAAAACTGTCTATTATTTTTTATATTTAATAAAAATATTCAATACAATAAAGATAACATTTTCTATTTTTCTTTTTTCTTTTACGATTAAAGTAGAGTAAAAATAAAAAAAAAACTAGTAAATTTTCCACATTTCTCCAATTGCATCCTTTCCATTTCTTATTGAAAATATGAAAAAAAATTCTTTCACGTAAAAAAAATTGTAGTAAATATATAAAATCTATAACTACTCAACTCTGGTTGATTTTGTTTTTAGTTCTGTTTCAATTTTTATATTACACAGAAAGACATGTGGTCATTGTATATATTTTTATTGTTAATTTTAATTATTCAAATACAATCGAATGATTATTGTTCATTGAATTCTGAAAAATGTGGAAAAACACACAACAAATATTCAAAAGGTAATATTTATTTTTCTTCTATGAATATCTTATTTAAATAATAAGAAATTTTAGATGAAGTTATCGAGGGAAAAAAGAATTTGTATTTAATTATTTAATTAAAAAAATTACACAGTGCATTTGAAAAGAAACATTTTTTCACCTTGATCACTTCTTGTGAAATCCCCCTTTATATGGGACATTTCATATGAAATTTTCATTCAACATTTTTTTTTACTCCGATATTTTTTTCGAAATCTTTATAAAAAAATAAAAGAATATTCATTTTTTTATTTCTTTATTTGGTAATAAGTATGGAAGTTAGGAATTTTTAAAATTTAATATGTATGAAATTTGTTTGATTTTTTTCTTTATTATTTTAAATAGTACCAAAAAAAAATAAAGTAACTACAATGTAAGTATCTAAAAAATTGAAATAAATTTTGAATGAAAATCTCACATTGAATGCTCTATATATTATATATTAATTGTAATGTTTTTTTTTAAATTTAATTAAATTTTAAAATTATTATTATTATAAAATTAATTTATTTTCTAGCTTCCAATAAATATGAAAAATATTTCAAAGCAATTGAGATTGCTGAAAAAAATTATGTCGAGTGTACAAAAAGTAACTGTGGATGTTATAAAAATGTAATTGAAGAACAATTAGCACCTTTCAAAAAGAAGGGAATTGATGAAAAATTAATTGAAAATTCTAGAGATAGGTAGAAATTTTTATAAATAAATATATAATTTGATAAAAATTAATTAAAACAATTATAATATAAAATATAATAATATAATACCATAACAAAATTAATATATAATTATTTATTTAAACATTTTTTATAATTTATATTTATAATTTTTAGAGGAGTATTGTATCAATTGATTGACGGTCATCTTTATCGAGAAAAAGAATGCATGTTCCCTTCAAGATGTGCTGGTGTAGAACATTTTATTTTAAATATTATTGACAATATCTCAGATGCAGAAGTTATTATCAACACTCGTGATTATCCTCAATCCAGTAAACATTTCGGAAATCCATTGCCTGTATTCTCATTCAGTAAGGTAAGTTTTCTAATTTATAAGCGAAAAAAATAATTGAATTATTTTTTATTAACATGGATAACAATTTAATAAATAAAATTAAATTCTATTATTTTAATTAATTAAATTTTAAATAACTACTTAAATTTAAGAAATTAAAATTTCTTCTCGAAAATTATTTTATTATTTAATACAGGTTTTTTTATTTGTTATTATTTTCAACTGAAATACTATTTTTTTTTCTAGACCTCAGATTATCATGATATTATGTATCCCGCTTGGTCATTTTGGGAAGGTGGTCCAGCAATTTCCCTTTATCCTCGTGGACTTGGTAGATGGGATCAACATCGAATTTCTTTGAATAATGCCAGTTTGGAAACGCCATGGGAAAGTAAAAAAGAATTGGCATTCTTTCGTGGATCAAGAACTAGTTCAGAACGTGATAATTTGATTCTTTTGAGTCGAGAGAAACCAAATCTTGTCGATGCACAGTATACGAAAAATCAAGCATGGAAATCTAAAAAAGTACGTATTTTATGGGGGTAAAAAAAATAAATAAAATTTTTTTCTTTCTCTTTATTATGTATTTAAGCACTTTTCATATTTCGATTTATATAAATAATTGAAAAATCAGCATATTATATGAAAATACATTAAACATATTAAGCTGTTTTATTTAATAAAAGTATATTTTCAAATTTTCTTAATTGAACGGCATTAAATTTTAACATTTCACAGGTAAATTTAAAAATTATCTGTCATCTAATTATTTTGATCTTCTTTATACAATAATCAAATTAATATAAGTAAATTAGAATTATTTTCAAGAATTACCAATAAAGAAATTGACATTAAAATTATTTCTGTACAAATTAAATTAATTTTTAAATCTATTAAATTATGTTATGGATTGACCCAAATATATTTTTAAACTTTGTATTAATTAAAAAATAGAATTAAATTTTAACCATTTTGCAGATAAATGTAATTTCATTAATGTAAATTCAATTTGTGAAATAGGAAAATTTAAATTTTCTGAATCATTTACATAAACATACAGTTTAATTTTTCGTTTTTTTTTTTCTAAATAAAATCCAGAAAATTATAGATTTTTCTAAAAATAATCCACACAACGACTTTGAATAAAATTTATAATTAAAAGAATTAATAAATATTTTTTTCTATTATTTTAGAAGAATACAATTTTTATTTATAATCTTTGTGAAATATTTTTTTTTCTAATTATTAGAAATTGTGTAGCAGATTTTTTATTTCTTTAATTAATTAATTATAATTATTTGACATATTTTTCTGTTTTTCCCATCAGGATACTTTAAATTTACCACCGGCTGGAGAAGTTTCTTTAGAATCGCACTGTGCCTATAAATACTTATTTAATTATCGTGGTGTCGCTGCTTCATTTAGACACAAACACTTGTTTCTTTGTGAATCATTGGTTTTTCATGTAGGGAATGAGTGGACTGAATTTTATTACGATGCCATGAAGCCATGGATTCATTATATTCCAGTTTCAAAAGATGCCAGTCAATCCGAACTCGAGTAAAATATTAATTAATAATTAATAAAAACATTTTGTTTAAAAAAAATTTTTTTTTTAATCGATTTTTACACATTATTATAAATATAGAAAAAAAATTATTTTACATATAATATTTACATATTTTTAAAATTTAAAATCTGATATTAAATTAGTTTCAATTTAATTAAAAATAATTTTTTATTATATATATACAAAACAAATAAAATCTTTTTGTTTTGAAGAATCTTTATTTTCAAGTTTCTTATATTATTTACTTTTTACAGATATAACTCTTTCTTTTTTTTGTCCTTGCAGAGAATTGATTCAGTTTGCGAAAGATAACGACGAGATATCAAGAAAGATTGCGAATCAAGGTAGAGACTTTATTTGGGAGAAACTACGAATGAAAGACGTTACTTGTTACTGGAGAAGATTGTTTAAAAAGTACATTAAACTTTTAACTTTTAAACCAACTTTGAAACAAGATCTTATTGAAATTTATAAAAAATAAAATACAATTTGTACTTTATAAAAATTGTGATATAAAATATGTGACAATTTACACTCGATATTTTTACATTGTTTTCAATAAAAAAAAAAATTTCATTAAAAAATTTTTTGTTGTTTTCATAAGTTTTCTTTTTTTAATATAAAAAGGAGACCACGAATTATACAAAATTTGTCCAATCTTTTTGCGATTTTTTTTTTTTACAAAATTTTTAAATAAAAAAAAGACTTTTTTTTATATACAATGCAGATTTTCCAAAATTTAATAACTACAAATTTTTTTACTAAAATTCTTCGCTAAATTAATTAATTATTTTCAATAATTTAAATAAAATCCTTAAAAAATTTAATTATCTGAAAATATTTTTAATAAATTCAATAATTGTTTGAAATTTCTAAAAAAATTCATCAAATAAAAGTATACTAAAAATTTTAATTCAAAATAACATAAAATTCAATTATTTCCAAAAATAACATTTTTTTAATTAAAAATTCTGTAAAATTTAATTATTCACTGAAATTAAAAAAAATCTTCAGCAAATAAAGTTTTTAAAAATTTTGATTTGAAATTTTTTGAAATCCAATTAATTCTAAAAATTTTAATTTCATCAAATTCTTCGAAAATTGAAATATTTAAAATATTTTTAATTAAAAATTCTGTAAAATTTAATTTTATTGTCTCAAATTTAAAAAGATCTTGAATAATTAAAATTTTGGAAAACTTAATTTTTTTTTTTGAAATTTAAAACCTAATTTGTTTAATAAAATAGAAAATTTAGATTAAAAACTAGTACAATAGAAATTAAAAAAAGAGAGTATGGTACTTGTATTAAAAAATAATATTTTATTTCATTGTAGTACATTTTTTTCGCATTTATAGCACCTAAAGGAAAACTTATTAAGTACTAGATAAACATAGTTTAAAGTAATGCAATGACATTGTTATAAAATGATATTCCTGATATAAAGGAAGTAGAAGTATACCTATTTATGAACAATGAGAAAATATTTTTTTTTTTTAATATATTTTTCTACAATTGATAAGACTATTACAAAAGAAGGAATTAATTTCTTTTGCATGACAAAGAGGTAGTAAGCAATATATATATTTTTTTTCATTTCCTGTTTCATTAGAGTTAACAAAATATAATATTGCACGTAATATTGATAACACATAATTTAGATTCAAATTATTGAAATTATAATTTATAAATCTGCAAAAGATGATCACTTATATTCGTAATAACTTATAAACTATAGCCACTATATTATAATAAATTTATAATATTTTGACTGAAAGATTCCAATGATAATGCAAATGAATTACGTTTCTTTTTTTATATTATATATTTACACGGTATATACCAAAGTTAGCTATATTAATATTTAATAATAATAATAATAATTAATAATAATACACATAATCGCATAAAAAAGCTAAAATTTCCATCATACATCATTGAGAGACAAAATGAACATTTAAACATCTTACAAAAATACTATCTTAAGGCACTTTAGTTCAATTGTCTCTTCGTCGAAATCGCATTTATCTCCTTTTTCTAACTTTGTTTCTATTTAATTTTCTTAATTTTTTTACAATTTAAAATTTTATTTATCTAATTAAATTATATGAAAATTTAAAGTCGACAAACAAATTTTTTTTTTTTTCTTTTTTTTTTTGCATAAATCAAAATTTAACTAATTATTGTAGTAAATTAATTTAAAAAAATTAATGAACATTTTTTTTTGTTTTTTCTTCTTTTCTATATTGTAAGTGAATTTTTTTCAATAATTCATCTACTGGCAAATATTTTATATTAAATATACTTTTGACCGGATATGGTAAAGTTTCTAGATCATGAAAAATTAAAAAGGATTAATAATTCTTTTAATTTTAATAATTAATAATTAATAACTAATTAATTACAAATTATTTTTATTATTCTTATTAATTTTACTAGGGATTATGCATAACTCTTTTGATTTTAATAATTTTTAATAATTAATATTTAATTAATAATTTTTAAATTAAATAATTTTTTAGAATGAAAAATTCTATATATTTTTTTGTCTGAAAAATATTTTTTGTAGTTTTTTTTATTAATCAATAAATTATAAAAAAATATTTTTTTAAGTAAACAATTTTATAATTTTTCATGTTAAATAAACAATTAATTTAATTTTTAAATTTGTCAAAAAATTTCTACCAAATTTTTTTTTACTGCAGTAAAGATTTTATATAAAATAATTTTAACAATTTTTTAAGGCCATTTTATAAAGAAACAAACTTTGACGGATAAAATAGCCCCAATTATTGGTGTATTTGAAAGAAAGTAAATTATTTTCTCTTTAAAATCAGTCGTAAACTATCACGATTGGATAAAAATCATTCAAGTTATAAAATTATTAATTTTGATAATTTTCTCATTTTCATAAAATAGCCAAATTCGATCAAAAGTATATTTAATGTTTTTTCTTTTTGTTGCACAGTATGATTATTTCCGAATTCTATAAATTTAATTGCAATATTCATAGAATAAAATTCTACTTCGAGCGGCAGTTATGGCTCATGCAGAAAAAAAAAGAAATTTGTTAAAAATTTTACATTAACCTATATAATTAATATATATAGAATCATTTTTTTTTACGAATATTCAAAATTTGCTTTCATATATAATACTTTTGGAATACTATCAAAGAGCAGTAATTAATGAAAATATTATTTTTAACAAAAAAAAATACGTACACATCAGACTTGTCAATTAAATTTAAGTTATCTAAATATTATTGAAAAGCAAATGAATACTTTTTGTAATTTTGGTTAGAACAACCAAAATTCACCTTGTAATGTATTATATACATTTAAAAAAAAAATTGCAACAATGCTCTATTTTTTTTTTTTTTTTTTAATTATTATATAATGTATATTTATTCAAAGATGACTTAATCTCTAATGATTGCGCTTTCGTAGATCGATGATCACATTTCGTTAAAACTCGGAAAATCACAATTTATGCGAAATTTTTTTTTTTTTTTTTCAACATCAGGGCGCATTTATCGAAAACCTTAATTATAGAGACAGCGACAAATTATTAGGTTCATCCTATTGTATATAATACGCAATTAATTTTAGACAGTCTTCGAAGCTGCCTTAGCTATTTCGAAAATTGAAAATAAAAAACAAAATTTAAATTAATTAACAAAATTTTCCACTAAAATTCAGTTTCTTATATCAATATTGATTTTAATTAATTTATTTGAAATTTTGTATTTAAATTTCAATGGAGGACAAAAATAAACGAAACTAATAAAAAAAAAAATTATTTAAAAAATAATTAAAATAAATTACACAAAATTAATTTTAATCAAAAATAAATAATTAATTAAAAATTGCTCAAAATTAAAGAATAATTTTATAATTAAAAGTAATATAACAATTTTAATTAAACGAAAATAGTGAATTTTAAAAAGTCAAAATTAAACTGAATTTTCATGCAAAATAAAAAAAAAAAAATTATTTTCACAAGCAAAAATTCGAATTGCAAATACTGTCAAGACTTTCCGAGACTAATTATTATTCGGCTAAATTGTAAAATCTAAGATAATAATTGTGCACAATTGGAGAAACAGTCTTTCTGTTTTTTTTTCATTTTTTTTTTTTTTGTATAAAGTGCACTTTGATCACCGTTTTGAAATAATCGAGGGCAGTGTACCTATATAATTAAATATAGAAAATTTTCAAAATCGATGATGAGAAAATAATGACGATGATAATGATGATGCGAACGTATTTTGCAGCTTTTCAAAATTGACATCATCAAAATAACATCAATCAATAATAATAATAATTATTATTATTATTGAGAGCTTTTCTTTTTTTACTTTTCATTCGTCCATAATCGTATTTCTTATATTATATTCATCATTTTTTTTTTATCACAAAAAAATTTGTTACTCCTAAAAAAAAAAAAATTCTCTTTTTTTTGCGTCTCTCTAATTACTACGTGAAAACAATATGTCGAAAATTGACAAAAAATGTCATTATACTGATGATAATAATAAGATGCCATCTGCTTTCACGTGTGATGAATATACTTTCTGCCGCAGAATCAGATGAATGTTGATTTGAATTAGTGACATGTTGCTCATCACTGTCCCCTGTTGAGTTTTTCATATATTTATAGTATATATGTGTATGAGAAAAAATATTTTCTTGCTGATGAACACATCATGACACACGAAGGTGCAAAATCGCGCTATTATTTGTGCAATTTGCAAAAAAAATTTTCTCATTTTTTTTTTTTTTTTTTTTTATGATGTTGATTCACTGGTTGTCGGTTCTTGTTGTTTGGAACGTGTGTATATATATATTTTTTGTTTGTTTTATATTTTATTTTTGGTTTATTCGAATGGCACTAGCATGGAATTTATGATCCATAGGGGAATTTTCTGCTCTCCGCTGGAAACATTATTGTTCCAAATTAATTGTACCGGTTTGAATTTTTATTTTTTAGAACAGTTTTTTCATTCCACTGCTAAACATAAATATAATAATAAAAAATATTAAAAGTAAATTTCATTTTGATTATTTTTTAAATTTTTAAATGAGTGATAAAAATAATATTAATTAAAATAAAAGGCGCATAATTATTCATTTTTTAAAAATAATATATATAGGTAATTTTTTTTGGAGAAATTTCCCGTTAAATTAAATACTGTTTATTTTTATTGTAATTTACTTTAATATAACCAAATTTTCGTTACCGGTAATTTTTAATTATTTCCTTTTTTTTTTTTAATAATAATGCAACGTTTATTATGATACCTATTATTTCTTTTTTCTCTTAAATTATTAATTTATTTTGCTAATTTTTAAGTGTTTTAATTAATTACGAGAAATTAAAGAATTTCTAGTCAATAATTCATTAATTTAAACATCAAAAATTGAAAAAGGTAAAATTCTTACCAATCTTCAGTTACGTAAATTGAAGATTTTAATAAATAATTAATATGAATAATTATGCGCCTCATTAAATAAATATCTTATTTTATATATAAAATGTGCACTATGTGTTCTTAATTAGTGTCTCATGACAAATTGATAAATAAAAATTTAAAAATTAAGTGCATCGAAAACGTAAATATATCGTTAAACAATGAAAATCTTAAATATTTATTTATCTAATTTATGCTTTTCTTATTTTTATTTATTTATTTAAACATTTTAATTTATAAGATAAAAGAAATATAATATTTTTTTCTTTCAAATTTTTCTCTAATGAAAAGTGATCAAAAATAGAAAAAATAAATTTGTCTCCTTTTTATTACTATACTAGAAATATGAAATTAATTAATTTAATCAATATAAGCTAATTCTGTAAGAAATTAAAAATAAAAATTTTTAAATATTTTTCAATTTGTATAGACGATATTTTAGTACAAGAAGGCATTTGTTTTTTCTGTATGCTAATTCACATGGTAAAAAAATAAATAGATAAATAAATAAATAAGATTTTGTAAATAAATTTTATAACTTAAAAAATTCAATATTATAAGACAAAATTCTTTTAAATTGAATAAAGTAAATGATAATTTGTCAATTAAAGTCATAATTTCTGAGTTTTCCCTAATTAAAAGAACAAAAGTATGTAGAAATTCATTTAAATAAAATAATTATTATTTAATTATTATTTATTTATAAAATATACATAGAATAAATGGGACGCATGATTATGTTCTAAAAATCATTAGTTAAAATTTTCATTTTATGGAATTTCATTTGTCATAATTATTTTTGAGCCGAATTTTTATTTTTTCGAATTAGTATTTTGCAGAATTTTTATCAAAACGATTATATTACAGAATTTTTATATAACCAAAAATTCACTTCACAGAATTTTTATTTGCTCGAATTTTTATTTAACATAATAGGCATTTTAAAGAATTTTTATTGGCTAGAATTTCATTGCATAGAATTTTCATTTTATTCTTTCATATGAATTTTCATTTGCTCCAATTATTATTTGATACAATTTCCATATAAACGATTTTTCATACTACAGAATTTTTACTTAATCGTAAAATCATTTAACAGAATTTCTAATAAATTGATAGAATTTTCATATGTCCGAAATTGCAAATTACCGAACAAACAATCGACAGAAAGATTTTGGCGCGATTTTTAATAATCAACCAATCAAAAATTATCCATAAAATTGTGATTGGTTGATTTTTTAAAATCGCGCCTAAATCTTTCTGTCGATTCTTTGTTCGGCCATTTGAAATTTCGGGCAAATGAAAATTCTATCAATTAGAAATTCTGTCAAATGATTTTTCGGTTAAGTAAAAATTCTGTTGTATGGAAATTATATCAAAAATAATAATTCGAACAAATGAAAATTCTACCCACTAAAAATTCTTTAAAATGACTAATTATGTTAAATGAAAATTCGAGTAAATAAAAATTTTGTGAAGTGAATTTTCGGTTATTTAAAAATTGTGTAATATAGAAAATTGTTTTAATGAAAATTCTGCCTAATTCGAAGAAATAAAAATTCGGCTCAAAAATAATTATGACAAATGAAATTTCATAAAATGAAAATTCTAACTAATGATTTTTAGAATATAATCATGCGTCCCGCCTCAATGACTGTATTCGAAATATATAATAATGATCTGCCTCAGTTCTCAAATAACTGTTTATTTGAATTTTTCAGTGCATAAAATACAAAAAAGTATTTCAAAAAAAAAAAAAAAAAAACCAAGAAAAAATTTCTGAAAAATATTTTTTTTTCTACTACAAAAACTATGACTTGAACGTAGCCTTTAAATAAACATTAAAAAAATAGAACACATAAAGATAAAGGAATAATAATAATAAAAGTAATGATGTAATAAAATATATCGTTTTACAGTGAGTGTTGTATGAAAAAAATTAAAATCATGCTTTAAAATCAAAACTAAAACTAACTAGAACAAGTTGCAAGTGCAATAAAAAAAGATAAAATGCAATAACTAAAATATCAAAAAAATGTTCGTGCAAAATAATACTACATGCGTAAATAATAAGTGAAATTAATATAGATAATTAATTTACCTTCACCCATAATATAAAAAACAAAAATCTATAATATGGAAAATTATAAAGAAAATAAAGAAACATATTATAAATTAGTTTTGCAATATTAATTTGCGTGAAGGTAAAATGTTCTAAAATTATAATTAATGAATGTATGGGTGCAATATTTGTGCAATTATCTAAATTCTAAAAGAATAAAGAATTATAATAATAAAGAATGAGTGAATTAAACTACAATATTATCATTGTAAAAATTCAAAATTGAGTTCCAAACAACAATTACCGCCATATTCCAATAAAAAATTTTGATCATGCATCGTTTGAGATCAATATCATTACAATTCCTCGTGAATATTTTCCTTCTATATTTTTATTTATTGATATAATGGTCCAATTATTTTTTACTTTTTTTTTCCATTACCATATATAGTATATATTCTACATTTGTAAAATGCACCTTCGTGTATATATGATTTGTCACCATATAAGTGTATTTTTACATAGTTTTATATTTCATGCAGTATCTATTTGGATACTAAAATTAAATTTCGATTATAAATTCACAAATTCATATTATTGGAAAATATAAATGCAATTCTATTATACAAGATACGAAGTGCAATTTAAAAAAAAAAAAATTGAAATAATTTATAAATTTATTTTTGAGACTAAAAGTGCAAAGAAATACATGTGAATAAAGGGAAATTTAATATAAATTTATATTATAAAAAATCTGAATTTTTACGATTGTGAAAAATTTATATTTTTATACAAAAATAGAATTAGGAAACATTTTTTTTTTTTTAAAGAAACAAAAATTTATGTATTTTAGTTTAAACAATTTAAAATATCCAAAAATACTAAATTAATTAATTTATGATTTTCTTTTTTTTTTGAAACTATTTTTTTAAATTCAATTTTTTACTTTTATTTCAGTTTCCATTTTTTTTTCAATTTTTTCATTTTTATTTTTATAAAATTAAATATTTTTTTTAACTTTTCAAATAATTCCATTTTTTCCATTACTGTGAATATGAAACATTATCTCGACTTAAATCTATTTTCTAAAAGTTATTAATGTGTTTCCATAACCAGTTATTATTTTTTTTTGTTTTGTTTAGTAAAGAATAAGAGTTACATTATAGGAGAAATTTACAAAAGCACAAAGAATTTTTTGCTACAGCTTGACAGAAATAACCGCAACCATAAAGGAAAGCAAAAGGGGACAAATACTTACAAACAACAATGATAACAATAAATAGAATAATTTAATAAAATATATAACTACTTTGTTCAAGACGCAGTGAATACGTAAACGGCGACGCTTTATTTTATTTTTTTCGATATAATTTTGTTATTTTTGAATTAGACACACTATATTATTATGAAAATAGAACAAAATTTTCTTTAAAAATCCCGAAGATTATGTAAATTAATTACTATTAATTTAATTGTAGGATATTTATGTCGCCTGGCTAATAAGGTTTAGATATTACTAATTTTTAAAATATTTTTAAAATTTATTCACACTATTTCTAAATTATGTTTTACTATTATTTTTTTGTTAAAACTTAGAATATTATCATTTTATTCAGAATTAAAAAGAAACAACAAATCTATACCTAAATAGAAAAAAGAAATTTAAAAAAAAATCGAAATTAATTAATTAATTGAAAAAATTAAAAAGTTGACTGTAATTATAAAATTTGAAAAAAAAAAGTTTTAAAAATTAGTCTAAAATAACACCTTCACCAATTTGCAGCTCATAAAAAAAAGCAAAATATGAATTAAATAAGAATAAATATTTTCACTTCGATAACGTTTCTAATATTTTAAGCTGAAACAAAAAATTTTTAAATCTAAAATTTCTTCATTTAAAAAAAATACAATTTTTCATTTTTAATGAATACAATATAATAAAAATAGAAAAATAGAAATATTAACTAATAAAATAAACAGTTAGATAATAAAATAAACTATAAAAAAAAGGAAATATCGAGCACAAGCTTTGTTCTTATTTTAAAATAAACAATATAAAGATAATTATTTATTTTCTTCTATTCAGGTTCCTTGTTTCAGTTATAAAAATTACACTTTTCAGAATTAGTTAATAATCAGAATAATAAATTGATTTTTATGGATTTTTTAAAAAAAAGTTTTCTATAACTGTATTAATTGTTAAAAATAAATAAAATAAATAAAAACAAAAATATAGTTCCTAGTACTACAATTAAAGTTGAATATTTAAAAATTTTTATATTTCGATATAATTTTTCTAAATTTCTATATTTAGTATTATTTATTTATTTTTATAGAAGCATTATAAATTTAAATAAGCTTTTAACGCATACTAGCCAGGGATATGCAATTATACATCACCACAAAGTAAAGCAAAAAATTTAATAATCTCACACTGGATCAATTAATAGACATATTATAATGAAAACATGTGTTCAAAGTTTCTGATATAATTATTTAATGTCAATAATGAACTATAAAAAAATATTACATCTCCCATTTAAAGGAAGTTTCATTTTGTTGATAAAAATAAACTTTTTACATAAGAAAACAGATGTGAAATGAAATTAAAAATTATATTTTATTTATTAAATTAATTTAAATTATACTAATTTAATTAATATAAAAAATAACTAAATTAATTTTAATTAAATTTTAAATTAAGTTTATTAATTAATTAAATTTAAATATTTTTGAATTAAATTTAAAAATAGAATTTATCTTTAATAATAATAAGTAAATATTATTTCAACTAAAAATGGAAATAAATGAAATATTCAACGACCAAAAAATGATCAACAATTTTTTTTTTTGTTTAAAAACATTTTTTGTAACTCTGAACACATTGTTTAATCATTCAAGTACCTGCGTCTAAAATGGTGTCATCAACATCATCTCGTAAACCAAAAGCGTCGCTGTTCAGTAAATTCACTGGTGATTTTTCTAAATTGCCATGAAAAAAGGGCAAATCATCTTTATTTTGCCACTGAATATTACCTATCGTTCCTTTGCTTGCTCCCCTACATCCAAACCACCAATATGCAGTCGCTCTTGGAAAAGCAGGATCAGCATTATCCACCTAAAAAAATTTTTTTTTCTTTTTAATAGAAAGAAGATATAATAGTAAATCATTTTTTTTTTTCAACAATAATTCAAGTTTTACACAAGAAAGATTTACCGAAAAGAAACATGAAATTAAAGACAAAAATAAAAACACAAAAAATATATAAGAAAAAAAAACAATTTATTTATACAGGCCTTGGATCGACTTTAAGGGGAGGCTCTACCTTTATTTTGACTTTTTTTTTAATTGCATAATTTGGGTCCTAAAAATTAATTTTTGACTATTTTATATAGTTTTGAAAAAATTAAAATTTTTCAAAATGAAAGTACTTTGAAAATATAAAGGGTAAATTAAAGTCTTAAAAAAATTAATATTTTAAATATCTATATCTTCTTTCACAATTTTGACTATTTTTCCACGTTTTTTTTTAAAAGATTTTTTAGAATCACTTGTATATGGATTTTCAAAAAATTTTAATTAAAAAAAAAAAAAAATTCTAATTCTAGAATAGTCAAAAATTAGAGAAGCATGAAAAAGTTATAAAAAAAAATTTTTTAGTATTATGATTTGATAGAATCTTATTCTGTAGAATATTAATTTTGCAGAATATATTTATTTGTTCGAATAGTAATGTTTCAGAAAATGCAAATGTTCGAAAATTAGTTTGACAGAATTTTTATTTAGACGAAAATTAAATTCGTCAAAAAATTAAATTTAATCAAATATCAATTTGAACGAAACTTTGTCTTGTAGAATATTAATTTTGCAGAATATTCATTTTCTCAAATATAAATGTTCCAGAAAATTAAAATGGTCGAAAATCAAGTTTGACAGAAATAATTCAGCGGAAACTTCAAATTTGACCAATCAGAAATCAACAAGAAAATTGTGATTAGTCAAATTTGAAGTTTCCGCCGAATTATTTCTGGCAAATTGATATTCGACTATTTTAATTTTCTGGACATTATAATATTCAAGTAAATGAATATTCTGCAAAATTAAGATTCTTTTAAATGACAATGATGAACAATTAATATTCTACAAGAGAAAGTTTCAATGAAATTAAATTTCTGTCAAATTAATTTTCGTCTAAATAAAAATTCTGACAAATTGATTTTCGACGAATTTGTATTTTCTAAAATATTAATATTCGAAGAAATAAATATTCTGCAAAATTAATAATAATTTAGAAAAATAAATTGTTATAGAAATAAACTATTATAATTTTTTTTTTATTTTAAAAGTAACTATAGTGGTTACAATTGTTACAATTTCTCAAAATAAGAAAATAAGAATTTATCAGGTTTTGAAAACTTACTCCTCAGTTTTTTTTTTTTTTTTTAACTAAAATTCCTTAGCAATATTTTAATTATAAATTATTTTGTCTATACTGTTTAGTAGGTACATAGTTTTAAGTGATTGTATGAAAAAAAAATACTTACAGAAAAGGTTCTGTCATTAAATCGATAATAAGTGTTTCCCTTAAAGAAATACGTATATCCATGATATGTTAGAGCTGTGTCCATATTATCAGGTACACCCTCCCAATTTGAGATCAATTTTGGATATGTACTCTTGACAGGTGGTCGTTGAGCTGGATCGAATCTCCAGAATTTTGTACCCTTATAGAAATAAATTTTTCCATTTCCAGTCCAAACTGTTGCCGCATCAATATTGTCAGGAATTCCCGTAAATCCTTCACTAATATCCTTAGGATAATCGCCATCCATTTTTTTCCCAATATACCTCCAATACTTTGATCCCTGTTGATTTAAATTTAAATAATTTATTATTTTATTTTATTTAAGAAAATGTAAAACCCATCAGTACAATGAAAAGAAAATATTTTTTTTATTCAAATAAATAATTGGTTACTTGGCTATTATTAAATAAATATTTTCTTCATCCAAATAATTTTTATTTAAGTCAATTAAATTTTATTTATTTTCAAATACAAAAATTATTTGGTTTAATTAATTAATTATTTGATACACAATTAAATTTTTATTTAATAATAATCAAGTAACTGATTATTTGATTTAAATGAATTTTTTTTCAGTGTAAAATTTACTATTTCAACAAATTTTTTTTTTGCCTTGAAAATTACATATTTTTTAATTGAAATCCATAATTGAGTTGCCACAATAATAAATTTTGTCATTTCCTAATAGTTACCTGACATTAAAAACTTTTCTCTGACACAAAATCTTTGTGTCAAAATCTCATTTAACACTTTTTAATTAGAATTGATTAAAAATTTGAGTAATTGAAATTTGAATTACTTAGATTGAATTGAAATTTGAATCGAATAAAATTTAACTAATTTGAAATTTGGATGAATTAATATTCAGGAATGTTAAAAAAATTCTCATTAAACTAATAAATTATTTTTTAACATTCCTGAACTTAATATCAATATTTTTAAATATGTAAATTTAATTATTTTTTGAATATATTACATCCCTAAATTAATCGAATTATGAGAAAGGTAAAAAAGATAAATAAATTATCAAAATAGGTGAAAAAAGGTAAAATAGATAATGATTACCTGTGATTTTTTCTAGTGGCAAAAATTGTTAAAACTTTTTACTGACAAAAAAAAAAAATTACCCTTATGGCTATCGTGTGAATCAATTTTTTTTTAAAATTAGGCCACAACAATTTTCTTCGAAATATAATGGTCTGACCCAATTTTAATAATTTCACATTCTTAGCATATTATATATAAAACTTTTGATGATTTTTCTTCACCTTAAAGAAGTATGTCTTGCCATTTTTGTACGTAAAAGCAGCGTCAATATTCCCTGGTAAACCTTTCCACGAAGAACTAATGAGTTTGGGGTAGCCGCTAGCAATACCTTCGGCCGTTAACATCCAGTAGTATTGACCTGTAAATATAGGAAATAAACTTACATAGAAATTGAAAATCAAATTATATACAAGAAGAAACTGCTTTTCTCTGTAACGATTTGTATAGGAGGTATTCGACGACAAATCAGACAATCATTTTGCATTTACATCACCGATTTTTTTTTCAATTCTTTTTTAAGCAAGCCTTTTACGAAATATGAATTTTTCCAAATTTTAATGATTTTGTATTTTACTATTTTTTCATGACTTAGGGTCAACCGGGGTAAATCCGAACGCTTTTAGTAAGTTTCAACAATAACATAAGTTTTTTCATTAAAAAAAAAAAAATTTCCGGTATTCTGGTGCATGAAGTTGTTACTTTACTTCCATAGAATAATTTTATGGGGCAGCAAAAATTTTTGATAAATTACAATCGCAGGAAACTTAGCGTTCGTATTTACCTCGATACTTTGCAACTTTCCTAAAATACCGGGGTAAATACGAACGCCACTGTATTTCAGAAAAATCTTAGGGAAAATAAATTTAAAGTATTGCAATTGTTAAACTTATATAAAAACTAAAAAAAAATACGAGAATAAACCTATTATGTAATAATGCATCATATATAAATACAAAAATCAAACAGGTTAAAAATTAAAATGCATTACACAATTAAAACCTTCAATAACTTTATCAAATCATAACGGATTTTTGCAAAACTTGCTACAGAAAGTATTTTCGAGTGATTGAATGTAAATACAAAAATAAAAGTCAAATTTTTTAAATTCAAAATGGCGGACTTTCCTAAAACTTATTTTTAAAAATGATCAAATTTGCTAACTCCAAATTCGTAATCAGCGACCCTGAAACCTCCCGAGTAACAATTTTCGAGCGAATCCAAAGAATTTTTTAATTCTCGTCCGCCATTTTGAATTTTGAAAAACTGACTTCAAATTGGTAATTAGCGACCCCAAAAACCGTAGAATACCAAATTTTATTAAGATCCTGAAAAACTTTTTTCAACAAACCATTTGGCAAAAAAATTGAAACACTCCTTCGAGAAAACAGAGATTAAGTTTCTGCTTATTAATTACTAACGAGGATACGTATAGAAAGAAAAACTTTTTTCTATGTACTTTTATAATGTTAAAATAATAGTGTAATGAAATAAAAACAATTTTGTGTGGCTCTGATGTAAAAAAAAAATTATTGAAAATACCGTTCGGATTTACCCCGGTTTTCCAATTTTCCTGGGTAAATACGAACGGTCTGATAATATTAATAAAATTTTACAGAAGGCAAAAATCAAAAATAGTTTCTGTTCTAGTATTCATAACAAACAATTATAAATAATAAAATGAATTTTTAGCTTCTTTTTCTTCAAATACGAGACAAAATACTGAAAGAGTGTCATCTTTGATTTTCAATCTTTTTTGCAATACTCGTTATCTTTGTTTATGCTGTTGCTAATTAACAAACGAAAAATGGGATAATACTTAGAATCTCTTGAAGAGGATCTGAGGTAAAAATTCTCATATCGAACTTATTTTTAAAAATTTTAATTAAGCTGAAATAATTAGCGTTCGGATTTACCCCCCGTTTGGATTTACCCCGGCTGACCCTACATAAAAATGCATCAATTTTTTTAAAGTTTATTTTTTTTTTAAATTCTATCCAAAAAATTCTAGAAAAATAATTTATTATATTTTTTCTAATTTTAAGATTAAAATTTTATTTTTAATACTGCTTCCATTTACAAAAAATTTTTAAACCTAGTCCGATCGTGGGAAAGAATTTTTTCAAAAATTTTCGGAATTTATTTATAAAAATACACGGGGTATTTATATAAATATATTTATAAAAATTTAGAATTTTTTTTTAAATACCTCCGGTTTTTTTATTTTGATGCGCTAATTATGAAAATCATAGTGACAATGCCCGCAAATTTAATTTCTATAGTAAAAACCACAAAATATTCTTTTTTTTTTTTTTTTTTTTTGCTTTCTTTTGGTAAAATATGCAAATAATTTTTAAAATTACATATATGATATAAAAAATGTACTGCAATAAGATCTACAACTATCGACTAAAAGTTTTTTTTTTTTTTAATTTTACATATTTTACCAAAGAAAGATATTTTTAAGACTATTTTATGATTTTCACCAAAAAAAGTCAAATTTGCGGGTATTTTCACTGATTTACGTAAATGTACGTAGTATAAAAAAAAACCGAAGGTATTTTAAAAAAGTCCGAAGATATTGAAAAAATTGTTTTTTCACGACTGGTTCAGGTTTAAAATTTTTGTAAAAGAAAGTAGATTTTTTTGAAAATTAAAAAAAAATTGAAGAATACAGTTTTAAAAATAAAATTTTATTCTTTAAATTGCAAAAAATATCATCGAATTTTCGAAAAATTCACGTAATATAACGTAATTTATAAATTTAATTTAAAATATTTATTTTTCAAAATACTTTAAAAATTTTAATTTAATTAAATTTAATAATTAATTTTATAGGTAATTAAAATTATATTATATTATATTATAAATATATTATACGTACATACTTAATTATAAAATTTTAATAACAAATAATTTAAAACGAAATTTTTTTAATTGATTCATTTTTAATTCAAAAATTAATTTAAAAAAAAAAACAAAAAAAATTATAATTCTGAAATTTATAAAAATTTATATTTCATAAACGGGTGCCAAATTTTTTTTCAAATCATGAAAGCTAATTTTAATTATTATACTTAAAGAAAAAAAAAAGTATCAAAAAAAAAATCGGCCATGTAAATGCAAAATGGTGTCTAATTTGACGTGAAATATCTTATATATAGATAATTTAAAAAAAGAATTCAAAAATATTAAAAATTAAAAATAAAAAATTCCTTGTGAATAAAAAAAATTTTTTTATAAATTTACCTTTAAAGGCGTACGTATGACCTTCAGCCGAATTGAACATAGTATCGACTTTGGGATCAGAACACAATAAAGGATCCTCTTCACCTGGAGGAGCTGATGTTGTTCGATGATTGTAATTTGTTTCGCTACCTTCATCATCTGATTTTGCACCGTAGAGAGCCTGTAAAATATGTAATTACAAATTTTATTACAGACATCCTATTTAAATATCTTCAATTCATATAAATTTCTATTTCTTCGACGTTTTGAGGTTAAAAGCCGGTTTGACATATCTTTTTCTCATATTATCATTTTTCACAAAAAAAAAAGAAGAAAGAAATAGAAAAGAACTTTATTTTTTTTATCGATTTTTCCATTTTAAATTCCATCATTAAATTTTAACCGTTAAATAATTGTTTGTTTTTTTTTTTAAATATAAAAATGTGGGCTGTAAAAACAATAATACAATGTGCAGTGTTCATTGCGCATTTTTTTTTTTTTGAATAAAAATAGAATATCAACCAATTAAATGATAACAGGGATGGGAAATAATATCTTAGCTTTTTCGCAAACTATTACCTGATTGGTCGAAATTTTATTTCGGAAATTTACATTCATGAAGATGCGCCTTTAAGCTTAAAAGAAGCAAGTTGGCCATCTTAATTTTTTTTAACGATTTTCACTTCATTTGGGACCGTCGTTGAGACTTAAATATTTGTTATTTCATAATTAAAAAAAAAATAGTGTCTGAAAAAAGTTGGTCAATAATAAAGAAGAAGAAGAATATATTAAAAATTCATCGGCAGTAATGTTTTATGTATTATCGTATTTTGAGGTTAAAAAAAATAGTGTGCAAATGGGCATAATGAAGAAAGAGCTAAATTGTCAAAATAAAATAAATTTTTATTTTTGATATGAGAAAAAAAATTGACAAATTGTGATATGTAAGTAAACTTTTCGTTTATTATATTTAATCTTATATTTTTTATATGGTAATTTATTTATTTTACAATGTTGAATTTGCTTTATATAGGGGGAATGGGGTTCAGGCCATCACAAGATCACAACATCGTTGATCTTGACACTTTAATTTAGTTAATTTCTTTTTTTTTTTTTTTTTTTTTTTTTTTTTTTTTTTACTTTTTACTTTTTAGTGCTCTATAAAAAAGGGTTCCATGATTTTGTTTCAATTTTATTTTCTCAATAGCTGTTTATGAAATATGATTTTTTTTTCAAAATTTCAATGAGTTTTAGTTTTAAATGCTCATGACTTTCATAAAAATGCAACAATTTTAGAAGTTTCTTTTTTTTTTAAATTGTGTTTTTTACGAGAACTTTTCGAAAATTGGATGCAAAAAATTGTAGAAAAATAATTTACTATATTTTTTGCAAATTTAAAAATTAAAATTTTGTTTTTAAACTATTTGTAAACTTTTAATTTTTGTTTGAGAAATTTAAAAAAAAACTACTTTCTTTTACAAAAATTTTATGCCTGGTCCAGTAGTGGGGAAACAATTTTTTCAATATTTTCAGAATAATTTAAAATTACTTAAAATAGTTTAAAATTTTCGAAATTTTGAATTTTTTTTAAATATCTCCTTTTTTATGCGAAGATTATGAAAATTGTAGTGAATATATATATTTGCATATTTGATTTTTATGGTGAAAACCACAAAAAAGACTTAAAATTTGTGGTTGCTTTTTGGATAAAATATGCAAAATATTCAAAAAGTGTATAAAAAAATTAAAAATGTACTTGAATAAATACAACTATACAATAAAAATCAGAGGTATTTTTCAAAAAAATGTAAAATTACGAAAAATTTAAAAAATTCCGAAAAAATTCCGACTAGAAAAATTGATGAATAAAAAAAGTTTTAAAAATAAAATTAAAATTTTTAAATTTCAAAAAATATATTAACTTATTTTTTTTAGAATATTTTGCATCGAATTTTCGATAAGTTTAATTAAAAACACACAACTTGAAAAAAAAAAATAAAATTGATGAATTTTTAAGAAATTCATAATCAATTCGGGTCAATAGCCCGTAAAATTCTTAAATAAATAAATCATTCAAAAACAAAAAAAATCATTGAAATTCTGAATTTTCGAAAACTTCATGTATCGTAAAAGGCTTGCTAAAAAGATTGAAAAAAAATCGTGAAAGCTAGTCTCAATTAGTAGTAATAGAAAAAAAAGTTTCAAAAAAAATCGGAGATGTAAATTAATTTGGCGTGGAATACTATGAGCTAAAAGTTTTGAACGTTCAAATGAACCATATTTTTTTTTTCAATCTATAAATTATTAAAAATTATGATGTCAATGTAAAATAAAACAGTAAATTAAACAATTATTAAATTAAATAACTTCTTTTTAGATATTTAAAACAATATTTTATAATAAAATTCTTACTTAAAGAAGTTGAAAAAAAAAATTACGTTCATTTGAACGTTCCAAACTTTTGGCTCATTGGAATACTATACAATATTGTGTTAGTGTTTTTTTTTTCTTTTTTGTTTTTATAAATGTGAAAGTTTACATACTTGAATTCCTTGGATGTCATCGCTGTCTAGCATAAAGTTAGGATCGTAACCTCGATAAAAAGGTGCCATAAGTGCAGATTTGATATCACTGTGACTCAAACCAAGTGAATGTCCAAATTCATGTGCAGCAACTTGAAAGAGATTTGTACCACGGTAGCTATTGATGGACCAATGTTCTGCCTCATCAAAATGTGCATCACCTCCATAAACGGGGAAATAGGCGTGGGCCAAGGTACCACCTGGTCCATCAAAAGGATCTCCATCTCCATGTTCTCCGCGTTCAAATCTTATTTCAATGTGTACCTATAATACAAAAAGAAAATTATTAATCATTCAATTTCTCAACGATGTTGAAAACGTTCATAATCAACGATTTTTAAAAAAAATTTTTTTTTTAAATTCTATCAATTTTTATTTCAAAAAATTTATTGATTCAAAAATTTTTAAAACTATATTTTTGTAGATAAATTTTTATAATTTTCTGTCTTAAAAAAATCATTTGTTTTCTAATTGTTGATCATAAACGTTATGTGGACTTCAGCATTGTGATTTTTCAACATTTTTTTTTCAATATTTAAACGATACTGAAGTATGCAACGTTTATGATCAACGATTAGAAATTAATTTTATATTTAACACGGAAAATTATAAAATTGCTTATCTAAAAAAATATTTTTTATAATTTGTTGATTAATAAAAATTATAAGAAATATTTTTCAAGGCAAAAAATTAATGAAACTAAAGTTACCAACGTTGATTCAACGAAAAAAAAAATTTAAGGATTTTAATTCCCATCAATAAAATTTGATTATTTTCAACCCTCTGAAACCTGAAATAAAAAAAAACAATATTTATCATTGTTTTGTCCCGGATTTTCCGAAAATTTCGAAATTTCAAGTAATTTTGATATTTCCTCGACTCGGAAGCAATTTTTCTCGTTTGATAATTATTTGTTTCAATGCTAGAAGCATTTTAAAAAGCAGAAAAATTTGCTTCCAAGGCGGGGAAAACAATATTTATCATTGTTTTGTCACGGATTTTTCGAAAATTTCTATTTCCTCGCTTTAGAAGCAATTTTTCGCGTTTGATAATTATTTATTTCAATACTTGAATCGTTTTAAAATACAGGAAAATTGCTTCCAAGTCGGAGAAAGTAGTGATTTTCATTTTTTTTCTCACAGATTTTCCGAAAATCCAGAAATTTCAAAAAAATTTCTATTTCCTCGACTTGGAAGCAAATTTTCTATTTTTTTAAAAGGTTTCTAGCATTGAAATAAATAATTATCAACCGAGAAAAATTGCTTCCGAGACGAGGTAATATCAAAATTATTTAAAATTTCGAAATTTTCGTAAAATTCGTGACAAAACAATGATAAATACTATTTTTTTTTTATTTCAGGTTTCAGAGGATTGAAAATAATCAAATTTCATTGATGGGAATTAGAATCGTTAAATTCTATTTTTTCGTTGAATCAACGTTGGCAACTTCAGTTTCATAATAGGTATTGGAGAATTTTTCATTCTAAAAAATTATTTATTTAAAAATCGTTTATCATAAACGTTGCGTACTTCAGCATTGTACAGTCAGGCTTCGAAGTGACAAACTTTTTTACTTTTTTTTTTAACAAAGCTACTTTTTTACAACTAATTTTGTCCAAAAGTCACTAAATGCTACTTTTTTCAAAAAATAATTTGAAAAATGACAGAATTCAAGAATTTTAAATTTCAGCGAATTTTTTCATTCCTAAAAGCTCACCAAGTTGATGATTTATTATTGACCGCGTCAATTATTGCTTTATATAATTATTTTTTACACGAATTTTCATTTTTCAAAATACCATTTAACATAATTTCTTTTTAAACGACTCAATAGAATTTTTAATTTGTCAAATTTTTTTTGACACAATTTTTATTTTACAAAATATTTCTTTACCCAACTGTTTTTTTTTTTTTTAAATAATTCTAATTTAACCGAAATTCAGACAATAATTAAATTTTAGAGTATTTTGAATTGAAATTTTTTTTAAATAATTGAAATGACAAGATCTTGATTAAAGTTATTAGAAATAATTATTTCAACAAAAAATATGAATCAACATTTTTAATAATAATTGAATTTCAAGAGATTTTGAATTAAAATTTTTGTAAATTAGAATTGCTGAAAATTATTAATAAAGTTTCAAATAGTAATTGAATTTTAGAGAATTTTTAATTAAAAAATGTTTTATTTAATTGAATTTTTCTAATAATTGGATCAAAGTTATTGAAATTATTAATTTATGCAAAGAATTTTAGATACAAATTTTTAAAATTATTAAATTTTGGATTAAGATTTTTAGAAATAATTGAATTTTTTGAGATTTTTTATTAAAATTGTTGCTTTAAAATATTAAATATTTTATATAAGTTTTCGATTGCAAGTTTTAGGATTTAAAAATTCGAATTACTTAAAATTCTACTGAATGAGAATTGTAATAAATTAAAAATATGTTAAATTAGAATTCTTTTCAAGAAACAGTTGGGTAAAGAGAAATTTTGTAAAATAAAAATTCTGTTAAATAAAAATTCGGTACTTTGAGATTTCCGTTGAGTAAACATTCGTTTAAAAAAAAATTCTGTATTAAATGCTATTTTGTAAAATAAAAATTAATGTAAAAAATCATTTTTATGGAATAATCATAGGTAGTTTTTTTTAAATAATCAGGAGAAAAATGACGTTATTTTTATTCCTCAGAATTTTTCTTTCTATTTTTTTTTTAGTCAAGAAAATATTTACACTTTAACGTCAAACTTAGCAAACTAATTTTACTTCATTTTAAAGATCACTTTTTTGATACTTTTTTTCAATTTTGGGGATACTTTTTAAAAAAAAAAAATGATACTTTTTCATACTTTTCTTAGTCTCTTACCACACTTCGAAGCCTGTTATTTAGTAAAATATATTAAAACAATGAAATTACTAAAATATATAAAAATTATATTTATTAATTTTTTTTAATTGCGTATTAATTTAATAATTCGAATTTTGAAACTCACTTGGCCTAATTTTTTCTGAGTGAACGTTAAATCTGTGTAATTTGACCAGACTGAAAAAGCTTTTGCAATTTCTTTATCGACTGCTCCTTTGTCTAGAAGTCTTGGGTACTTGCTTATTTTGTAAGTCAGTTTTTTAACTCGCCATCTAGAACCTGAAAAGAAAATTCAACAATTGAATCCTTGAGGCAATATTAAAATTAAATAATGCGGCTTTCTCGAATATTTTTTTTTTTCTATAAAAGTTTTACTATATAGAAACAAAACAAAAAAAAAAAAAAAAAAAATGAGGTTATTTTTTTAATTTAAAGAAAATATTCTTATTCAAGTGAATTTACATTGAATGCATTTAATTTTGTAATTAAAAATTATAAAATTTTCTAAATTGATTAATAACTGCATAATTTTGCGAATTAGAGAGTTTATCGAAATATCAATTTGTATCCAATTTAAATGTATTTCCAGGTCTTGAGCCAATTTCAAAATTGGATTTTCATATTTTAATTAATAATATTATGATTAGTTTTGATGTTCCTCAAGTTCTGAATTTATGAAGGAAGTTAAAAATCATTTGAGCGTTCAGAACTTCAAATATATAACGTTATAATTTATTTTTTAGGAACAAGTCGAATATTAATTAACTATAATATTATTATTACTAATATTATATTATTATTAATTTTCTATAAATAATAAGATTATTTATTATTATTATTATTATTAATAAATAAATTTATTTATTGATCGAAAACCGCTAAGATTTGTATGACACATACTTAGTAGTACTTTTCTGTCGACAGGAAAAGAAAAAAAAAAAAAAAAAGGATTATGCTGGCAAGTCAACACGTTTCATGTTTAGACATATACATTAAAGATTGGTCATCTATAGATGTAGTGTGAAGAAATGTGACAAAGGCACGTCGGGTTTGGCCCGTTAAGGTTAGTGGTTTTGTTCTGTTACGTCTTGCAACAATAATGAGACAGAAAGTCAAAAAACGTTATGAATGACATAACATTATACAAATACAATAAATTTCTCTGTATATTTTGCGGAGAGACGAAATTTATTATTCCCAAAATACTATAGATGAAGAAAAATATTGTTCATTATCAAAATGTTACGATTTACGTAACGATTTGAATTATTTTCATTTTAAATTTAGGCCTCGGATTATACGACTTTTTCCGACTTTTTTTTTTTTTTTTTTGAAAATACGATCTTTTTTTGACTTATTTTAATAAGATACGAGTTTTTCAAGTTTTTTTTTTTTTTTACATTTTTTACAAAAATTTTTTAAATAAAATACGTCTTTTTTAGTATACAATGCAGATCTTCTTCTTTATTTCAATTATTTAACTAATTTTCAACTAAAATTATTTTCTAAATTAATTATTTTTTAATAATTTTAATGAAATTCTTCACAAATTCAATTATCTTAAACTATTTTTCAATTCAAAATTTTATGAAATTCAGTAATTGTTCAAAAGTAAAAAAAAAAAATTTAGCAAATAAAATTACCAAAAATTTCTATTTGAAATTGAAATAAATTAAAATTTAATTATTTTCAAAAATTTCAATTTAAAACTTTCCAAACTTTAATTGTTTTTAAAACTTTCTGAAATATAATTTTAACTATAACTCTTTTGAAATTCAATTATTTTTGACGATTTTTATAATATTCTTCCAAAATCCAATTATCTGAAAACATTTTTCGATTAAAAACTTTTTAAGCTCAATGTTTGTCTATAATTTCTAATAAATTCTTTGACAACAGAAATCATCGAAAATTTCAATCAAAAATCACTTGAAGTTATATTATTTTCAAAAAATAAGAATTATAAATCTTGGAAAATTAATTTACTTTTGAAAAATTTTAACTTAAAATTATTTGATAGATAATTTTCAATTCTAAAAAATTAAATTATTGTCTGAAGTTTAACAAAATCTTTTGTAATTAATTATGTCTCAAAATTTTTAACTCTTCTAAAGTTAAATTTGTTTTAATAATTTTAATATTTCATTAAACAATTCAATTATTTAAAAAATTTTCAAAAAAAAAAACTTTAAATTTGAATATTGTCAGAAATTGAAAAAAAATTACAGCAGTTCAAATTTGCAGAAAATTTATTTCAAAAATCTTCCGCAATTTAATTATTTGAAAAAAAAATTCTAAATTCGAATACATAAATCGATTGTTTAGTGGTAAAACAAGGGTACGTCAGATTTTTGTTCGCAAAAAGAGGACACGTCAGGAAAAATATTTTTTTTTTTACAAATTTTAGGTTTGGTAATAGCACTGCTACTGCAGTTGACAATTAAATAATTATTTATTTATTACCACTGGAATAAATTATATTGGTTAGTGATTAAAATTTAAATATGGATTAAAATGATTAAAAATTAAATTAATAATTTACAAAATTGGAAATAAATCTTGATGATCCTATCTCACTAAATATTTTTTTCTTATACTTTACTTATATTTTATTTTGTAAAAATCAATAAAAGAAAATTTGTTGACATGATAAAATTTGTTTAATAAAAATTTTAAGTTTCGCTGTGTTAAAAAAATTATAATTATTTAAATTTAAATTATAATTATATTTATAAAAAGGTGACAAAACAGACAAATTACGACTTCAAAAATCAATTTCCTATCTTCGTGAGATAGGACCATCAAGATTTATTTCCAGTTTTGTAATTAATTTAAATTTTAATCATTTCAATCAATACTTAAATTTGAATAACTCTAAACAATATATTTTATTCCAGTTGTAATAAATAAATAATTATTTAAATATCAACTTCAATAGCAGTGCTATTACCAATCAAAAATTTTTTTTCGACGTGTCCTCTTTTTAAACAAAAATCTGACCTGTCCTTTTTTTTACACTAAACAAGCTAAATTTTCATAAATCAGATTTCACAACAATTAAAAAAATGGAACTTTAAGGGTATGTGGGAACCTCCCACGTGACCTAGTATGGAAAAATGTGTTTTGGTAGTATACATTTCACTCTAAAATGAGAAAAGATTTTTGTCTGCAATTTTGAGGGATGATAGATTTGGGCACAAAGAATCTCGCTGTTCTCCGAAAAATACATAATTTTGCGTTAAATTATTAAAAAATGAAGTTTAAAAATTGGCATTTTTAAACGAAAATGAAAACAAACATGGCGGCGCATACACAGACGTTGCTTGAGTGTGTCAGTGCTCCAGTAAACAGCGCCAATTCGAGCAAGTGGCCGCTGAATGAACTATGATTAAATACATTATTTTACTATTTATTGCTTTATTTTTATTATTTTTGCGTTAAGTTATGGTAAATGAGTAGAACAGCGAGATTCCTTGTACCAAACTAAATCATTTCTCAAAAATTTTTTTTTTCTCCTTAAAATCGATCCGAGGCTTGAATATATTTTCAGAAGTCTAGTACTTTTTATATCAATATTTCACATTTTGACACATATTTTCTTTAAGGCCATGTGGGCAAACGACGTTTTTTTGTGGATTCCAACTTTCTCTGAAATAAATAATGATTTCGGGTTAAAATATTCATGACTTGATAAAGTAGGGTGCAAAGCATAGAGCTGTTCTTCACTTAACGCAAAAATAATAAAAATAAAACAGTAAATAGTAAAATAATGTATTATATCATAGTTCATTCAGAGGCCAATTGCTCGAATTGGCGCTATTTACGGGAGCACTGACTCAAGTAACGTCTGTGTATGCGCCGCCATGTTTGTTTTCATTTTCGTTTAAAAATGCCACTTTTTAAACTTCATTTTTTAATAATTTAACACAAAATTATGTATTTTTTGGAAAACAGCGAGATTCCTTGAACTCAAATCTATCATTCCTCAAAATTTTAGCCTAAAATCTTTTTTCATTTTAGAGAATGTTGGAATATTGCAAAACACATTTTCCCATACTAAGTCACGTGGGTTTCTCCCACATGCCGTTAAGTGTATAAATTATTTTTTGATTTACAGAAGAAAAAATTAAAAAATATATCAGATTTGGTTTCTCATCCGTTTAACATATACGTATACCTACACTAAAAAAAAATGTTACCGAGAAATTCAACTACCATTAGGTAGTTGACTAGAAAGTAGTTAAAATAACTACTTTTTTAGTTAATCTAATCATGTTGATGTAGTTAATGTAACTATTTTTAAGAAGTTAATAAGTAATAGTTGATTTTACGTAAATATGTAGTTAAAGTACAACTACAGGTCGGTAGTAAAATTAACTTTCTTAAGGTAGTAAAAACAAGTGGAATTGTAGTCAACTCAAAATTATTTCAAGAGTAGTAAATCCAACTACTATTCACCAGTTATATGAAATGTAGTAAAAGGAATTATTTTCTTTGATTAATATAACTGCTTTTTGAGTAGTCAATTTTTTATTAATTTCTATGATTTTATAGGCTTAAATAAAATTCTTGTTGTAGAATTAACAAGTCGTCTGTAACTAAAACAACTACTTTAAGTAGTAGATTTTACTATACTCAAAGTGGTACAATAGGCTTAAAGAACATTTTTGTTGTAGAATTAACAAATCCTTTGTGATTAAAACCACTACTTTAAGTAGTAATTTTTTTACTATTTTAATTAAGTCAATAAGCTTGAAAAACGTTTTTGATGTAAAATTTAGAAATCGTTTCCAATTAAAACTACTACTTTCAGTAGTAGCTTTTACTACTTAAAGTGGTTCAATAGGCTTTAAGAACATTTATGTCGTAGAATTAATAAATCCTTTGCAATTAAAACTATCACTTTAAGTAGTAGATTTTACTGTACTATGCAATTAAACAACTTATAATATAATTAAAAGATGAAAAATTGACAAGTCAAAACTTAAAAAGGATAGTTATAGCAACTAATAAAAGTAGTAAAAGTGACTACTTTAAATAGTTAAATTACCAATTGGACAAGCAGAAAGTAGTCTTCGAGTAGTTTGCAGACTGTCGTAGCGAGCTTGCGTGGTTAGTCGGTTAAGGTATCGGATTGCGAGCGTTAGGGTCGAGGGTTCAATTCCCGTCGGTTAGAAATTTTCTATGTTGGGTACATAATCGTTAGGGCATAAAATAAGCGTCAGTATAGGAGAGAGGATGAAAAAGTCAATTCTACTGATAATAAACAATTATAAATAAAAAATAATTATATTTTCCTATTTTAAGTAGTAAAATCTACTATTTAAAGTAGTAGTTTCAATTGCAAAAGATTTATTAATTCTACAAAAAAATGTTCTTAAAGCCTATTGAACCACTTTCAGTAGTAAAGTTTACTATACTTAAAGTAGTAGTTTCAATTGCAAAATATTTATTAAATGTACCAAAAAAATGTTCTTAAAGCCTATTGAACCACTTTAAGTAGTAAAATCTACTACTTACATCTTGAGTTGTTTTAACATTTTTAAATTGAGTTAATACAATCACAAAATGTTATTCTACCAATTACATTTTTAATTGGTTTAACTATTTTTATATAGTTAATAGAACCGTTTAAATTCAGTTGAGGACCTATTGTACTACTCAGAGTAGGTAAAAAGTAGTAAAACCTACTAGTTTTTTTTCCAGTGTATATCGAGTTGAATTGTTTAAGAAAATTGTCTTTGAACTTAGTATATGTTTTTATCGATTTCTATATTTAATATTGAGTAAATAATGATGGATATAATTTTGTGAAAATGTCTCGACAAATAAACAATATATATATATATATATATATAGAGAGAGATATTAGATAATCGATTGCTTGTTCATTACGTCATTGTCAGTCGCACGTAATGTATAGTCACGGTGGGTAATAGGCTTTCCTAATTGTTGCTGAATTTGCTAATTGTTGTTCGGTCGCGCGAAACTCGTGAGAATCGACACAAATAAAAGCGAGTCTGTTGCAGTGTGTTCCTCGTGGATTTACTTAGGCGTGAAATGCAAACTAATTTCGACACCAAACTATATACGAGGGAACCGCGAGCGGAATAGGAAACGTTTCTATATGTTGTTGACGAAGAAAATTTTCATATAATATATTATATACGCTAGTGTCAATAATAACATCATCAAATTATTATTATTATTATTATTATTTTTTTATTATTAATATATTAATATTTTTATTATTTATTTACAATAATAAACGGGCTTACTAAAATTAAAAATTATTATTATTACTCTTATTTTATTTATACAAATTTTCAAAGTGTTAAGAAGAAAATTCTCTTTTTGAAAAGTATTTATTTTTATTTAATTAAAATTATATTGTCTAAAATAATAATAATTTTAATAATAATTTTATAATAATAATTAATGGTGTTTACTTGCCAGAAAAATAGGGGAATTTTTTTTTTAATATTTTAGTTTTTACTAAATTTTCTCTATTTTTTCGTCAAATTCTATTTTCTTCAATTAAATTCGTTTATTTTAGAAATTTATAATGAACAAAATTTTTGTTTTTATAAACAAAACAAAATTTTCTGCTCTTACCTCAAAGTCTCCTTTGTTTTTCATGAAATTTCTAAAATAATCTATTTTTCATTGAATTTCTTCTTTTTTACGATTTTCATGTATACCTGAAATTCTGAATGTTCAAATGAAGGAAATCATTTTTTTTGTCTATAAATTTTTAAAAAATTACTGCAGCAATGAAAAATATAAAAGTATATTGAACATTTAAATTAATTTATTTTTGAATACAGAAAGTAATATTTTATAATAAAACTTAAAAAATTTGAAGTTAAAAAAGTAGTAAACAAATTTTTCTTTCATTTGAACGTTCGTAATTTCAGGTAGATTGATTTTCAATTTTTTTTTTAATTTTTATTTTTTAAAACGATTTTTTTTCTCAAATTCTTCTTTTTTTTGAAACTTTTGGATTTATTTATTTATTTACTTTCACAAACTGGAACAAAATTCTCAATTTTTCCTGCATACTCTATTATTTTGTGAATTTCTAAAATGATCAATTTTTCATTTCTTCAAAAATATTTTATTCTCTTAAAATTATTAAAATTTTCCTTTTTTCTTTTTAAAATTTTATTGTTTTTATTCTTTTTTAATTTTTCGCTCAAATTTTTCTTTATTTATAATTTCTAAAACTTTTATTTTCTTCATCATTCGCTATTTCTTAAAAATTTTCTTGTTTTTCTTTTTTTTTTTGATTTTCTTTTTTTTAATTTTCTTAATTTTATTCTTTCTCAATTTTCCCTTGAAATTCATCTCTCATTTTGGGAATTCCTAAAGTAATTTTAATTTTAATTTTAAAAAAATTCAATTTAAAAAATAATAATTTCTAAAATTCTCTTTATTTTTCTTTCATATTCTTTGGTTTTTTATTTTCATAAATTTTTTTATTTTAATTTTTTCTCTAAAATTTTTGTCATTTTTTCTCGATTTTGTTAACAAATTGAATTTTTTCACTTAATAAATTTTTAATAATTTTTAAACTTTTGAATAAAAATGAACTTTTTTTTATTATTTATAACTAACACAAATTTTTTCGTTAGTATTAATAAATCAATAATTTATTGAATCGCAAATTAATCGAATCACAAAAAAACGTGAAAAGGTAAGAAATTATAAAAATAGGTAAAATAGGGGATCAAATTTTATTTTTATTATTATTTTTCGGTTTAATTATTTTAATTATAAACTTAAAAATTTTATTATTTTTTACATATATAAATTTTTTTTTTGTTTTTCAAAAATTCATTAAAAAATTTCTTGATAAATAATGATAATAATATATTATTTAAACAAGGTAAAAAAATACAAAACTTTAAGTAAAAATTCATTTTTTGGTTATTAATAAAAATTAAATTAAAATACTGTTAATTTATTAACGTAAAAGGATACAGAAAATAATCGTGAAATTTTTTCTATTGAAAAGAGTAAACACCATGAAATATAATAATAATAATAATAATAATAATAATAATAATAATAATAGTAATGATAATAGAATGAGTAATAAATAATAAAATAAATAATAAATAAATACTAAAATAAATAATAAAATAAATAATAAATAAAAATAAAATGATAATAAAATTAAATGACCACTTTGTCAATTACAATAAGGATTATTTTAGCGTGAACATTAATGCGAATATCGCTCTTATGAAACAAAATAAAAATTTTTTCTCTTTTTTTCTCGATGAGAAATATTTAAATAAAAAAATTTTTTTTTTTTTTTTTTTAATAGTTATTGACAGAAATATTTGTAAGGAAAAGGAAATTTTTGTTTCTCAATGTGTCAAATGGTAATTACATATACATATATGTATAATTTACCTTGAAGAGCATATCTCTTAGATCTACCATCTGAGCTTACTCCAACTTTATCCTTAACTCCACACCTTGGCAAGGTCATGGTTTCAGCAGTTTCATCGTCCAATAATCCTGAAACCATAAAAAAAATTGAAAATTTTATAAAATTGCACTGATTCAATTTACATATTTAATATAATATAAAAAAAAAAATATATATATATATATATATAAATATAGGAACAAAAGTTAAAATTATACTATATGCTAATATAGAAAAGAGAGAAAGCAAAAAAAAAAAAAAGAAAAACATTTCTTCCTCGTATATAAATATACAATGTAAACTTGCACGCTATTCTTATATCGATCCTCTCTTAAGGGTGGTATTTGCGTGCACGTTGAAACATAGTGAAATACACACTGCAATTCTTAAATCTATTGTTTCAAAAAAAAAAATTTCTACTCTTGCATATTGTACACAATGGCACATGTACAATTTTGTATGTATATGTATATATTAAATAATACACTTGACACGTGTGTGCTCCCAAACAGACGTAAACATTGAATATTTCACTTTTTTTCTCTCAATTTTTTTTTTTTCCAAGATTTGCATTTGTCATAATTTTTGAAAGTCGAGGTCGCTGAATTTTAAATATCGTGTATTTTTATATTATTGCGAAAGTGAAAATTTCATTTTCTTAATTTTTTCGTTTATTACTATTTATTTTTTTCATTTATTAATATTTATTTTTTTATTAATAATTTATTTTCTAATTTATTTTATTTTAATATTTAATTTACTATTTCTATTTCCTATTAAGTTATATCTATATTACAGTTTTAATAATTTTTTTTAATTTTTCGTTTTTAATTTAAATAATTAAAAAAAAAAAAAATAATAATTTACTATTAACATAAATTAACACCTGCGTGTGATGTAGAGAGCAGGAAATTTCAGTTAAATCGCGCTAGAATACTTTATTATTATTTTTTTTTTTTTCGTTTTTGTTTATACAACTTTTTTCCCGGAAGTATTTGCACTTTACGACACAGCTCGTGCGGTAAGAAAATTGTAATAATTGTTATATAGAAAAGTTAAAAACAAAAATATATATAAAGTACGATTAGATAACTCATCCGTTTGCCATCCATTTTTATTGAGCCTCCTCATCGAAACTTTGAAATTTCTATGTCTTTTATAATGTTTACGATTTACGATCAATGGCAATATGCTTTGGAATAGTTTTTGCCTCTTCTTCTTCTTCTTCCTACATTTTGGTCACGCTCTGTGAGCCTCGCAATTTCCTTTAGGATGCTTTATAAAACCTTGACATAAATTCAAAAGTATATAAAGTATGGGTCAAACCATTATATTTCAACTAAAGTGGTCGCTGACTAATTTTTAAAAATTATAATACTTTGCAGGAATGATTTTGAAGTTATCAAGATCACGAAATGAAAAGAATTTTATTAAAAATTTAAATATTTATTGTAAAATATGAATTTAAAGTATATGAGGTGCTAAAAACTGTCAATTTTTTAGCCATTAGAAAATATGCAAAAAAACATAGAATTTACCATAAAAATAAAAAAAAATTATTGGAATTTACTAAGAATGAATAAATTTATCATTATCAATTGATATAATTATTTAAAGATGTGAAGTAATATATAAAATATGATTTCCAAGTGCACCTGTCAAATAACCTAATTTTGCGATTTTTATTCATTAATTATAAAAAATAGAAAACATTAAATTAAATAAAAACTTACCAAATATGAAGTTCTTGCCATAAACTTTTAGAATTTCTTTGCACTTTTCTTCTTTTCTATTCATAAGTATGAAAAATTTAAAAAATAAAATAGCTACTTTGTCTATTTTCACTATTTTTGAAAGTCAATAACTTTCTTGGAGAAAAATGAAAAAATATGGGGTTTCGAAAATTATTTAAATACACACTACATATACATTCACTGAAAATTTCGCATTGGTCCCGAAGCTATTTTCGAAGATAAAGTAAATTAAAAATTTCGTACTTTTTAGGCTATATTGACATGGGTTTTAAAGGTATTAAATCAATGTGAAGTTTGTCGTCACCAGTGAACCACCTTCACATTGATTTAAAACCCATGTCAATATAGCCTAAAAAATACGAAATTTTTAATTTACTTTATCTTCGAAAATAGCTTCGGGACCAATGCGAAATTTTCAGTGAATGTATATGTAGTGTGTATTTAAATAATTTTCGAAACCCCATATTTTTTCATTTTTCTCCAAGAAAGTTATTGACTTTCAAAAATAGTGAAAATAGACAAAGTAGCTATTTTATTTTTTAAATTTTTCATACTTATGAATAGAAAAGAAGAAAAGTGCAAAGAAATTCTAAAAGTTTATGGCAAGAACTTCATATTTGGTAAGTTTTTATTTAATTTAATGTTTTCTATTTTTTATAATTAATGAATAAAAATCGCAAAATTAGGTTATTTGACAGGTGCACTTGGAAATCATATTTTATATATTACTTCACATCTTTAAATAATTATATCAATTGATAATGATAAATTTATTCATTCTTAGTAAATTCCAATAATTTTTTTTTTATTTTATGGTAAATTCTATGTTTTTTTGCATATTTTCTAATGGCTAAAAAATTGACAGTTTTTAGCACCTCATATACTTTAAATTCATATTTTACAATAAATATTTAAATTTTTAATAAAATTCTTTTCATTTCGTGATCTTGATAACTTCAAAATCATTCCTGCAAAGTATTATAATTTTTAAAAATTAGTCAGCGACCACTTTAGTTGAAATATAATGGTTTGACCCGTATATGTATATTTATTCAATTCACCCTATTTTGTTTTTATCTTCAATATGTAATTTTTTTCTTTTGGAGTCACTGACATTATTAAAAAAAAAAAAAATGAAATATTTATGGTAGAACGGACAAAATATTAAAAATTTTTTAGCCATTAGACACATAATTTTTGGGAGGCATGATTATGTTCTAAAAATCATTAGTTAGACATTTCATTTTATGGAATTTAATTTGTCATAATTATTTTTGAGCTGAATTTTTATTTTGTATAATTTTCATTAAAATGATTTTCTATATTACAGAATTTTTATTTGACTGAATATTCACATCACAGAATTTTTATTTGTCAGGATTTTTATTTAATTGAATTTTCATTTAACACGGAGAATAATAATGGGATTGTGGTGCAAACAATTTTTGGATTGTTGTCAGTAGATTTGTTGATATTACAATTCGAAATGTTAATATTACAATTCGGATTGTTGTCAATACAAATGTATGTTGTTTTAACAACAAGACGAATTTTTTTGTTGTCAGTTTTGTTCAGTTTGCAATTCCGTACAGTTGCAGAAACAAACTCTCTGTCAATTGCTGATGGAACAATCCGGATTTGTTCAGCTGACAGGTTTATTGTTCCATGTCACGTGGTCATCTTGAATTCTCGCAAACCGTCGCGTCGCACAGTGGCCGATTTCTCGAAAAACCTGGCCAAAAATCGAAAAATGATATGATTTCAACCAAAATTGGTATACCCATGTTTTTTGGGCTTCTGAATTCAAATTTTACATTGGTTGTGTCAAATTCAAAATGGCGGATCCAAAATGGCCGTTTAGATTTTAAAAAACTTTGCTAAAAATTAAAAAATGGTACGATTTTAACCAAACTTAGTATACTTACGTTTACTGGGTTTCTGAAATCAAATTTTACATTTGTTTTATCAAATTCAATATGGCGGATCCAAAATATTTGCTGGTATTATAAAAATTGCGTAAATGTGTTAGAGCTTATTTTTTTTAAATTACAGACAGTGCTTAAATTTTAGTTTAAAGCGAATGCGAATGAAGAAAAAGTCAGTCTTTCACGTTCAGTTGCACCGCCGGCCGGTGCAACGCGATGTCGGTAAACCGCGCTTAGTGAAATAAAAAGTGATACCAAAACTGCAGGGGCAGCTTGGGGCAACTGATTTCAATTAAAATGAATTCAAAATATATTCTAGTTTATGATAATACCAGGTAGAGCGCGGATATCGGTGGATTTCACAACTATTTTCATGATTTACGTTGATAAAACAATACAAAAATCGTCGCCATGAATAGCGATGTTTAATGTCATTTTTTAAAAACTGTACGTTTTAAATGTGATTATAAATACATTCAACATATTTCATACACCTTTGTTAATAATTCCCAAAAAAAGATATTCAAAAATCTGCTGTATATTAGTATATTTTCACTATTTTAACTGTGACGAAAATTTATAGTTATGAAACGTTCTGAGTAAATCTCTGGCAAAGATCACTTTTACTTGTTCACATAATAAATTGGTGATAAAAAAAGTTTAATTTTTTTTCGCAAAATTATGCAGTGAACCCTCCTTTATAATATTCAACAATAAAAAGTATAAATTTCTAAAAAAATTTTTTTGACTTTTGGCCAGGTTTTTCGGGAAATCGGCCACTGTGCGTCGTTTGCTTCTGGCACATGTGCCACTTTTGCTTTTATTATTAGTTTTTTTTTTTAAATGACAAAGTGCTGTTAAATAATGAATTCGGTTAAATTGAGAAATCTATTGCAAGTGTAGTGAAGGGATGAAGAGACAATTTCATCTTTTATCGGTAAGTTATACTCGGTTACTATTGAACATAGTCTCACCTTAAAAAATACAAAATGTATATTAAATATTATTTAACAAGAAATTTCAACTCAAAATAATTTTTTGGTCTCAGGTCAAAGAATTTGATTCAGAAACTGCATGTTCCACAGATTTTAATGCAAATGAAACTAGTGATATGACCTACGGAAATCTGCTATCGATTATTTTAGAAGGCGAAAAACATGAAAAAATTGTATTAGACGGATCACAGCTTTGTTAATACAACAAATTGTATTGCCGATTTAACAATTTAGTTTTGTTATTTCAACTGTTCCATAACAATTTTCTTTGTTCATCAAAACAATTCTGTTTGTTCACCGAACAATAATCCGAATAGTTTTAATAACAATCCCATTTTAACAATTTTTTTTGTCCCAAAAACAAATAGAACTGCTGGTTCTATATTGACAATCTGTAATTGTTGTGTGGACTTAATTTTTAGTAACCATACTACAGAATTTTTACTTAACCGAAAAATCATTTAAAAGAATTTCTAATTGATATAGAATTTTCATTTGTTCGAAATTGCAAATATCCGAACAAACAATTGACAGAAAGATTTCGGCGCGATTTTTAAAAATCAACCAAACATAATTTTTAGGATAATTTTTAATTGGTTGGTTTTTAAAAATCGCGCCGAAATCTTTCTGTCGATTGTTTGTTCGGTCATTTTGAAATTTCGGACAAATGAAAAATTTGACGTTCTTAGAATTCTATATTAAATAACAATTCGTATAAAAAACAAAAATTCGGATAAATGAAGATTCTGTAAATTGGAAATGCTGCATTTAAAAATTCGAATCACCTAAAATTCTGTTGATACTTATATATGAAAAGGCTTTGACCTGTTTATTATTAAATAAAGAAATAAATAAATTATTATTATTATTATTATTATTATTATAATTATTAATTTAAAAATTGAAATAATTTAATGAAATTTAATTTTATAATTCTCTAGTAAGAAATGATTCTTTATAGTTTTATTTTTCAATATAACAATCGTTTATATCGATTTCTGTTTTATCTGGAAATTATTTTTTTCTACACCTCATATAATTACAATATCCCTGTTATTATTAATTGATGTTTTTCTGTGCTCGCGTGGTTTTTTAATGGTCCAATAGATTATATACTGTTATATGTTAAAGTTATAAAGTCTAAATAGCAACTCGGTGAATTATTATATATTATAGGATGAGTCACATATTTTCAAGCTAAGGAAGAGAGAGGATAAAAAAAAACATTCCAATGATTCGCGTGACTTGAGAGAAATTTTCGTTTCTCAATAAAGATGAATCAATTTATATTTATTAGCAAAAATTCGGTTATTTTCTATATAAATATATATATATATTATAGACGTAGAGTATATGGCTTATATAAAATGCAAATATTTCCATTTTTTTTTCATCACTGAATTTTTCGTTATTATTTCTCAATATACACACGTTTTTTATTTCAAAAATCAACACTGTAAAAAGAAAGTACTAAAACAGTACCGAAAAGTACTAAAACAGTACCGATTTTAGGTACCAAATGACAATTTAGTACCTGAAGTCGGTATTAAATTAATACCTTTCTTTTTACAGTGAATAAAGCAGAAAAATTCTTTAAAAAAATTTTATATACTTTCTATATTTAAAAAAGCAATAATTGAAGAAAATTTCTGTATTTAGATTTCTCAAACAATATTAAATAACTCTGATTATGTCATTTATTTTGTATCGAGTCTACGTTCCATATTGAGAAAAATCAATTTTATAAAAGAAAAAATAAATCTGTTTCTAAAATAACGTTTTATAAAATTATATCATTTTATTTGTGTATAAAACTTTATATATATATAGTTATTTAAAATATTGTGAAAACGAATTTAATTTTTGTAATTTTGAATTTATTTTTTTCTCACAGTAAAAATGTAATAAAAAAAAAAAATATAGTAAATATACATTGAATTGTTATCGGAAATGTTGCTAGAGGAATAACAATTGGGATATTGATGTGCGATGCGTTGGTGATAAATTCATGGGAAAGAATAATATATATATATAGGAAGTATGTCAAGCATCTTGTCGACATTGACACTGACTTCTTCTTGACAATTCTCGACTCACTGTCAAGGAATATTTTACTATAAGAATTCTATTTCTTCCGTTACTTGTCGTAATTGGTAGCAATATATTTATATATATACCTACAAAGAAATATATATAAATGCTTAGAGACAAAAAAAAAAACCGTCACTGAGAGTGTATGTACGCAGTGTCCATTTGCACAATGACTGTCACTTTCGAAAGTTCCTATTCCACTAGACTGATTCCTGTTTAATTCTTTCATTAATGTCACGAATAATTACACATTTATATACAGGTGTGCAAAAAACAATATTGAAAAAATTTAGATGTGAGCTTTTAAATTTTATGTAATTTTAAGATAATTTTATTGAAAATTTATTTTTCTTTTGTAAGACATTTTTTGACCGTATTTAATGAAACTGAAGTTACCAACGTTGATTCAACAAAATAAAAAAGTTAAGGATTCTAACTCCCATCAATAAAATTTTATTATTTTAAACCCTGAAATAAAAAAAAAACAGTATTTATTCTTGTTTTGTAACGGATTTTAAGAAAATCTCGAAATTTCAAGAAAATTGCTATTTCCTCGCCTCGGAAGCAATTTTTCTTGTTTGATAATTATTTATTTCAATGCTAGAAGCCTTTTAAAAAACAGAAAATTTACTTCTAAGTCGGGGAAATATCAATTTTTTTTGAAATTTCGGGATTTTCGGAAAATCAGTGACAGAAACATCAAAATCACTGCTTTCCTCGACTTTGAAGCAAATTTTCTGTTTTTTAAAAGGCATCTAGCACTGAAATAAATAATTATCAAACAAGAAAAATTGCTTCCGAGGCGAGGAAATAGTAATTTACTTGAAATTTCGAGATTTTCGTAAAATCTGTGACAAAAAAATGATAAATACTGTTTTTTTTTTTATTTCAGGTTTTGGAGGGTTTAAAATAATCAAATTTTATTGATGGGAATTAGAATCCTTAACTTTTTTTTTCGTTGAATCAACGTTATGGTAACTTCAGTTTCATCGTATTTAAGGGCATCTAACATTAAGAGATAATTTTATTTTTAAAAAATTGTTACAGCATCTGAAAGTACTTTTCTTATTCTTTAAAATGCATTTTGAAACTTTAAAAAATCTTTATTCGGTTTTGAGTTATCGTCATTTAAATTTTTGAAGCATTATCTGATATTACTCGTTAGTTTAACAAAAATTGAAACATTCACCAAACTCATAAAATTCAAATGACAACAACTTAGAGCCGAATAAAGATTTTTTAAGGGTATGTGGGAACCTCCCACGTGATCTAGTATGGGAAACTTTGTTTTGGTAGTATATACATCTTACTCTAAAATGAAAAAAGATTTTTGTCTAAAATTTTGAGGAATGATAGATTTGAATTCAAGGAATCTCGCTGTTTTCCAAAAAAATACATAATTTTGTGTTAAATTATTAAAAAATGAAAGTTTAAAAGTGGCATTTTTAAACGAAAATGAAAACAAAGATGGCGGCGCATACACAGACATTGCTTGAGTGTGTCAGTGCTCCAGTAAACAGCGCCAATTCGAGCAAGTGGCCACTGAATGAACTATGATAAAACACATTTTTTTTTACAATTTATTGCTTTATTTTTTATTATTTTTGCGTTAAATGAAAAGAACAGCGAGATTCCTTGCACCAAACAAAATTATTTTTCCAAAATTTTATCCCGAAATCATTTTTTATTTTAGAGAAAGTTTCAAACCACAAAAAAACGTCTTTTGCCCACATACCCTTAAAGAGTATTTATTTTTATTTTATTTTATTTTATTTTTTTTATTTATTTATTTTTTATGAGTAAGAATAGTACTTTCAGATGCTGTAACGACTTTTTTGAAAAAAAAAATTATCTCTTGATATTAATTTACATGACTTTTTATTTAAAAGAATTTTAATTTAATCGATTTTTAATTTAACTGAATTCTCAATCAATCGAATTTTATCTGATTCGAATTTTTAAATGACAAAAATTCCATTTCACCGAATTTTAATTTGTCCGAATTTTTAATTGATAGAATTTTTAAGACGCCAAATTTTCATTTGTCCGAAATTACAAATGGCCGAACAAACAATGGACAGAAAAACAGAAATAATTTTTAAGTTTAAACAAATTTTAGAATACGATAAATTGAGAGAAAAAAATTTTGTTAAGCAGTTTATTAGAATATTTATTTATAAAATACCAAATTTAAATGACAAAAATAATTATTTCCTAAAAATAACTTTTTTTCTAAATTACACAATGGTTAAGAATTTTTATAAATTATGTATTATCTATACACTGCAAGTATAATTAAAAACAGTAAATTTTTTTTTGAAATTGTAAACAATAATTTTCATAATTATATTTTTTAATTTTTATGAATAACAGAACTTACAATTAAAACTTCAAACTATTTAAAGCATAAGTTTGTTTTTTTTTAATATAATTTTTATTAAGTAAAATATTAACTTAACAAAATTTTTGATTGAACTAAATTCACATATGTAATATATAATTTCTATTTGACAATATTTTTATTTCATCTGTAGGAATTATCATTTTTGAGAGAATTATCAAATCACCGAATTTTCATTTGACCGAAATAAATTGCAAATGGTCGAACAAATATCCAACAGAAAAGTTTTGGCGCGAATTTTAAAATTAACCACTTAGAAATAATAAAGAAAATTATATTAAATGAAAATTCGGCCAACTAAAAAATCAGGTTTTATAAACTTATTAATTTTAACACCGTTGAAATTTCAGTTAATTCAATAATTATTTGAGAAAATTTTGTTACATTGTTCCATTCAATTCGTATTATACTAAAAAACATATAGTTTGTAGTATTAATTATAAACATTGA